AACATTTCCATTAGGTCATGTCGGAGAAAAACTGGAATTACCTTCGAAACTACGGATGGGTTCTTCCGAATAGTGCGTAAACCAGACGCTGGTTTATAAGAAAGGGCACCGCTAACTAGGCCGAAGTAGACGCCAAAGTCACGTCCTCGTTGCTATAATAACCCTCTCCGATTTACTTTCTTGGGGCTGCCTGGTCGGAGACTAAATGCCTATAATACATGAAAGTCGTATGATAATTCTCAACATAAAAGAGTGAACAAGTTGGTATTTCTGTTTCTATGATACACATCTCTGCTAGAATCCGGCAAACAGCTCTATACACTCTCGGATTGAGCCTCGGTAGTCGACGCATCCAAAGGAGCAGAAAGTCCAACCCGGTCAATAGTCCGAGTGTAAGCGACACCGCCGTTGACTCTGTCCTCGTGCACGACCAAGTCCTTACGGTTAGTGTCGACAAGAAGACGGATCAAGTCCGGGCGCATATAGTGACCGCCGAAATCGGCCAAAGATTTGGTAAGATGGATCTCGTCGAGGTCAATCTATTTGACAAACCAATTAGTTTGACATTCTAGCAAAAACAAAATCGTCCTCCACTTACGTCAACGAAAAGAAGTCCCTGGAAGTCTTTGTCGGGGTGAGGAACAAGGTTCTGTCCGTCGGGTCCAAAGATACGGCCATTTCCATTGTAGATGTTAGGATCCTCAAGCTCTTTTCCAGGAGGAGTGTTGAGCTTGATTCCCTCGGCAGTGATTGTCTGCCACGGCGCAAGGGTGAACGAACCGGTCTCAATCGCGTAAGCAGGGGTAACAAGCTGAGCGGTCTTGTCAGTAATCAGACCAACTCCTCGCAAAAGGGGAAAGGGGAAATATACATCTGCGTTTGCCTCGGCCACATTGGTGTATGGGTCCGGGTACTTGAGGGTCTCTTTTCCGGGATACAGAGGCCAAGCAGCGATGTGGACCTGCTCACCGAGCGAGGCTGCGTACGCCTTCAGGAAAGGATTCATGTTCTCCCAACAATTCAGGTGTCCAATGCGGCCGATCTCGGTGTCCATCACTGACTCGGTAGTGTCGCCAGTGCCGTCTCCGAAGACGAGTCGCTCAACGTGGGTAGCCTTGATTTTGCGACGGTGATTGATCACATCTCCAGCTGGGCTAATCATAATCTGCGTCGTATACAAGCTGGCGAGATCGAGCTCCGAGTATCCAAGAGACACCCAAATTTTGTTAGCTTTGGCTGCTTCGCGGATGCGGCGCATTTCATCCGAGTCGGAGGGCAGGCTGTTCTCGCGATACTTCTTCAGCAAGGGCAGGCTCTCCTGGTAGTTCACCTTCCAAGCCCAGTATGGGTAGCCGGGGATCCCTGTTTGTAGTTGTTAATACATTGCACCCGGTACTTGGTACTGTGATACTAACACAGCTCCGGGAAAGCAATCAGCTTGCAGCCAGCCTTTCCTGCTTCATCGATCCAGTGGATTGTCCGACGAACAGATTCCTGGAGGTCAAACCAGCCAGGTTCAGCGTTGACCGCTGCGGCCTTGTACTTCTTGAGAACAGGAACCATGTTGAGATGCTTATTGTCTTTCCACGAGTGTTTGCTTTGAAGATTGTTGTGTAGAATGGAAGTCTCTATGTCAAGCCCGGGAAGAAGCTCAATTTATAACACCTCCAGCTGTCTTGTATGTTGGCTTTGAAACGATGACCTGCATCCCCCCAAACCCCGAAGCACGAAATGAGCAACATCATGAGATTCGGAAACCCTCGGATTCGGGAATTGCTCTGAAGCAATTGAATAACGGTGATCCTGTTTGACAGTAAAGCGCAACTCTGAGCTTCGGGAAATATAAGCACGGTGTTTGCTTCAATGTAGGGTCATGCCAGGGGATAGTTCCCGGAAGTTCGATAATTCGCATGTAAGCAAGTATAGATGATCTATTCTGAGCTCGGGGTTTGTCAGGGCTCTATTTGATCCAAATCATGCCATGACAGGTGGGCCTTCTCATTGAAGAGCTTCGGTGATCCGCCCTAATCCCGGGGTTATACAGAGCTTTCCCGGATTGTTCCACCCAAATCCCGATATCAATTCAATCCCGATAGCATTGATCAGCCACCATGCTGACGGGAATAGGGGACTGTTGTTCGAAATATATTGCATCCCATAGATTTCGGATATCTCTCAACGGGATTCAAGTAGAAAATCGGACATGGCCAATCGCCGCTGGCGGACTCCTTCTAGACACTGGCAAATGTCTTAACTAGGTAATTTGCAACTATGCAGCTATTTTCTAGCTCTCTATTACACAATGTCTTGGCCCTTGGACCATTTTCTGCTTACTAGTCCAGATATATATGACCACAAATGGAACATCTACAAATCCCGAAAGATTGGATTTGGCTTACCACCCACGATCCTGTTACATCACACATACTCTGTCATCAATACCCCAAATAAACGCGGAATATAGGTATAGACACTCTAATTTGATCGGTGCGCCGATCCTCTTTGGTAGTAAATCGAACCATGGCAGTATGATATCTATTCATCCGCGACTTGATAACATACAAGCTGGCCAGACTAAAGTTATCGAAATTTATGCCGTAGCTAATCTGACAATTTTTTGAAGAACTTGTTTAATTTGGATCTTCCTGTATCATTTGTATTTCCTAGGGGAGCCTGTTCGTTCATCCAGTCTTCTGAGTAAGTGTCGCATATAGGTTGATAGATACCAACTACATGCGCCTAGCTTTGGTGTGGTCCAAAATAAGTTAGACTATGATTTACCACGCAGATATGAAGATCTGAGTATGATATTTAGGAATGCTATCAAAAGTTTACACGTAATTGAGTCTAGACATGAAGATTCTCATCGAACTTTATTTATAGCCGATCACTTGCACGATGAGCTTGGCAATAGGTAAGTTCTTCGGTCGATAGTTCTGGTTGGGTTCCTGACATTGTCAACAGACGGCGCTCTCCTGAGGCGACTTGGCATTATTAGGGCCAAGCTAACCATTTACTTATCCTCAAAGTGCAAGTCAACCAGATAGTTGGATACTCGGAGTAGTATGTGCCAATGTATTAGTTCAAATTGGGATCATTCCGACTATTTTTTAGCAATCGGACCGTCCCGGCTATACAATATTGGCCACTTTAATGCGGTCTGTTGCACATGTTCTGGATCGGAGCAACACTGCTATCTATCCTTTTATTTTTGTAGGGGAAATGGCCAAATTCCCAATTTCTCAAAGCTATTCATTGGCCTGCCTTACTTTCCAGTACAATATACCGGTGATTGGCTACTTATTCTGAATCAGGGCTGCTGGGACTGACTAACCGGCCTACTATTTGAGACTGGTTCCAGATATTGTACATTTGAGGTCAGTCATATTTTCAACAAGGTCAGCATCTCAGCATCTCAGCGACCTATTAACTTTGCCTATTTCTCAGAAATCGCAATTTACAACGGACCGAATTCCGTTATGTCGCTTTCATTGTCTCAATAATTGGGAGATCTTGCTATGGTTGAGCCTCAGTTGGGTAAATACTTATCCCGGAGAAAAGGTCATAGCTCGGTAATGAGCCACATGATAATCCCGGGGGCTTTCCCAAATTAAGAACACACAAATGACTCGTTTCTTTAAAAGCTTGGTTATATATTTTCCATCACACGACTATTCTCAGAATATTTGATTGGGCTGTCAACCAAACTCACCGTAAGCCCCGCTCCCAAATCGCGGGGAAAAACGGGGGCGGAGGGCCTCCGAAGCCCAAAAACTAGCCACAGTCTTGGGCTTAGACGGGAGCCAGCCAGCGGGACAAAACCAGCTCGCCAATCGAGAAGAGGGGATCGTCGTGCCAAGCCACACTCTGAGGGGCAGGGCGGCCTTTCGTATTCTTAAATTTAAGGGTTGATACAACCTCAATCTACCACATCATGGGAGACAGCGGGGTAGCGCGACGTTGGTCGGTCATGAGTCCCTAGAGAGTGAGTGAATGATATATCGCACTCAAACCATGGCCGCACCATTTTACCCAAATATGTATCCCGCTCAGAGTGGGGACGGCTGGTGTGCCATGCAATCCGGACGCAAGGGATTGGACAGGAAAAACACGATCCTTGCTGGGTGGACTTAACAATGCAAGATCAAATCATTCCTTGTAAACATGACTTCATTCTTAGACTTCGCTTAGATATGCAGATGAGCTACATATTTCGGCTAATGGATGAGACAGCAAGAAACATGATGCTGGCTTCCCTTGCACGGGAAATGTATGAAGTAGAGACAGACAGCCGTGTGTGTTGCGATCGGCGTTGAAGTTTTGAGTCTTTTTCTTTTTCGTCCTTGGGCAGAGAAATCGGCATAAACCGAACCTTGGAACATTCTGTCGCGTGATCCGTGTTTTGTTCGCGAGAAATGCTCCACGAAGAATACCTCTGACTGCCGTGATTTGTCGGCCCCTTAGAAGCGACCTCGGGAATATGGAGTTAGGCCGAAAGACTGTGATTAATGTATTTTGGTGTCCTGACAATTTCACTTTGTCTCTAGAATCAGTTTGAGTTTCCGTAGTAGGCAGGATGCAGCTCAACCCTTTGTGACGGGCTATTTGTTGACTGTGTGCATGTCGACTGCCCGTCACCTCTTGGCTGCTATCCTTGGCTCCTGCGCTGCTAGTAACGCCAAGCAGCGAGTGATGCTCCCTGTGGTCGGACACCAGCCAGCGACCGACATGCTCCCGGTCTTTGGTGAATCTGAATTTCTAGACATCCTGTGTACTTCCTGCGGGGTTGGCCCTTGTGGGGGCGCCTCTGCCAAGTGGGCATGTTGTATGCAGGGAAACACCGTGCCATGAGTCTGTTAGTCCCGCGTACGCAGGGTCCGATGTATTTAAATCCAGGGACAGGCCCAATCATGCCCAGAATGTGATATTTTATTCCGAAGATCTTCAGTACTGTTGTGTACGTGTAGTTCTGTGAGAAGATCTGACTGCCTCCGATCAACATGCATTTAACTCAGAGTTTTGCCTTATCGTGCCTGGTGGCGGCTGGTCTGGCTCTGCCTGGTATTGGTGGGACCAAACTCCAGGAAAACAAGGCGCGCAGTCCCGGTTATGCCGTTAAGGAGCCTCCCTTGACAACGCCATGGACTGACAAAGTCGGAACAAACCCCTGGCCTGAATATCCGCGGCCGTTGGTGCAGCGCCCTGAATGGAAGAATCTCAACGGGGTGTGGAAGTACCAAAATGCTGAAAGTCTCGATGCTGTTCAGCAGCCCCCTTTTTGGACAGGAACTCGCACAGGATGTTTTGATTCCGTCGTGTCTTGAGAGTGGATTGTCTGGTAGGCCATTCCCTGTTTGCTACGTTATCATCGGGAATTAACAATTATCCACAGGCATCCAAAGTGATTGGGCTTTGTACTCTTGGTTTTCGACATCCTTCGAAGTATCTCCTTCTTGGAAGGGCGAGCAAGTACTGCTCAATTTTGGAGCTGTAGACTACGAAGCCACAGTATTTATCAATGGTCAAAATGCAGGCTTCAACCGTGGCGGATATTTCCGCTTCGTGGTAGACGTGACCAAGTACCTGAAGTTTGATCAGCCGAATGAGCTGTGAGTATCCCGGGATCACACCGTAGTCGACTTGCATATCTGACCTTGAATACAGACTTGTTTTCGTACATGATCCCACTGACGATGGTGACTATGTTATCCCCATCGGAAAGCAGACCCTGAGACCCAGTCACATCTTTTATACCCCGTGCAGTGGTATATGGCAAAGTGTTTGGCTCGAGGCTGCCCCGTCCAACCACATTACCCAACTCGATCTTGACGCAAACATGGATGGTCAAGGTGAGTGTCTGGTGTCAGTTTGTGGAAATGCTTGCTTGATTCTGACTGCATGTAGTAAGCATCACTGTACACAGCTCCGCCAATGAGACTGCCGAGGCCGAGGTCACTGTCCACAAAGATGGTGAGACTGTTGCAACCCACAAAGGCCCCACCAATGAGCAATTCCAATTCACAGTATCTTCACCGATGCTCTGGTCTCCGGACTCGCCGAATCTGTACAATGTTACTGTCAAACTCGGCGATGATCAGGTGGAGAGCTATACTGGCTTCCGCACAATCTCTCAGGGGTAAGGTTGACGGAATTGAGCGACCCCTGCTCAATGGCGAGTTCATTTTCATGTTCGGCACCTTGGATCAAGGCTACTGGCCCGATGGTTTATACACGCCCCCCAGTAAGGAGGCGATGGTGTACGATTTGCAGATGCTAAAGAAGTTGGGATTCAACATGGTCCGCAAGCATGTGAGTGTCGCCGTGTCGCATCGTATCCCATGATTTCTCATGCTCACACCGTATGCAGATCAAAATTGAGACCGATCTGTTCTATCAAGCATGCGACGAGCTCGGTCTGCTTGTAATTCAGGACATGCCTTCCCTGCGCCCGCTCCAGTCCAGGAGGGACGCAAACGGCAACTCGGTTACTATCCTACCGAACGACCAGCAGCAGGTTGAATTCGCCCGCCAGTTGGATGTGATGGTTAACCAGTTCAAGAGCTTCCCTAGTATTGTCACTTGGGTAAGTTGAGGTGTGCGGTGAAAGCAAGAAATATTCTGACGTTAACCACTATCTATAGGTCATTTACAACGAAGGCTGGGGCCAGATCACAGCATACCACCCCGAGTTTGCACTGACCGACCGGGTTAGGCAGCTGGACCCCACTCGGCTTGTGGACTCGACGAGCGGCTGGGTAGACCACGGCGCTGGAGACTTCAGTGTATGCACCCTTCCCCTGTGGCTCAACCACGTGGCTAATTAATCTATCTCAGGACAACCACCACTACGCAAACCCCCAATGCGGCAGTCCCTTTTATTCCACGCCCTCGAGCCCATATGATCCCAGCCGGATTGGGTTCCAGGGTGAATTTGGTGGCATCGGGACTAACGTATCCATTGAGAATCTCTGGAACGATCAGGCAGCCATCAACGCTATCGACCAAACATACGAAATCGATACCACCATTGAGGCATGGAATTATCGCAGTCACCGTCTTCTGAACGATCTCGAGGATCAGGTTCGCCTGTACGCATGCAGTGGCGGCGTCTGGACCCAGACGACCGATGTTGAGGGTGAGGTCAATGGTCTGATGACCTATGACCGTCGCGTGGAAAGAGTCGACGTGAAGCAGTGGCAGGCAGATATTAAGGCTCTCTATGATGCCGCCGCTGCACGGAGCAAGGAACGACGGAAAGCTCATAATGTATTTAGTGGACAGATTACCCCATCTGAGGCCGCCCAGATGTCTGGATGAATGCGATGAGTATGGAGTATATAATCTTATATTGGCTCAAATCCCTAAATGGAAGTCCGTGTTATGAAAAATGATCTATCATGACAGTTGGTAATCCCCAAAGATCAAGATCAGCATTTTCTTCAACGGCCTCGTTTCACAATCTTCATTAGGAAGATCTTGACTGGATGGTGTTTTCAACAGCCTCGAGACTCTTACCGCTGTCAAATTTCCCCGGAAATCAAATTAGATTAAGTTTCATCAAAGACCATGGAATCAAGTTAAAATGCAACGGTCCGCGGCAGTCTCGATTATCATCCCTGTTCTAGACTCCCCTCACCAGCCCCCCTGGAAGGCAGTGATCGTCTACCGCGGCTGTTTTTGAAACGTCCCAGATTGAAGAGAAAACAGAAAAAAGAAGGAAATCCCCTCTGATCTATCATTTCGGAGAATTAACAGATCAAAGCTGGTGTGAGGGGCACTTGAGTGAAAATTTTTCATCTAATAATATTTCCAGTCAGAAGAGACTTATTGATCATGCCATATCCACCGGTCAGCGTTCCCGATCTAACCCATCATGCCATGCCATCACACGACACAAGTCATGATAATAGATTCGACTGCGGGTAAAGGGTTGCTTGACATGCATGTGTTCCCTGATTTTTCTACGCTATTGCCCATTAGCTCCGATTGCCCTCCTATAGTAGATTGCAGTGCGTCTGCAAACTGTGCATTCCTTCAGACCCACACATCCACCAGTTCGGTCTTTTCTCGAAGCATGCACTTATTAAGGGGCGTTGAGATTGCTTTCTGGGCCAACTGTACTGTCATAGTTGCGTAGAATTCAAGTCGGTGCTCTCAGGCTGTTGATCCAAAGCTAGATTCTCATCTACTAATGCACAGCTGCCTCCCATGAACACTATATACACCCTAAGGCGCCCGAATATCACCATGTCACAACCCCGTCGGACCCGAACGGAACCCACTTCGTCGCGGGGCCTAGGCGAAACCGTTGAGCCCGTAGCGGAGCTTCGAATATCCGCAGCCATTGAGCGAGAGCGAGATTCAAATACCGATAGATCCATTTCAACCTAATTAATTTGCTTTCTTAGCACGAGCAATGGTTCGTGGAATTGACGTGTGCGATCTTACTGTTTTAAGCCATGCTAAGAACGCCATCTGATCTGTATACTGGTATGATGTACATGAAGAGAGGTCTGACAGCAACCCTACGAGCATGTTAGAGTTGAGCCTGCAGTATTCTTCACGTTTCCAAGTCGCTTGTTTCAAGTTGCCGAGTCTGACAGCACGGCAACCACCTCGGGATGGGTCTTGCCGTCCTTGGCTGACGCGGTCGCTTCTTTTTTTCCTTCCTTTTTCTTTTGGAGATTGCAGGGATCAGCCCACACATGCCTGGACGATCACTCCACTTTCGAGATTGACTGAATCGTCACTCCCTGTGGTCTGATTCGACCATGGGCACTTTACTTACTCATGGGAACGAAGCCCTTAAGGAAAACCTCGGCTTGATATTATTGTGCTCGCATGAAATCGGGTAATTTCGCTTTCTGGGTAAGAGTCATGGGCCATCTGGCTCCATTGCCTAGAGCGGATCCCCAATATGATGCGTTTTACAGTTTGGTGGCTCCCAATCTAATCGTGTTGCATGCAATATACCTAGGCAGAAGAACGGTGAACCGGAGTAATCCTAACGGGTATCGGGCATCCATGGTATAAATACTCGATCCGCCAACTTGCCACGAGGTGCCCCAGTTTTATCTTCTCTCTTCATACTCGGTCTCCGATCTTTCTCGCATACTTCATTCTTTCCCAACCCTGTCAAACAAGACCCCGTTTGCTCACAAGAACGATTTCATACATACCAAAAGATATCGACACTAGAAGTATGGAGCGCAAGATGGGATCGGCTGCCGACCCAATGCATGTCGACCGGAAGATGCTCTATACAAGCTTGGAAGAGCGAATCAAGTACCTCCATCACTTCCTGGACTTCAACTCCGGTAAAACCTTACCATGAACCGCTCCCAATAATCAGCCACAGCCACTAACGTTTTCCCAGCTGATATCGAAGCACTGTTGACCGGCAACAAATACATCAAGCAATTGATCCCGGCAGTGGTCAACCTGGTATATAAAAAGCTTCTCCAATACGACATCACGTCTCGGGCCTTCCACACACGGACAACAGCGGACGAGAGGGAGCCCGAGGAGGAATATCTTCACGAAGAGACACCGAAAATCCAGCGACGAAAGATGTTCCTGCGGTGGTACCTGACCCGTCTATGCCAGGACCCGACCACAATGGACTTCTGGCGGTACTTGAACAAGGTTGGGTAAGTTCACACAATCACCTTCCCTCCACATATTCCCGTTCTCGGGATCAACTCTCTGTGCTTGTGCAACGCGCTAACGTGGGGTTTGGTAACACAGCATGATGCACAGCGGACAAGCACGCATGTCACCACTGAACATCGAGTACATCCACCTCGGCGCATGTCTGGGGTACATTCAAGACATCTGGATCGAAGCGATGCTGTCGCACCCGCACCTGTCACTGCGACGCAAGATTGCGCTCGTGCGTGCCGTCAACAAGATCCTCTGGATCCAGAATGATCTCTTCGCTCGGTACCACTCGAGCGACGGCGAGGAGTTCGCGGACGAAATGTCTGAGTTCAACTACACCGAGGATCAGGAGGGATATCTTGGCGACAAGCGCATTCTTGGCAGCAGCTCCGGTAGCTCGACCGAGGATGACAGGTCCAGTATTTCCAGTGGTGTGGCGCCTTCTATAGACAGTGCGGCTCCCTCGACTACATCCAAGGTGTCGGCGTGTCCTTTCGCGGACATGGGCAAAAACAGTTCGACTGAGACGAAAATTTGGGCCAATTGAGGGGCTGTATTATTGAGCGAGTCACGATTTGCATCTTTCAGGCGCTTGGGGGGTATGGATTAGGATAGGGCTAGATTTTGGAAGCCTGGGGATTTGAAAATACATTTGATCAGCATAGACCGTGTTGAATAATTCAAAAAGAACTTGAAGAAATTAGCCCCTTGGCATCTTCATCTCCTTCATCTTGACCATTTCATTCGGCGGAATGTCTCCGGCTTTGTCATCTTTCCCTCCCCCCACAATTCCCGTCGGCTGTCATTCAAGGTAGTTGAGGAAGGCTTCAGGCTTCTATATCCGCAGATACGCCGGAGATAATTCATTAAGCCGTTTGAATAGTAACAGACCACCGGATATAACTAACCGATCTACGTTCAATTCAATAAAACAGTGAGCTACCACAACCCCCTTTGTGTTCCCGCCACCCCCGCCACTCTATTTGGTTAAGATCCTCTTAAACCAATTTAGCCCCTCCATTCGAATAGACCAGTCCCTTTTCTGTATTAAGGAGATATCCTCCCGTATTATCCTTCTTCAACTCCCCAAAACACTCACAATGGCGCAAACAAACAAGCCGGTGACCCCGCTTATCATCAATAATGAGTCCATTGAGACCGATATCAAATTCGAGGTTCACGCCCCCGCCACTGGCGAGCTGAGTGGCTATTGCGCCGGTGTGTCTGTCGACGATGCCAACCGCGCAGTCGACAGTGCGCAAGCCGCCTTTCCAGCATGGAGCAAGACCAAGGCGAACGATCGCCGCGACATCCTATTGAAGGCCGCCGACATTATGGCCTCACGCAAAGAGGAATTAATCCAGTACCAGCGCGAGGAGACCGGTGCAGGCCGGCCTTTTTCAGAGGCCACCTTCAATATGGGTGTGCTCTTCATCAAAGATTTCGCGGGCCGGATATCCACGATCGAGGGTGCTGTGCCGAATGTCAGCCACGAGGGCGAGGGGGCCATCGTATACAAGGAGCCGTACGGAGTAATCCTGTCAATTGCGCCATGGTAAGCTTCGTCCCATCTGTGGCATATACTGCAATTCGTCAGCTGGCTCGGGACTTTTTCTAATCGATTGGCAGGAATGCTCCTTTCATTCTGGGTACGCGCGCAGTTGCGCTCCCTCTTGCGGCTGGTAACACTGTCGTTCTTAAGGGCTCCGAGCTTTCACCAAAGTGTTTTTGGGCTCTGGGCGACATCTTCCGCCAGGCTGGTCTTCCCGCCGGATGTCTGAACGTCATCTTCCACCAGCCATCCGATGCTCCCGCCGTCACCAACGCGCTCATCGCCCACCAGGCTGTGCGCAAGGTTAACTTCACCGGTAGCACAATGGTCGGCTCGATTATCGCTTCTACCGCAGGTAAACATATCAAGCCTGTACTGCTCGAGCTGGGCGGCAAGGCGTCGGCGATCGTTTTGGACGATGCGAACTTGGATAAGGCTGCCATGAACTGTGCCATTGGATCCTTCATGCATGTATGTAGTGTTGACTCTACCGAGACAAGGATATCCCATACTGACAAGCGATACACAGTCCGGTCAAATCTGCATGTCGACCGAGCGGATTATCGTGCAGCGCTCGATCGCAGACGAGTTCCGACAGAAGCTTGCTGAGACAGCCGAGAAGTTGTTTGGCAAGGACGCGCCCGCGCTCGTCTTGGTCAACACCGCAGGCGTCGCTAAGAACAAGAAGCTTGTTGCGGACGCTGTGTCTCGCGGAGCTACGCTGCTATTCGGCGACGCCAATGCAAGCGAGTCTATTAACACAGGCATGCGACCGATCGTCGTTGACGGCGTCACCAAAGAGATGGACATGTACGCGACCGAGTCGTTCGGCCCGACCGTGTCTCTCATGGTTGTGGACACCGAGGACGACGCGATCGCACTAGCCAATGACACCGAATACGGCCTGACTGCGGCTCTGTACACCAACAACCTGTTCCGGGGGTTACGGGTGGCGAAGCAAATTGAATCTGGGTGGGTTTTTGAGTTCCAAATACAGATCACATCATCTGGGTGGAGATTGGATTGAGGCTAACTTTGCCCTTTTTTTCTTTCTAGCGCCGTCCACATCAATTCCATGACTGTACACGACGAGTCTGTCCTCCCCCACGGAGGATGGAAGAGCAGCGGCTTTGGTCGCTTCGGAGGAGTTTCTGGATACGACGAATTCCTGCAGACTAAGACCGTAACTTGGCATGAGTAGAGGCTAGACTCGCAGGTACATACTATACGAGTCACCGGTGCCTAGGTACATAGGAGACCTGTTTGATTTGGCCCCGTTTTGGGTCCGTTTGGCCCCCGGCAGAGATTGGGCCGCCACGGGCGACTGTTTCCTTGGTTGTCTTGACAGGGCTTGTTCTGGGCTTGTTTGGAGCCCGTTCGGGGTTTCATTGGCTTTGATCCGAACCTTGCAGTCAATGTAGCCAATGACGGAGCCTTCTCGTGTCGCCTCGAGGTGCTACAGGAGGATGTGGTCCGGATACCCGGCTTATACCGGATAGACGAGTTGAATGACTCGATGTGATGCGTGATTTATGTTGCATCGGGCTTATATAGGGTAGGATACGGCTGGAGGGGGTATTTTGATATTTGTTTTCTCCATTTATTTTCTCTTTCTCTTTTGGTTCGGAGCCTCCGATTTAGGTCTGTCTTGGTTTTCGCCATGAGGCTGAAGGTCATGTGATTTAATCTTTTTCTCTCATATCAAGCCTAAAAATACCTATTTTGTAAATGGAGGGCTTGAGTCTATGGATACACCTAATACTAGTGGAATTCCAGCCTTTGGACCCGATAAAGAAACATTTGAACCTCGATAGTTGCTGGGAAGGCGCTGAACACGAGTCCCACCCTAAATTCAGGCACAGGAACGCAGCAAATCACCGCCAATTGCCAGGTGAGACACAATCCATTCTCTATTTTTATTTTTATTTTTCATTTTTCATGTCTTAATCCGAAGAAATGAGGGATTACAATGTGCAAACACGGAATACTTCGTACATACGACGATGTATATTGTATGTTGTATATCATACTCGGTACAAGCTGCTAAACTTCGGCACCCCTGAATATCAGCCTGTTGATCTTTCCCATAGACATCATACCCCCAATGAACCGGTGGGATCGGCAATTGCGTTTGTTCCGGCACGGGCCTGGCGGTGTGGAGTGACGTCGCGATTGTCGTGATAATCGCGAATATCAGTGAATATCAGAATCTAACCTCACAGGTTCGGTTCGAAATCCTCCCCCCATGGAAGGACACATGGTACCTGCAAGGCTCAACGCCCTGTGCGGCTGCAGTGAGGGTTTTTGTTTAGTACAATACGTGTATGACGCCCGTCACAGGGCTTGGACCTGAAGGCGCAACCCTGTAATCTTGCAATCTCCCGAGACCACTTTAGTCGATTCCTTTTCTCCCTAAACAGTGGCGGAAATGAAGGAATATAAGGGATGTCTTGAAATGTGCGACATCTAATTTTATTATAGAAAAAATGTGCAATAATAGCTGAGATGTTCCAAAAGACTTCAGGTTTATGGCGACCATGGATAATCCTCGGATCGTATTTTTGGTTCCCAGGTTCCACGGGTCCGAAATGAGGGGAACCTTAGGTTAGGTACCTTCCTTGGAAGGCTTAAGGTAAACAAACATGTCTACCTACCTAGGTAGGTACTCCATACACTCCAAAACATTATTTGCCGGCTCTGTACGGAGAACCCTGCATTCCTTCAAATACATGTAATACATTTAATACATGTACTTCCCTCCTTTGGCCCCCAGTTTAATGGTATTTTTAATCTTACATGTCGGGACATTCTCTACATTAAGGGTCGGCCGTTATTAGGGATAAAATTAAGTTCCGGGTTTCCCACCAATAAGAACTGGTGCCTGTCGATTTATGATTATTACTTGACCTGTAACGCACAGCCTGACGTTACCTACATATGTAGGTATATTGTTACAATCACATCTGAGCCACAGCCGGCCCGCATGCCCCACGAGGACAAGATGATGGGCACGAGACGGTTATGCGAGGCAGTTCCCTGTCTACAACAGTATTATAGTCTACATATATGTCGGGATTATGATAGAACTCGTACAGAGTATTGACAAGTAAGACAGGGAAGTCAAAGCCACAAAATAATAATAAAAACAAAAAAAAGTAAAAAGTAACCGAGATGAGGTGGATGAGATTTGGTTGGTCTGCGCGTGTCTTTTGGTTTTTGAGGATTTGGTGTAGACCCACCTTGGATGGACCTCCGAACTAGAAATGTAGTTCGCCTCCCCTCCTTCTTCCTTTATTATTTCTCTCTTTTCATCCCACTCATCACGATCCTTTCTTTTTCGTTTTTCAACGATAGTCGTTCTTTTATTTCCCGACCCCAGTCATTCTTTGTCAATCTCGACACTAAATCATCATGCGTTTCTCCGTCGCAACCGCTTTCTCCGCCCTCGTGGCCGTGGCCGCTGCCTACACTGCTCCTGATTACAGCAAGAACCCCAGTGGCAATGCCATCGTCGCCCCTGGCCTGAACGAGATCGTGCCCGAGGGCAAGACCTACACCATCAAGTGGACTCCCACTACTACTGGTCCCATCTCTCTGGTTCTCCTGCGCGGTCCCTCCAACAACGTCGTCCCTCTGAAGACTCTCGCCGAGTCCGTCCCCAACAGCGGCGAGTTCAAGTGGACTCCTGGCTCTGACCTCGAGGCCGACACCACCCACTACGGTCTGCTCCTCGTTGTCGAGGGTACCGGCCAGTACCAGTACTCCACCCAGTTCGGTATCTCCGCCGCTGCTGGCTCCGGTTCCAGCTCCAGCGCCGTGACCATTGAGACTACCGAGACCACCACCATCTGCCCCGAGACCGAGACTCCCGTTCCTGCCTCGTCCACTGTCTACTCGAGCGTTGAGATCACCACCACCATCTGCCCCGAGTCTGAGACCACCGCTCCGGCCACCACCCCCGGCCCCAAGGTCACCCCCACCGGTGTCTCCCCCGTTGGCCCCCCCTCCAGCACCCCCTTGAGCTCCATCCGTCTCACCACCAGCGCCGTTCCTTCCGGCACCGCCTCTGCTTCTCCTTCGGCCTCGTCCCCTGTTTTCAACAGCGCTGGCCGCAACGCCGCTAGCTTCGGTGCCGTCATGGCCGGTGTCCTCGCCGCTTTCGCCCTCTAAGCGCATTCTCTTAAAATAGAATTGCGTGTCGATGGCCTCTTTTTTCTTTCTGCTACAAGCACGGAAATAATGTTTTGTTATTTTCATGACGCTTAATTTATTGATATCTTGATATGGGCTTTCTGGATCCTGTCTTTCGGCAGAGTTTTCCGCATCTCATACCACGTTTCTCTTCTTGTGTTCTATTTTCTCGCATCTCTCTCAGCTATGGTTGCGTAATGTGAAGTTCATGTCCTTATGCCTCTTCCTCGTAGTCTACTTGTGCTCAGGTAGATACTAGGGCATGGGTCGTGTTTTCACCCATATAGACTCGTAGGTATCTACCATAATCTAGGCGTGAAAACGAGGCAGTGCAGTTGATAGATCGATAGATAGACTTGGTAGAGGTCAGAACCCCTTGTTTTGCCATGGATTCATCTAGGATTTATCTATCTAGGTCCCTTCCTAGCGACACGGAATCAGGCAAAATAGAGGCAAAGCAAGGACTGGCAAGTTACTGCCCGAGCAAACGCTTGCATCTTAGTGTAGCACCAAACAGGTAGCAAACAGCTCAATGCAACAAACTGATTACTTGCAGATGCAATGCGGTCCAATATCTGTTCGTGCATAACGCAGACTAGAACAACAGACCCTGCTCCAATCTACATCATACGCATAGACACATAGTTAACAACATAATGACAAATATAAATTTAGTTACACTGCATAATAATACACGCTATTTTGGGCTGTCTAGGGTAAGCCCGACCTTTGCCACTTTACTTTATCAACTGAAGTTTGGGGAAAAAGCCATAACATCCACAATTACCAAGAGATGGATACATACCTAGGTAGTTTGAGGTACCAAAGAGATGATCACAGTTGCTACCCTCCAGATATAGTGTGGCTTTCTTTGATTCAGTGATATGTCACATCCTAGAGATGTTTTGGTATTAGTATAAAACTCCTCCCCTTTTAAGATATCTATAGCAACTAGTCTGTTATTCTCTCTTCGCTTTCAATCCCAGGGACCGTACTTCCTCCGCGCTCCAGTCTCTCTAAAGCCACAACAATGGACCATGAACGCCTTTTCTCCTGGTTTGTTTTCGCCACGCTTCTCCTTCTAGTAATGGCCTTTTTGAACCATTTCCTCACGCCGATACTAGCCCTCCTAGCGTTCATAGCCCTCAACTCTGTAGACCAGCTATTAAATCGACTCCGCCTGTTCATATAGTTCTGATCCTGCACTATGGGACCGTACGTCCCCAGTTCCACGCACTACTTTGGTCATCAGGTATCAGATTGAACATGACTATCAACACGTTAGTTGGCTCTCTAATTATTAGTCGAACTTCGGCTCCACTCACGCTCACCAAAGGCACCGAATGTATCGTCAAGTTGTTCGAAGATATTCGCGGACGGGTATTCAGATGGTTCGACGGGTGCTTGGACTGGTCGGTTGTTTGCTTCGCTATGGTCGTGTGTTGCTTGGGGCATGTGTGGTGGCTCTCTCGAATGGGACGGCGCGTGACTTGTTGACATTGGAGGATGATCGCGGACATCTTGTGAGGACGGGGAATGACGCCCAGTATGGTCTATACGGGCCGCTTGTACACTCGAAATGGCACCCCTTTCTATATCCTTGTGAAGATTCGTCTCCAGTCCACCTCTCAAGGCACCGGACATCTCTCGCTCGATAGTTACTTTCAGCAACTCCGTTAAAAGTTGTGCAGTCTGCTTGGCAATACGATTGTGGGGCCCCAAAGCTGTGCTAGCATGGATGATACGCATGATCCCCGCCTTGGCCTCATGCGCAGCTGTAGTAAAAGGTTGGCTAGTTGGCAGGATGCAAAGGATAACTCCTGCAGTAAATTGTTGCAGAGAAGCGAAGGATTCGGCGAAATGATGCTTGAAACGGAGGACTGGAATGCGAGATATCCGTAGTGCAGCTGTTGTGGCCACTCTCAATGACTCGTGGATTGCATCTACCACCAAGGGGGAGCAAGAACCAGTAATTTTCTGCTCAAGTAAAGGTCGATGAGCTTGTATCAGAGCTCCATCGTATGTCAATTGGAGAGTTGCAGCCTGCAAAATGATTGTTTCTGCTTGATATTTAGTGCGTTGCGGTAACCCTTCGATTTGCTGTTGGAACTGCTCTAGGCGATTGTCGCAGCTCCAAAACTCGAAATCGAACAATCGAGGAACCCTTTTTCGCCAGGAGATTAATTGTTCCTCCGAGTCTTGTGCGGCTTCTGCAATTGCCAGAAGGTCTTCTTCTATTGTTTCTTTCCTTAATTGGAGACGACGGAACCGCGAAAGAATGTGTCGAATGATGTTGTAGATCTCATATTTCATCGCGAAAAACCCAGCTGCCGTTGTTGGCATTCCATCGCCAGATATCCACTCATTTTTCAGAAGAAGTGGATCAATGGCTAGGTCATCCATGTCTCTGAGTGAATGCAAAGCGACGAGTCCAGTATCAATAGACGAAGGTCGCCCATAGATAATAGACGCAAACGTGTCACCGACAATAGCATGGTTCCAACAGCGAGAGCGGATCTCATCCACAACAGGACTTTCACATCGTGCTGATTTCGTATAAAGACGGAGGGCATAGGCGGACCTCACAGCCATACCCGAAACAGTCCAAGCAATACTCGGCGAACTATGATAAACATAATAAGATGCCACCAAGAAGCAAACTTGGACAGCTTCAATTCGGCAGTCAATTGAGATATCGAGTAGATTCCGTCGTATCTCATTTATCAAACCATGGATCAACTTCTTCCCGTCAACGGAGTGTTCTCGCAGCAATTTATGTCCGTGCCATCTCTGATCTGGAAGCGCAGAATTCAGCCCGATCATAGCCACTGCCAGGACAGCCATGGTAGGACTGAGATCTTGCCGTCTCCACGAAGTCTGGGAGATTATCCTGCGTGCAGTCTGCCGGAATGAGGGCTCATGGAACAGCAAGATAAACCATTGCATTCGGTCGAAATAGACGTCGATCAAGGCTAACATCACGGCCTCTGGAGGAAGCTCTACCTCTGTCAAATGCCATAATGAGTTGTCCAATGTAGGATCTCCCGTATCACCAGGGATCGATGCACCGGTTAAGGTCCGGCCTGCTTCTTCCTCGTTGAAGACTCGTCTAGCGAAGTCAATAGCTGAAGCATTAGCACCGGACTGCGGCTCTTTCGGAGAGCGCTCCGGATAGGAGGTTGAGGTCTCTGGGGCATAAGATATCTCGGATCCTTCAGTATCATGTGAGAGATTGGAATTTTTGTGTGTCGCTGGTGCGATTGCTTTGTGTATTTTGGAATTCACATGCAAATCTCTGCCCCTTGGGTTTTGTCTGCGACTCCGTCTCGCTGCGCGCTGGGATGTCTCGCATTTATGTCCAGCGCGAGTACAGAGCACACAGGGACGTGAGCTGTCGCACTATACGAACGCTGTCAAAACCATAGATTCAAATTAGGGGGGCGGAGGCGTGAAGGAATCTACCTTGAGTTTCTGGCGGCGACATCTGTCACATGCTCGCGGTGTGCGGAGTGGTTTTTGCAACAGACTGGTCTCTTGCTCCATAAATATACCAAGATAGGGTTTGGCCAATTCTGTGCAAGAGTCCAAATATCCAGGCCTATATCTATCCACATGTGTCACTGGGGTTAGAACTGGGGTAGTACTGGGGTCCCCGCAACTTCGGGATGGCCGAATAACCGCGGGAAACCGAATTTAGTCTTTGCCGCCAAAACATAATTAGATAGTATATCGATTCCTTTCATTGTTTGTACGCTAAAATGACTAAATGCTTTTAATCGATCAAGTTACGGTCAAGCCCAAGAGGTGCCCTCGAGCATTCTGCGCCTGTGAGAGAACAATCTCAGCCGCAGGGTATGTTTGTAGTAAATGCCCAGCTGCTTCCTCGCAAGCATACAAGTTCGACATAGCCTGCATCCTCACAATATCATCCGAGACCTTCAGGTCAGGAAGGCTTGCCTCCAGAATAATAATCAATATAGTAATAGTGCTTCCAGGGAGAAAATGAAGCATCCTGCAGTCATGCAGCTCATTGAGAATCTCACTGACTTGCAAAGTCAAGCCTCTCATTTCCGAGATAAGGGTTGTCTGGATACCATCTCCTTTTCTCGACGCAGCTTGATAGAGTATGGACATCGCAGTGAGATGGAGGAGATAAAGGAAAGCCTGGTGGACGAGGAGGACAATCTCCGGCGACTCTGCATGACAATCGCGCAAGAGTGATGGCGGGAAATAATGTGCCGGGGCAGGAAGGTCCTGGATCCAGGCCTTCAGGAGCTGTTCGCATCCAATTATGGCAGCCTGAGATACATTCGACTTTGGCACCATGGAGTATTCACATCCCCCGACGGCGACGGCGACCAAGCATCTTGGTAAAGAAGATTGATGATGACGCCCACGCAATGAGCAAGCTTAATCTCCTGAATGAATAGAAGCATCATTCGCTCTTGATTTTCCCAGCTGAGCATGGCGGATGCTTCTCCCAACATAACCAGCACGAGTTCATGGTATAGTTCGGAGGAATAGTATCTCGTAGAGTCCAGTAACGACATTGTGACATCGCTGTTTGGGATTCGTAGTGGCCGACGGAAACCGAGGGAGAGAACACGGTCGCGCACATAGAGACACCACCACAGCCTGTGCTTGTGGGAAAAGCTACCTGTTTCTAAACTCCCAAGAAGACCAACGCGCTGTGCTGTGGAGTATGCGAGATCAAACCAGTATGTCGGGTCTTTGTGGCCACTCCCACTTCCATGCCACTGCATCATGAGCAGTAATGCTTGGATCTGGGTATATGCGTCTGGTTCGGTCTCGAATTCATAAAGAAGCTGATGATAGAACCGGAATTAGTCTCGACTTGCCGTGGCTTTTGTCTTCTCCAGATATCTTACCTTGGCTCGCCCAAATAATGTCCTTCGCAATGCTTTCCGTGATGAGAACCCGGCTTTGACGGCAGTTTCCTGCTCAATAAATGCACTGCCGGCCAACATGACAGCTTGATGAAGAAGCGGGCTCGGGAACCGGGATTCATCCTCGACCATGACATTTAATAAAAACCATTGCAAATCAATGACAGGTAGGAGAGGATGAACATATTTGATATAAGCCGCGAGCAACTCATTCCGAAGGTCGATCGAAACTATTCTGAGAGCCCCTTTCAACTGTAGATATTCTTTACTTTCTTCGGAGAGATTCGGCAGCCGCGCTTCGAAAGTTCGCTGCAGTTCGAACGGTAGGTTATGCTCCCCTAGAATAAGATCCGGGGTCCGCGGCGAGAGCAGCTCGTTTATCGTCGTAAGATAACTGTCCAAGGGATATGTCTGGGGCACATTGTGCGTCAAGGTCATGTGTGGTTGACCAGATATCGGCTTAATCCCCGATGCGATGAACTGCCCAAAGAGATCTAGCAATATCAGCGACTACTTATGCGGAGATCAGGAGTATATGCTTGGCACATGTGTCCTACCTGGATCATCCCCGCCCTGTCCAACCGATCTACATCCTCGGCATTGGAGAACGCCTCCAGTAGACTAAGAGAAGATGGGAGATCCATCGGCACGGACTCCGGTTGCTTCTTCCTTTGCTGCTAAAGGGATTAGCGCTAGGGTAACCTCTATAGGTAGGGAATATTTACCTTGATTCTTGGGGACACAGTGGGAAGAACTTGATTGATTGCGATAAGCACGTGAACCGAGGTCGGTTTCACACCGGGCCTTTAACTGTCGGCACTCGATACACCCCAGCGGTGGTCGTGGCTCCTGTCTTCTTAGCCAGACTTATGTTGTATGTTGTACAACGCTGTGTTGTAGGATTGCCCTTAATATGAAGGGGATACGAGACTCATCCGCGTCATCCGTGGGGAAAGTCGGGGCCCCGCATTTTTGAGGATCCGATGGATTTTCATGGTGATAATTGGCTGTTCCTGGTTCCGACCTTTCAAATCGAGACTCAAAGCTGCTGGAAAATTGCGGTGAGTGGACGCCCATCTTCCACCGGAGAAGGGGGAACTTCCACCGGAACTTCAGGAGCCAATCACATTGCTCGAGAAATTTAATCTTCATCTACTCCATATACGACTCCGTACAAACGACTTCATTCATTAACCATGAATAGATACTAAATCTACAGAATATTCAGGAGTCACTTGAAGACAATCCATCATCCTAACCACCATCTACCAAGGATACGAACCATCCTTATTAACAAACCCACCAGCATCTCCATCCTTCTCACCAAGAACAATCCGCAAAATCTCTCTACCAACGGATTCCCAGGTGCCCCATACTCACTAACAGCGGCCTCATTCTCGCCCATCAAATTCGACCTCACAAAACCAGGGCAGAACGCAAAAACCCGCAGACCACGACTATGCAGCCGCTTGTGTATCTGAACAGTAATCTTATTCAACGCCGCCCTTGCTTGCGCGGTACTCATCCAAAGCCGTAGCATAAACACCACTGCTGGAATCAGTCGCCAGTTTCATTGACCCCAGAGCACTGGAGACTTGGACCAGATAGGGGTTTTCTGATCTGAAGAGGGGGGGATGAAAGCCTCTGAGACCAGTGTTGCGCCAATCACATTCGTCGAGAAAATCTGGTTCAGTCTGGCGCGGCCGGTGCTGTTGGATGCGGCGGAGCCGGCGTTGCCGATTAAGATGTCGAGGCGGTTGTATTGTTCGTCTACGGTGTGCACCGCTTGCGTTATGGAGGCGTCATCTTCCACGTCTAGCTGCAGTAGAGATAGAGTCCCCTTGAGTTTTTTTGGTTCGGAATTGGGAGAGTGCTTGTTGGCCTTTTTGGAGGTCTCGACAGGCTAGGATTACATGGTGGTTTGGGTGACCGGCTAGGATTTGAGCGGTTGCGTAGCCGACGCCTGGGTTCGCGCCTGGATAGAGTTAGGTTCCCGGAGTAAGGTTTGGCTTTTAGTTTGTGGTCTGCCTGTGATAAGGATGATGTGTTGAGACATGCTGTCGTAGTTGCTCAGTTTGTTGTGAAAGGGCTGGCGAAGAGCTAGGATGGAGTCGAATCACGGAGACAGGAATTGACTACTTTACTATGAGTATAATGCACTTCATATACTATATCTACTCAATGATATATGATACTGCAAGTCGGATATAAGCCCTCGATCACCGTCACGGTGGAATGTCGGTGTTAAGCCGGAGACTGAGAATTGCTAGTCCGACAGTGCATGACTAAAATGTGAAGATACTTGGGTTGAGCTGAACTAGTGTACCTAGCACCTGTGAACATATTATCTGTACGTCCTACCCATCTCGATTGTGCTTCAGTTGCCCAAGTCTCGAAGTAAACATGTGAATTCAGGAATTAGAACGCAGAAACTATATATGCTCATGATGTCATATGAATCACCCCGTACCACCTGTCGACCTTCCAAGGTTCGCCGGGTCTCGGTCTATCACAGATCAACCAATCACTTCCGAGGATCGGACCAAGGTATGTCTCAGAGTAACATTGCAGGCTAAGCTTTTTGAGAACTTCGGTCCGAGTGCTGTCTTGTCTTAAATATACACAGGTACCTACCTATGTAGGTACATACATCTAGACAGTTTCGGCGATCGAGCCGTAAGATAGTGGCATCCAGGTGTTTAGGCAGCAATTGCGAGAATTAGATGCTGAAAATATTCATATTGGGCTTTGAATTTCCAGTTTTCAAGATATATCTTCCAGTTTCAACAAAAATGATTCAATACATCGCCAATGGAGGTATCACCGCTGTGCAATCCATACACAAAAATAGCGAGAAAAATCAGACAGACAGTATGTGACGAAAACAGGGTAATATAATGAACGACAGAAAGGTATAGATTTTACTTTTGCGGGAAGTCTTTCGAAAGGAAGAAATGCAGATAGTTATACACACCCAGCCTAAAGGAAGAGGCACTTTCGGAGTAGACCACATCACTAAAGGAGTATAGACCACCTTCGAGCGGTCATGCCAGTGACCGCTTGTTTTTCTTTCCTGGTGGCAGTAGCACACGAGGTAGGGGAGATTAAGAGTGTAAGGGATAGGGAGAAAAAGACAAGAGAGAAGGAAATGATAATTTTCTTTGATTCGACAGCCGAACAAACTCATATCAAGGACGTGACCACGACCCTTGCAGTGGAGGCAGCGGACCCCCAGTAACCGACGGCGACCCTGAAGGCGGGCCAGCAACCGCCCGTCCGGCGGGTGCAACGGGGGTTGAAGAATACGGAGGACTTGCAGGCCAAGCAGGTTGGGACTGAGCCGAGTCGGGCATTCTTCCCTGTGGAGCGGCCGAAGTGGGCTGTGTGCCTGAAGCGGATCGGGCAGCATCGGCGCCCGACCAAGACGTGGAGCCCGGTTCGGATGCGGGGAGGAGGGTTGGTTGGGCGGAGCGTGGCGAAGAGGGTCTTGGCGGTAAGGCGCTTAGGGACATTGTGCGGCCTAGGTGGTCGCGGTAGAAGTCTCGCTCGGAGCGGTAGTGGTCTCGTTGCTGGACGAGGAGCGGAGCTCCTCGCTCTGCCGACGGACTGTTTCTACGTTGCGCTGGATCTCTTCTTGCTGTGCGTTGAGCCGCTGCTCGAGTTGCATTTCGTTACGCTTGCGATTGCGGAACCGTCGTGAGGCGTCGCTGTTCGCTTTGCGCTTTTCGGCTTGGCTGGAGGAGCCGGACCGCATGTCTAGTACGCATGGTATCATTCCCAATGGGAGCGGGCTACTCTGTGGTGTTCCGGCTCGTGTGGGGGGCTGGTTCGGGTTGGGGTCTTGGGCCTTTTGTTGCGGGGATGGGTCGGGCTAGAGGGTCCACCGTCATATATGAAGGCGCAGTGGCATATGATGCGGCGCTTTGTGCGAGGGAGATACTGGCCACTGCTGGGGATGCACGGCCATAGGGGCTGAAAGTTGAATGAGGCGTGCTAGGACTCGTTTCTTGGGAATTTGGGTTGGTGAGAGGCCCTCGGCCGGCACTGGTTTGCCTGGAATGCAGACCGGTTGTAGAATGCAGCGAGGTCAACGGAGGCTGAGTGCCAGTGAGAGGTTCAATTGGGCGTAGTCCCGTCTCCAGGGGCAGAGGCGGACTAGTGACAGGCACGCGTGGGCCCGTCAACGGTTCATGGGGAACTAGCGGTGACTGTGCAACACTTGACTGACCAGAAGCCCTGCCGCTCCCAACGAACCGCGCCGAAGGCGATGCTGGATTCATCAAAGGCCGTGGATGGGACTTCGGGGATAACGGCTGCGAGGTCATCGCATATCCTGAGCGGATGGGCGAAGTCCCTTGGGGACGAGGTGAGGAAGATGGACCCGGTAGGCTCAGTGGCTCTGCCGTTGCCTGTGGATGATTCAAGATGGCATGGACACCAATGGGTCGCGATGAGATAGATTCCAGTGGTGGTTCCACGGGCCCATACGGATGCCATGACTGGGGTCGAGGTCGATTAGGCGGCCGCGGACAGGATTTCGGGTTGTAAATGCACGGTCATTGTCACTCGCACGGTCATCTGTTTGAGCCACATCTCTGGACAATGAACCTGCACGTCGAGAATCCTGCGACATAGGAACCGAATCTCCCACGACGGGGCGGGAGTTAGGGCATGACCGAAACCCCCCTCTCTCCTCGTCGCTGGGCTCTCGAGGAGTGTGAGAGAGGGAGGGTGAAGGTGATGGATACCGATCAGAATAAAGTGACAGGTTGGGTGAATGTGAGCCCAAATATGGTGCGTTCAACACACTGATTCCTAGGGCAGCCACGGTGAATAAGATAGTAAGAATATATAGAACAAGAGACTCGATTCTCTCAATTGGAGAATCGAAGATAATATAAGGAAGCTAAGGAAGCTAGAAAAGCTAGAAAAGCTAGGAAGATGGGGCGGAAAAGATCCGAGGCCCTTAAACAAAAGCTAGGATAAAAAAAAAGTGACCAAGTCAGAAACCGAAGGAAAAGACAAGCTTAAGAGGAAGAGCCGTTGAAATATTAGCAGCGGTGAGAGAATGATCCATCACCTGGTCTGGATGGCTCCAAGACAACTTAGTTGTCTCTCTGTCCGACCCAGTTTGGATAGTTGGGCATCTCCTAGTCTAAGTCTAACCCCAGAGTATTGGGCTTCTTTTTTTATTTTTGTTTTTTTACGTTTTTTACATTTGGGTTTTTTTCACATTTTAGTTATTTTTATTTAGATAATAGTTTAGGTTAAAATAGAAAAAAAAAGAAACGAAACGAAAACAGAAACAGAAATAGAAATAGAAATAGAAATAGAGACATTGAATATAGAATATGTCCAATAGGTCTAATATGTCCAATACAATGTCTAATGGACTGATATCACCCCCTATTATCGGCAATTACCCAATCCAGCCATGTCCTTTAATATCTCAACCTAAGTACCCGGGGAAAGCGATCGTCATGCACAGCACGAATCATCGGGAGCTGCAAGTGTGCGGCGCCGTCACCATGGACATGGACAGGGACAAGTGGAGACGAGCTTTTTTTCTTTTTTCTTTTTCTTTTTTGTCTTTTTTGTATCTTTTCTTTTTTTCCCTTTTTGCCCTTTTTACCGTTCTGTATTTATCCAACTATATCGTATTTATTCTGATTTCCCGTAAAGAGTCAACCTTGGAAGGTTTGGGACTTTGTCAAAGGTGGATAGTACAAGGGAATCCAGAAAGTTCCTTCTCTTAAGATGACGCACAATATGAAATGAAATGAGAAACGAACTATGTCTCCATTTCCTAGTCCGATCTATACCGACTCCGGTATAGTTAATCAGGCAATCCCCAATAGTTGCCTGGTAAGCCTGGTAGCCTGGTCCTGTCAATTTCCGAGAGTTTGGTGCTTGGGGAAACTAGTAGACTATACTCCGTACTCCGTAATAATCTGGAAAAGGGGATATAAATTAATAATAAAAAGGTAGAAAGGAAGAAAGGAAATTCCTGTCAAAGTTTGGGAAATGTATGTTGTGCATCACCAAATCTTCCCCGTGTCCCGGCAAAAGGGGCCGTTGACCGTTAGGGGTAACTGGGAACACTTCCGCGCGTTCCTCTACTCCGTAGTAAATAGTCGATCTTTAGAACTTTTGCTTCACTACTCCGTACGGAGTACCGAGTACATTCTATAACATATAACTTGATATTTATTTGACGTCATTGAACAGGGTAACGCAGAGAACCCGACGTTGGAGAACCCAGCATCAACTTAAAAAAAAAAAAATCACTTCGTTTCACCCTTTGGTGTGACGATGATAGCCAACGACGCTGAAAATGATGTCATTCGAAACAGTGGAAAAGAAAAAGTAAACAGTCACCTGGTTACCGGTGACAACTCTCGTTCTCTATCACCTCGGATTTGATGCTATGCTCCACGATCGGACCAGGCGGAAAGGGATCCGGGATTCCCCTAGTCTCACGATGTGAGCTGCATAAGAAACCCATGTGGATAGCTCTATTTCCCAGAGGCTTTCAAGCTTGTAAGTCACGGGATAAAGACTCCGCGTGGCAACCCTCAAATAAGCAGCGGAGATCGCTTTAGTGTCCAGTCGAAAGACACTGCACTAAAGTGGGTTCTTGAAATGGAAAATAATTTGACTCCATAAGACAGGCCCATAAAGATAGGCGACCTGCTGGCGCAGCTGAAGCGCCTCTTCTTGGCACTCACATCTGTTGCTGATCCTCCTTCGACCATGAGAAGGCATTGTCGGAATTGTTCCGTGATCTCCGCGGATTCTGATCTGAGTGTTCCCTACTCCATACTCCATACTCCGTACTCTGTACTCCAGAAGTGGGTAAGTAGGCGCTTACAAAATATTTGCGATAGATCTTCTTTGGATGTGTTGTCATGCACAAGACCCGAGGTCGCTTCCGACAGAGTTTGAAGGGGAGCTGTCAGTCTTTTGCTGCAGCAGAGTACCCGCTATTGTGTGTTTCTTTTCTTTTTCCTTTGCTTTTTTTTTTTTTGAACGAATCATCGTCCATAGCTGAAAGACAATTGCGGTCTGATACATCCAGTAATTTTGACTGGTTGAATCGAATATGGGGCTAAAATACTGGAGGATTTGGAAGCACATGTTTCTCTCTTCTTCCCACTCCTTACTCCGTAGAGTAGGGCTGTTTGCTCTGTCAACTTGTGGCTTGCAATCTCAAACCACCGTTCCTCGACTATATTGTCTTGAGTCTTCCACCGAGACCCCAAGATCCCTCCCCAGGCCTGGGTCGGATGCGTGTCATCGAACTATTTGAATTGTGCAGAAACGGAGAAGTTAAAAAGAGATCCGGGAGAATGGATTCATCGATAACTGGTTCTTTTTTTTTTCTTTTCAATTTTCAGTTTTCACTAGACTTCACTTCAAAAGAAGTGGATACCCCCTTTTCATGATCTGCTGTCTCTTCACCGCATAGATCACCGATTATCTCGTGTCCGCTGCAACCGCTTTTGTCCGCTGCAACCGCATTTACCATAAAAAAGCAAAAGAATAGCTTTGTCTAACTTAGATTCCGAGGACATCTCCCGTTGGCAAGTTCGGTAGATCTTCCCCCTTTGAATCAACCCACACGCATACTCCTCGGAAAAGCACAAAAACACAGCACATCGAAATACATCACTCTGTGCCTGTGCCCTGCAGGGCGGATCCCCCCAAATCAAAGAGGCGGTGCTGGTGCCCACGCGTTAGCCTTGACCGAAATCCAGCCGAGTTTGAAATCGGACGGAAATCAGGGGAAGGTTCTACAACAATAGCATAATAGCATGTATGGAGTATATGGTCGACATGATGTGAGATCGAAATGCGGAAGCTGATTCGATCTATAAACCTGGGTTTTTGTCCCTTGCGTGGGCTGCAGTGGAAGCCTACTCCGTACCCCAACCCAGGTTTTCGGACAATGACAGCGCGGACCGGCGTGCTCGCCCGTTTGCTGATCATCGATCCACACTCAGCTTCACACTGCATATCCGGATTTGTCGAGTGCGTCTTTGAGAACTTTTTTTCTCTTCCTGTGAATGCGATGACCACTACTTCGTACCGCCTTTTGGGCTGAATTTTCGGCGCGGGAAGCCCAAAGTACTAGTGATGCACCATTGATCCTGCTGCTCGATGCACATGTACGTTGCAGGATGCGGCCGAAGTACGGAGTAGAATAAGAATAGACCAAGAATCAAACTAAGCATGTACGGCAGTATGTATGTGCTATGTATGTACGGAACACTCCGTACCATGTACTATGAAGTATGTATACCAGGATGTCTGATGCACACGAAACACAAATCCATCATACCCTAGTCCTGAAACCGGAACTCATTCTTAGGCACGCCACGAATCCCAACATCGATCCTGAAAACCCGGCCGCCGTACCTAACCGACTGCGGCAGGTGGTCATCGTCACGGTCATCCTTGGCAGTAGTAATAAACAACTCGGTACCAACAAAGACTGGACAGGTCACGTTTCGCGTCGGGAGATCGATCTGACCGATAACCTTTCCGGCCGGGGAAATGCGCAGTACCCTTCCGCCGCCGTAGATAGCGCTCCAGATGCAGCCCTCGACATCAATAGCAAAGCCATCGGGCTCGAGTGCATTGCCAATATCGAAGTGCACTCGACGGTTGCTGATCGCGCCGCTGGTCGCATCGAAGTCAAAGGCAAAGATCTTGCCTGTGGGCGAATCCGTCAGGTACATCACGTCGTCGGTCAGGTTCCATCCGATCCCGTTGGGGATCGTCACCGGTGCTAGCATGTGGTGCACAGTCTGATCTGGGTCTGGTCTGAATAGAACTCCTTCTGCTTCTGGTTTCTTGATCTTCGGGTCGTTCATCGCTCCGGCCCAAAATCGGCCTTGGCTGTCAATTGCGCCATCATTGAAACGCATTCTACATTTTGTAACAGATGGTTTATGTTAGTTGGACTTGGATGATTTTTTTTTTCTTAAACTCCCTTTTACGCTCACCTCTCTGCTTTCCCCTCATCTTTCCCCCAAAGCTCATGGGTATCATGGATATAGGAGAGGTTCCCGGTAGTCTGGTCCAGCCGGGCAAATCCATATTTGGCCGCAACAATCAGCTGATTGGACGTTTTGGCAATATTAGCGGTCACGCTAAAAGTCCACGTGGTTTTTTCCCGTCAGCAAGAATTTCCTTTTCCCATGCGAACGGTTGGGAACCCACCCAAGAGAGACCTCGGTATCAATGACCTTCAAGGACTCAGGACCCTTTGCCAAGTCCAGTCGATAGAGCTTGTGGTCCCAGATATCCACGAAACGGAACTCATTGTTGGCCACATCGTAAAAGGGGCCTTCGAGTAGTGTACCTGGGATGTCAAGGTAGGGCTAATAAAGTTAGCTGTCTGTGATTGGTGTATATTTCTTTTTCTTTTCCCTTTTTTTCCTGTTCTGTGACAGGCTGGGGAGAATAATCGTCGTCACGTCTGACCGACACGAGAACAGGGGAGGGGGAAAAAAAGGGAAAAAAAAAACAAAAAAACAAAAAAACAAAAAGACCAAGCGAATCAGGCAATGGCGAATAGCATGGAATACCGACCTCATTGACCGTCCACCTCTGAATTTCAGACATGCCGATCGGTGACAGAGTGGACACCGCTATTTGGGAATTGAGGAGAGGGGTGAGAGATGTTAGGCTCGCATAAAACGGTTCACTCGTGTTCACGTCCAATTCAAGTCGATTGCAGAACTACCTAGGTAGTCAAGGCAAATCGTCGGAGTCGCTGGTCCTCCGTCAGTACACTGTCCACAGTTATATATTGAAGAGGGGAATTAAGGAGACTTCAAGATGAGAAGTGGGATATGCCAAGCCACCCCCACGAGGGCTTACTATTCCACTTTGGCTGGGGTACTTTTACTAAGGGGATTACTACTACTCCGTCCACTCCGTATGTATGGAGTATGTGATCTTGAAGATATCCTTGTTTCCTTTTTCTTTTTTCCCGCGAACTCGTAGGACGAGAATTGCAGGGATCCCAGGTCCATTCGGCAATCGAATTATGAAAATACCCTCCAATCCCACGCTATTGAATCCCCTGCAGGAATCCCGTCTCTGCAATGCGAATCATCACACAGCCAACTCAGACCCATGAACTACGGAGTCCTCCGTATGCGTAAACTTTCTATCCTGCATCAATTCGTGCAGCTAGTGGCCAAACTATACATAGAGTTCGGGCCTCGAACATCAAGTATTCAATATTTATAACGAAGAAATCTTAAAAAAATACCGTCAGATCACCTTCCAGACCAGGGCCAGGTGGCTTTTCACATGACCGACTGTGCATGCAGATGCAAGAGATTCCTGCGTGTGTGTGCTGGTGGGCGCTAACACAGAACCTACAACCTAGACTTACTCTTGACTACCAATCCCGGAGTTCGAAGGGTAATCCGACTTTCCTGCCTGACTTGAGCTTTGGGGCCCAATACTGAGTTACGAAAAGGAAGACATGCATGTCTGCGAGAGTGTGCCTGCAGCCTATTTGTATCACCTTGATTAAGGACATGATGGATCATGCAAATGGATAGATGGAAGAGTGGAAATTGGATTGTGCTGGATCCATCCTTTTAATATGAAATTGATACTCATATCGAGCATGACAGGTATAGTACGGAGTACTCCGTACAACATATGTAATAGAAATATTAGCCGGGGTAGGGCTTGAAACTATAAGCCTAATGTTGCAACATAACCTTGCAAAGGGTTCAGGCAAAACCCCTGGCAGTTTCGTCTTAGCTTAACTAGTTTCCCATTTAATTCTTACATCGTTGGTCTTGAAATGGGCTTAGTACTTTAAGACTCGAATAAATAATTTTTCAAGCTCATCTGCGCGCTCTGATTTGCATTGGGCAGTGATGCGGTGGCATCGACATACATCATCTTCTATTCACAACATAATATTCGGGAACACGCCTTGAGTTATTTTGGCTTCGTCTAGAGTGTTTTACAATAGACAATATATGCCCATCCCTTGCACCCTCTGTAGCTTTTATCAATCGGTGTATCAGCGTTTGCTTAAGGAGACCATAGGCCAGCTCCAGACACAGACCCTTCACGGAGAAACTCCCAAGCATGACCCGAAACGGTTCCTTGAAACATTCGTATGCTGACGTGATGAAGAAAGGTTATAGAGGTTTTTCATCTGATCGTAAGTAGATGACAGATGAATAAGGAGGGCTTGAGATCATCCCATCCTACATAGATGCCTTGTTATGGTGGCAGACTGAGCGCTTGTTTTCCAATGTAGGCCTCTATAAAAGGGCTTTGCTTTCCTAGTTTGAATATTAGGAGTTTCTTCCCCCTTCGTCTCCCTGGTAGCATGTAGCATCAAGAGGAGGAAATGGAGGAAGAAGGGTAGGTAGCATATATATGTATATCTTTATTGAAGTGAGGGAAAGGGCAATCAGATGCTGGAAACTTACCAGTATCAAACTTGAAGTTATTCCCACATTTCATCTCTACAATATCATTCATGCATTTTCTCTACTCTCACTCTCTATTCATATACCTCTGTGAACCAGCCTCTATACATCCACCGTTGACGACGCTCTTGAATGCGCACATCGAACATTTATCGCGTTTTATTCGCTCTTAGCACTTACATTTGCTGCCTCAAATCTTCCGTAGCACATGCAGTGAGTCCCACGCTTTATAACGCTCTTCGGACTATGCAATTGCATACTGAGTACTATACCACAAACACAGATATGTCGCACAACAACCTCCTACAGTTCGCTCCAACTGCCATGCAAAGTACTCGAAGCTGGCTGCTCGAGCTTCCAACCGAGGCAAGTATATGTCTGTATAAGTGCAATGTAGATCGCAGCCATATCTGCAGTCTCTCTGCATATATCGCCTGACTTCAACCTTTATCAGAATTTACATCTAACCCAGGAAAGGTGAGTCTCATGAAGCCTGAGATAAAATATATCGCTGACTTTCCGACGGACACCTTCCGACAGAGATGGAATCGACGCACCAATCCGATCTCATCTTACCACACGATGCCCCCACTGCACAAGACCCAGTTTACGGCACAGCACAAGTTGTTGAGGGGCCGCCAGCTTTTTGGGCCAACAGGGCCATGGCGTGCATGTGGCCCCGTGCCGAGAACTCGACCAAGAAGCCATCAAGCCTCATATACCGTCTCCACAAGATGAAGTTGAGAAGAGAGCCAATATTGCGGTTAGGGGGCGATCAGCACATCTTGAATGGGGTACAGTTTGGTTATCAGGTGGGATACCTTCTAGCAAATGCCGAAGCTCTACTGGCACACGCCGCTGGAAAGAAGACAAAGTCCAGCCATGTCATATCCTGCGTCCTGGTGCCGGGTCATAAGCACTGTACAAACTGCCACTGGCTTGGGCAAAAGTCCCGATACAGGTTTTTGAAAAGCCCGCGAACCGTTGAAACGACACCAAGGAAAAAGCTGAAGGCACTGCGATGGGTCATCAAGACCATGAAGAAGGAGCGGAAATCTTTGAAGGCCAGCATCAAGAGCCTGGAACGTGAGGAGGATGAATTGACCCACAAGATGAAGAAGGCAGGGCAATTTCCAGTTGCGTATCTATTTGCAAACCGATAGTACTCCTGTTTATCGCTACATACGTATCCATCCATGGATGTCATGATTGGTAAAAAGAAGGTATTGATATGACCTTCTGAAAAGAATCTAAAAACAGAAGACGAGAAGGAGAAAGTAACAGCGAAGCGAAGAACGGCCTCAATAACGGCGGTGGACCACGTTCTTCGAATCAGAGTAACAAGTATGTCATCTCATCGAATGCTTGTGGCCCTATCACAATGTTCCCCTCTCCTGGACCTGGGGGACGATCCTGGATTGCAATGAAGGGAAGGACCATAGGAGCCCCAGTTACAGCATTCGGCATTCCCGCAGCAGTGCTCGCGGTGATATCAACTTGATGGGCACAATAAGCTTGCTGAAGTTGTGCCGGCTGTCTGATCAGCGGCGGAATGTTGGGGGTGTGTGAGCAGAGGGTATCGATATGACTCTGAGTTAGCGGACGGGAAGCCTCGCTCGGGGCCAACTGCCACTTCTCGAAGGAGACAAATTTATGTCTCATATGGATGAGAACGACGATTCGAACGTCACCTCCGGAATCCGCAAACCATTTCCGTGCATTTTGACGAAGTTGGCCAAGCGATTTCGACACACCTGTTTCAATAACGAGTGTTGGGTACCCACCGTTTCGAATCGGTCGTGCGTAACGAGATGGGGGCGAATACGCCTTGTCTGCTTCTTTGCCCTTATTCGTCCCGAATCGGTAAGTTGTGGATCGAAACCAAGCAAAGTCTCTACGGGGGAGGCCCATAGTCCTTAGTTGATCGTGAACTACCGCAGTGAACTGTTCTGTAACGACTCCATGCCCTACTCCGGCAATGATCTTGATGAGGCCGGTCGTACCTTCCCACTGGAATCGATAGGCGACTCGATCAAGACCGCCGCGGTCGCTTGTGAGTGTCTCAATCGTTGCTGTTGACAGACCGAGCACCACAATCCACTGGTTTCCATCGCTATGCTTCTCAAACCATTTGACAATCCAGTCTGCCTCTAGCTGTAGTCTGCCCAGTTGTGGAAGCGAAACCACATGTTCTTCAGGCAGGTCAGATATGAGTGAGGGGACAGGATTTGACATAGCGAGGAATTTTCTTCCAAGAAAGTTCCTTCCTTCTACGAGAAGGTAGAAATCCAGACGAATCAGTTGGGGATGTTAACTAGCGGCATAGCGGAAATGGTGATGTAACGTGGTTAACTGAAGAGTGAGAGACCCGTGGACAAATAATCGTTGACGTGATATTGATGGGGTGCCTTATCGAAAGTCATTTGAAAAGACATCTAAAAAGACTCCTGAATAGCATCTGGAAAGACATATGGAAAGACATATGGAAAGACTATTGAAAAGAAATCTGAGAGACATTTAAAAGATATCCAAGAAGGATCTGAAAATACATGTAAAAGGACGACGGTAGTAATGATATATCTACCGAGGTAGATGTGCCGTAAACAACCTCTTATATACCTACCTAGGTATGATCCTTTTAAGTTGCCTTCCAAACTCCCGTGACCCTTCGGTTGTGTCCTAGAAGAGTAAATACACATACAATGTTTTCCAGAAACGGGATTTGCAGAGATGAGATAAACAAGAAAGCTTCGGTCATTATACATAATAGGTCAACCTAAGTTACAACGAGAGATCACCCATTCTTTTCATGAAAAACAGTTTACAACTTTGTCCCCATGTTGACATGGACGGCCTTGACCTGCGAGTACGCGTCCAAGCCAGCTTCACCGAGCTCACGACCGATACCGCTCTGCTTGACACCACCGAACGGCACGCGGAAGTCACTGTCGTTGCTGCTGTTAATCCAGACCATGCCGGCTTCAATATCGGAGGCAACACGGTGAGCGCGCTCAATGTCCCGGGTGAAGACTGCGGCGCCTAGGCCGTATGTGGTGTCGTTAGCACGGGTGACGGCCTCGTCCTCGGTGGTGAAGCTGGCGATAGCAACGAAGGGGCCGAACACCTCCTCGCGGTAGATGCGCATCGAGTCCTTGACGTTGGTGAAGATAGTGGGCTCAATGAAGAAGCCACGGCCATCACCGACGTTCTTGTGCGGCACGCCGCCGGAAGCGAGCGTCGCGCCCTCGGACTTGCCAGCCTCGATGTATGAAAGCACGCGCTCGTACTGGGCCTTGGTGACCTGAGGACCCTGGAAGGTGTCATCGGAGAAGGGGTCGCCGACCTTGCTGGTGGTGCGGACGACCTCCTTAAAGAGCTCAACGAACTTATCATATACAGAGTCGTGCACAAGGATCCGCGATGTCGCAGTGCAGACCTGACCCTGGTTGTACATGATACCAATGTGTGCCCACTTGGCAGCCTGCTCAAGGTCCGCATCCTCGAAGACAACCAGTGGCGACTTGCCGCCAGTCTCGAGGGTGACGTTCTTCAGAGTGCCTGCGGCCATCTTCATGATCTCACGGCCGGTGAGAGTGGAACCAGTGAAGGCGACCTTGTCAACGCCGGGGTGGTTGACCAATGCACCACCAGCAACACGGCCATGGCCGTTTACAATGTTAATAACACCCGGAGGGAAGCCGGCCTCCTTAATAAGACCAGCCAAGTACAAAATGCTAAGTGGGGTTTGCTCGGCGGGCTTAAGCACGATAGTGTTACCGCACGCAAGGGCAGGGCCCAGCTTCCAAGCCGCCATCGCTAGAGGGAAGTTCCAAGGAATAATTTGACCAATAACACCAATAGGCTGGCGGAGGGTGTAGGCGAATTTGGCCGGGGTGGTGCCAATGGTCTGACCATACACCTTGTCGGCCCAGCCGGCATAGTAGCGGAGAGTGTTGGTGACTTCACCGAGGTCGTCATTCAAAGAGACCTGGTACGGCTTGCCTAAAAGATATGTCAGTCCCTAACTTCGTCGATAAACAACTAACTCCCAGGTTACTCACCATTATCCCAAGTCTCGATGCTGGCCAGGGTCTCTTTGTGCTGCTCAATCAAGTCCGCCAACTTGAGCATCAAAACACCACGGTCAGTGGCTGGTAGTAGCTTCCAGGAGGGATCCTTGAGGGCCTTGCGAGCGGCCTTAACAGCGATATCGATATCCTCCTCACCGGCAGCATACACCGACGTAATCTCAGTTTCGTCGCTGGAGAACCAGTCAGCTCCGAGTCCCGAGACGATTCAGAGGTACATACGAAGGGTTCACAGTGGCGAACTTCTCGCCAGACTTGGCGGCCACGAACTCATTGTTGATAAAGAGACCAATGGGCTGGGTGTAGCTGCGTCCATTCGGGAGCAGTTAATTGCACGGAGACGTCAGACATGATGAAGGGGGAACTGTGGAATGGGCGACGCGGGGCAATGAATCGGCCAAGAGTTGATGGAGCTTTGTACAAACAGTTCAGGCGAATACGGAACATATGGAGAGAGAGGAGTAATATAGGGGAAACCACCCGTGTGGACTGGAAAGTTGCAAGTCCACTGACCTCGGGAGCTCCCCGCCTGATAAGCCGATAAAGATGCTCCACTTTCCGGATAGACTTACTCTTTCGAGTTAGGCTCCCTCTCTTCTCTGCTTGTTTGTTTTATTTGCATTCTACTTCTTATTTGGTTGGTCGGAGTTGGAGACATCTTCCCCTCCTTCTTGAAGCCAGTCCGAGGTCCAATTTATTTTCTCCCGCCTCGAATGACTAAAGTACTCCAGGGCTGCAGGGCTGCAGGCACGTACATAGCGTCAAACACATCAAATATGTTGTACTTCGTTGCTGCTAGCTTCCGGATGCCCAAGCCGTGTTCCGTGACTCCTTGCATATTGCATACACCAACCCGCAGGGTCCGACGGATCTTCCAAATTCGAGACAGATTCTGATACAGCTTGTCCCGACGGTGCAGCTAACGGTCGCATATATTGGAAACGCTGTAGACTAGGCGGTCAGCTTGTGCACATGTGTAAGAGTGGTCTGATGCAAAGTAACCCAGTGACAAGAGCGATGTGACACAATCCCGCTTTGTCAGGGCATTCCTAGCGTCATGTCGAAACCAAGGTGATGACATGTCGGTCATCGGGGACTGGTCAAGCTAGAAAGCACACCCATATGGCAATGGTATGGCTGCAGTTACAGATGGATTCATAGGAACGAACCGCTTCTGTGAGTCTATGCCTCGCACATATTTCTAGAAGACCCATCAAGTCAAGTAAAATATGATTCAATTCGCTTGTGTTAAATACCTCATGTTCAACCGGCAACGCCATCGATAGAAATACTTGGGAGAATTATGTGTAAGAAAACTCTCTGTGCATCTTGCATGTAGCCGCTTGCTTTCTCATGCCTCTTGCTCCTCATCACTGGACTCCTTCTTGGTGAACTCCTCTTGTGGTTCCTCGCCTGCCAGCTCTAGTATGTACTTCCATTGTGCCGGGGTCACAGAAGACACGCTAAGCCGGGATTGCTTTATCATTTGAAGATTCTCGAGCGGCTTTCCAGTCTCACCATGAGACTTCAGGTCCTGGAGGGTGACTTGCTTCCCAAGTTTGCGGCGATATTCAACGTGGACGACAACCCACTTCGGGTCATCTGGTTTGGACTTCGGGTCGTAGTATGGGTGCTTGGGGTCGAAAGCGGACTCTGGCATGAGTTATGGATCAGCAATATGATCAAGCAGTGTAATCTCGGGGGCAACAAACCATCAGTGGAATGCTCCTCGACAATCTCCATCACTCCCACAACCCCGGGGACTTTGCAGTTCGAGTGGTAGAAGAATGCGAAGTCACCCTTCTTCATGTCGCGCATGAGATTTTTGGCTAGTTCGCTGTGAGTATAATCATTGTGGTCAAAGCTACTATAACTTTAGACAGGACCACCTACCAACATGGTTACGCACACCTGTCGAATTGTTAGCATTCGGTTCCTATATGCCGTATTCGAGACGGATCGAACGTACCATCCCAAGGTTCAGGTGCATCTGCAGCAGCCAGGTCATCAATCGAGAACTTCACGTCCTTGCCTTTCTCTAGGCGAGATTCAGGCTCGGCCTTCATCAACCAGAAAGAGCGGCCAGTTTCAGGGATGATGTCGACTGCAGGCGTGACCTTCGACTTGGTGGTTTCGGCTTCCCCATTTGGCACAGGGTTCTTGCGGGGTCTTCCTCGGCCATCCTTCTTTTTGATCTTCGGGGTTACAGGTGTCGCATTGCCTGACAACACAGCGCAAGGGTCAGCATATACACCCGCAATATATCAGTATATGCGACATACCTGAGTCTTTGCGGGGACGCCCGCGGCCTCTCTTAGGGCCTGATGGAGCCACAGCCTCAGGTTCTGGCTCAGAAACAATTTTCCGTGGGCGACCACGGCCACGCTTAGGGCCGTCAGAAGCAGGCTTAGGAGTCGAGCTCTGGGGGTATTTGCGCGGACGACCACGGCCTCTCTTTTCGCCTGTCTGGGGTACAGCATCAACCTGTTCCATGTATGTCAGTCCTGTGCCAACGGTTTGAGTGGAGAAGCCACGGGACGCGACGATCAGCCCCTGCATAATGCACTTACCACCGAAGCCGATGCTGCAGAAGCTGGTGTTGCATCTACATTATTTCGGAGCCGCTTGGAAGGTGTTGCGACAGACTCATTTTCGCTCACGGCGCGTTCAGACTTGCGCTTGGGCGGCATGACTGTTCGATTGTTTTGCACTGGTTTAGTGACAGTGAAAGGCAGCAAATATATGCAGGATGTGTAGAAAGTGCAGTAAATGAAGTGGAACTAAATAGAAACTGTACAATCAATGGGGTTGTACTCCCGTGAACTGTTGAAGTTATCAAATCAAGCTGAGTAGGAGCTTCCGGGAATGTTTGGCGCTGAGCTTGACGCGGATGTGGGTCTGGGGAGGCACGTGATGAGGTCGATCATGATCGGCACTACAAACCTTTTGGAAGGACACAGCTTCTAGAGAGTACATGTAGGAAATAACCTTGTAGAACATCTATCGCTGTCATATTAAAATTCTTACATTTAGTATCAGTACTAATGACTGCCAATATTTGAGGCATAACTGGTATACTTGGGTCTGTCCACTAGTTAAGAGGTACGAAAATGAGAGCACCGTCTCCTTTGCGCGGCCACCAAGACTAACTTAGGTAATGGTTATTCTTCAACAAAAACAATTTGAGAAAATTACATGTTGTGTTTGAAGACTATCAAACCCTTCGGAGGGAAAACGTCCTCCATATATTATGATAGGCGAAAGGGAGATATATGTTGTAGTCTACCTACTCTGGGGTAGACGATTCGCACAATCTGAAAGCAATCTTAATCTCGCCGTTAGTAGCCGGCAGCTCAGATCTATTTTTGTTTTACCGAGTCAACGAGATCATAGAAGTGGGTAAAAATGTGAAGATCCATTGGCCAGAGTTAGGTCGAAATGTCTCTGAGTAATCAAAAATAGTGTTAATTAAGCTCATTTATAGGTCGGTCCATATGCATAGATGGGATCATACGCCTAACCGTCATCGGCATCCTGTTTAGTCGTCACTTTGAGTCCCGTCTTTTCCAATGCAAACGAAATTTAGAGCAATGTTATGTGTCTATAATGCGAGGGTAATATTAGGCTTGGAGGCAGGTGTACAGCATATGGATGTACTATTCAAATGTTGTGTACGGTACATGGAATTAGACCTACTGTAGAGTTATATGTGTGAGTCAAATGCTCATTGAATTGACATTCCAAGGTTGTCTAGAATGCTAAATCATGTCACTAGTTAGCCCTATGTTGCCTTGATGTACAAGGCATATTGTACTCCATAGTGAGTTTGAGATGGCAGCTGATAGGCCATTCATTATGTAGAAGTGATATTGCGCCATCGCTTTGGGTTTCCATTGGTGCTGATCAAATTCATGTCGGCGAAATAAGCTTGAAAGTGGCTAGCTACAAATATGACTCTAGCGCTATACGCGCTACCACAACCAACCTCAGAATACTATAGACTTAATAAATTTTAATAAACTATTGAGAAACTCAGGTAGATCCCAATCAGGCATCACGCCGTGGTAGGTAGCTTGCACGTATTGCTTCGCTCCTGGTCCATACTTGGTATATCTCGAAACCAGATAGCAAAGAGTCAACCCAGCAACATATACATCCATTGAGGCACCTCTCTCCATGTGTTTTTCTCAATAACAAGACCAGATTTGCCTACAGTAACAGATTAAGCTGTATTCGAGCTTCTCTGGTCATGACAATAGCCAGGGTGAATATGTACCAAATTAAAGCCGCCCATGGGATAGTTCGACTAACCTTGGGGGAAAGGTCGTTTTGTAAGAATTGCGTTTGTCACCATTTTCCATTTAAGGATGTAGTTTGTGGCTCTCATTGCAGGCCAATCGCTAGGTAGGACCAAATATAGTACAGAAAATGCCCAAGCAATATATAGTAGCAGGTAGTGCTATATCGGCAAAATCCCCTACCTATGTATGTACAATATAGAGCAACTGTTGTGTGTACTTGTAGTAGATTTGTCCTCAGATAAACTTGAGGGGTAAAGTTGAGGGGTAAGAAGATTGGAACACAAGGAACACGAAATCCTCATCCACAGTTGATATTGCATCACACACGCTACCTAGGTCCCTACCTAGGTACCTAACTAAAACAACGCTAAACAGCCCACCTGGGCACGTTATGTACCACTGCACCTCCACTAATCATGGGAGTTCTGCCGGGCGGAGACAACAATCACGCCATCAATAATCAATGCCAGGTGGGGCTGGAACCAGCCAAATGAGGTTAAGTGGGGTCGATCCATAGAATGGATGCCCAGATGTAGGTATGCCCAGGTGGAAAAGCAGGAGGGGTTTCCATGGTTCCAATCACCATCTTATAACCTTGTATCCCGCCATCTTGTTCTCCTTTTCCTCTCTCCTTCTCATCTACAATATACCTCTCTACTTATCTACCTATTCACAATGGCTGACCGCGCTCCTCCGTAAGCTCAATCTTTCTTAGAGGTATCTGCGCAATACTGACCGTCTGCTAGCCTCCGTCTGGGCTCTACTGCCCCCAACTTCAAGGCCCTGACCACCCAGGGCGAAATCGACTTCCACGAGTGGATTGGTGACAAGTGGGCTATCCTCTTCTCACACCCTGCTGATTTTACACCAGTGTCAGTAGTTTACAGTCCCTCTTTAGCTCTGTGAAGCCTTCTACTAACACCCAATAGCTGTACCACTGAGCTCGGCGCCTTCTCCAAGCTCGAGCCCGAATTCACCAAGCGTGGTGTCAATCTGATTGGATTGGTGAGTCTAGGATTGGCAATTCTCAATCATTAGCTAATTTGCCTGGCTTTCTAGAGTGCCAATGCACTTGATTCCCACGAAGAGTGGATCAAGGATATCAACGAAGTCAACTCCACTCAACTCAAGTTCCCAATCATCGCCGATGCCGACCGCAAAATCGCTTTCCTCTATGATATGATTGACGAACAAGATCTCACCAACGTCGACAGCAAGGGCATCGCCTTCACCATTCGCTCCGTCTTCATCATCGACCCTGCCAAGAAGATCCGCCTGATCATGTCCTACCCCGCCTCCACTGGTCGTAACACAGCAGAGGTTCTCCCGGGTTGTCGACTCTCTCCAGACGGGTGATAAGAGAGGCGTCACCACCCCGATCAACTGGCTGGTATGATCTCCCTTCCTCGGGATCCCAGGTCCTGAAACTATGCGAAATATTTTACTGACTCGACCAAAGCCCGGTGACGACGTTATTGTGCCACCAACAGTTAACAACGAGGCTGCTAAGGAGAAGTTCGGCGAGTTCCGTGAAGTCAAGCCGTGAGTTTCCATGTCCAACTGCCACCTGAAATGAAGGATACTAACATGTTATAGTTACCTGCGCTTCACTACTCTTAAGGAGTAAACAGGGTCGTATGATGTGATGCTAGAAGGTCAAAAGGATTCTAGATCTTGGGACATAATCTCCTCCCAAAATTAATGAAATCTACTCACGCTATCTCTTTTAATTATGCGCTCTTGTAGGAAGTCATTGAGAGACCTCTATTCTCCTGGTCAATTTATCTAGGGCGTACATCGAACTTTGGATAGGTCCTTCTCTATCCAATGCACTGAGGTATTTGAAGACCACCTACACTAGTAGTTCCATATCTATCTCTCCTCAGGACTTAGAATGTTAATATGCCCTGGAGCCGTCCGTAATGTATGACAGTTGACACGTTTGGGCAATTTGTAATTGTCCGTTTGAAGCATGTATACCTCAAGCTTCCAATTGAATCAAGTCGACAAAATCGTCCGCGCTTATGCGGTCGTAGCCTTCTTGGTGGTCTTCTGCGGTAGTCTTTTTATATCTTCTTTTGGTGGCCTTTTCCGCCACCTGGTTATATAGACATTTTGTCTCTCTTCTCAGTTTGTTGAGTAGGAGGTCTACGACCTCATCTTCTTTCTTTGCGCTCTGGTCTATTTAATTGCTCGTCAGCCTATGTAGATATATGTGATTGCAATGCTGCGTAGGCAGACGAAGACGGCTTGCAACAGGGTGCCTGGGCTGCATCGACCGATGACGGCTGCTTGCGACTCGCTTCCATTGGGCAACGGAGAGACCAGGAGGTTGCGAGAGTAAAAGACAGACGCAGGGATCTACATACAGTGCGCATTTCCCCCTCCATTTCCGGAGCATCCCACTGGTTAGATCCGGGAATATAGCAAGTCCACCGAGTTGTGCTCGTCGCCCTGGCTTACCAGGCGACATGGACCCTCTTGCCCACCGGTGCTTATGTTCAGGTACAGGCACACTGTGGCCGGTTGCCACAGCCCATATAAGCTGCGCCTTGTTCTCCATTGTTGTCCGATTTTAAATCGATATGCCCGGCCTTCTGCTGGGACTGGTCCTTGCGGCCCTAGTCCCGGGCCTTTATGTCATCCAATTTGAACTGGCGTAGCAGCACTACGCCACTCTTCGAGAGGCCAGCAAAAAGCCCCGTTCTCTTCTCGACTCGGGCAGGATAAAGTGAAAGAACATGCATCGTGGCAAACTTCTTTCGCTCGAAAGCTGTTTTCACATCCTTGCGGTATGCAGGGATGTAGAGCTTCATGGGGGAAATCAACCGGCTTTTTCTCACAGAAGGCACCGATATTCGAGGCAATTCTCTCACGGGTGGCTGTCTTTGAAGCCGTTCTAGCGTACCTCGAATGACGCGGACCACATAACAACGATCAGCCGGGGTTTCATTCTCGGTCATTGGGACTTCATCTTCCCAACCATTATCCGAGTCTTCATCTGCTTTGGTTGAGCAGATCCTCCGCCAAAGTTTTGGGCGGCACGTTCAGCGCATGGGCCTTTCGAAGGTCAAAACACTGAGTCTTCCTCAGACTCTTCTGGGCTGATCTAATTGATCCGGGACTCAGACCTCTGAGGGGAATTCCTCGTCTCTGCCAGAGGTCCATCTCCATCAGAGGTTTCGTCGTCGGCAAAACGGTCACCTTCGGAGAAGGGATGATTTTTTCCAACGACGGATTCACTATCGGATATGTAGACTCAGGAGACAGATTCTTTTGAGCACGCGGTATGATTGTGGAGTATAATGAAATGGGAGGAAAGGAGGGGGGGGAAATGACGAACTCGCGAATTTGGAAGGCACGAAAGTCGTGCGCCTTCCAATCCAGTTCTGCAACTTCACCACATTTCCCTTTTCCCTGCCCCCCCCCTTCTCTCTCTGTGTGTGCGCTAAGTCTGATCAGATTGCCTCAATGCCATCCTTGGAAGATACTCCCCAAGACTGGCTGATAATATCCTTCGAATTCCATAGTATAAGACATAACTTTTGGGGAACAAAAGGTGCACAAGTAGGTACATATTTACAGCCAGAGATCTGAAAAGAAAAAGATAACTAGAGCAACTTCATCGAGATTAGCCCAAACTCTTATGTTCTATATTGAAGCGCATTTCTTTAAGTGGTTCGAATTGCAGAATCCACTTTTAAAAGGATAGGCAAGAATTTTCACAAGAGATATCGGATTTAATGCTCTTTTGAAGTACATATGTTGTATAGTAGTAGTATGGAGGGGCCACATGTGTTAAAAGGGGAAAAGCGGTAAACATTTTGTGCCGATCTCCCAACTCGATGGCTGACACTTCGGATCAGGGCTGTGCGCTCATCCAAGATACGATCGGCAGTAGTCTGCACCGTCCAGTTTTTGTTCATCAATCTCTCCATTGTGAAACCTGGCGTCAAAGTTGCGGCGTCGCGGGGATTCCGGCTCCCCACAATCCACCCTTTCAAGCCGTATCGGACACGATCAGCGCCGGCAATATTCTCCGAGAATAACGCATTCGAGATAAAAACGGATCATCGCATGCAAGCCATACTGGGTGGACTGAAACAGGGGGTCAACTGCCATCCGCACGATTATCTCCGTTGAAAGCGGACAGGAATCCGCCCACCATGATGTCGCGAAGTCAGTCGAGTCTGGGGTATATGGATTCAGGGAGAGAGGATTCTGCGTCGGGAGGCTCCCCGTCACTAAACCAGCAGTCTACCTCCGGGCCTATCAATCTCTCTGGCCTGGTGTGCAATGTGCGGCGAACGACCGGCAAGGAACCCCGTCCTCTCGTCGGTGCCACTACGACTATACTGGGGGATAAGCTATACGTGTTCGGAGGCCGGATCCTCTCGCGCAGCCGCCCTCAACTCACCTCCGACCTTTATGAACTGGACTTAATTCGGCGACATTGGACCAAAGTCGAGCCCGCTGGAGATGTTCCACCTCCGCGGTACTTCCACAGTGTATGTGCTTTAGGGGATAACAAGTTGGTTTGCTATGGAGGCATGTCACCCGCACCGAGTACGCCCAAAGACCCCGAGAACCCCGCGGAACCGCAATCGCAGTCACAATCGGAAGTTGTGGTTATGTCGGATATTCACATCTTCGATGTACCATCGCGAGCGTGGACTCGTGTTGCTGCCCATGAATCTCCTCAGGGCGATATGCACACTGTGCTACGATACTGCCGTCGAGCGCTTGCTTCACATCTGCCAGTGCACCACTATCCGCCATCCACAATAACCCCGAATCCTCCACCCATCAAGGCACACTTGGCGTGGATATTGATGGCTTCGGAGGTGCGGAGATGGTAGTGGTTGGAGGCCAGGATAGTTCCAATCACTATATCGAACAAATCAGTGTTTTTAACCTGCGAAGTCTCAAGTGGACCAACACTAGCCCCCTGGGAAGGAGCTGCGGCGCTTATCGCAGTGTCGTAGCTCCTCTGGTGGGCATGCATGTGTCCGAAATTGGATCCTCAGCTCCAGATCGCGATCAACACGAGCCGATTCAAGATAGCACTGAATCGCCAGGTTGCCCTATGCTTATATATTCCAACTACAACTTCCTTGATGTAAAGCTGGAGTTGCAGGTGCGCCTGCCGGACGGACGCCTTGTCGAACGACCGATGCAGAGCCAAGCGTCCCCTCCGGGACTGCGTTTCCCCAACGGTGGCATTATCAACGGCCACTTCGTTGTTAGCGGCACGTACCTGACCTCCTCAAAGCAAGAATATGCGCTGTGGGCTCTCGACCTGAAGACATTGACTTGGGGCCGTATTGATGCTGGAGGATCGGTATTTGGACAGGGTAGCTGGAACCGAGGAGTCCTTTGGCCTCGCCGTAATTCTTTTGTGATCCTTGGACACCGGAAACGAAGCCTTGTCGATGATTACAACCACCGGCGAATCAACTTCTCGCACGTCTGCCTGGTCGAGCTGGAAGCATTCGGACTCTACAACAATCCTTGCCGCACTTCTCCAACCTCGGGATATAAGTCTTATAGCTCCTCTTCTGTTCCAGCATCCCTGCAGAAGAAGCTAGTGCAGTTGACATCAGGTGGGCGGCCATTGTCTGCCTCATCCGATGAGCTAGGCAAGCTCGCACAATCTTTGCCAGAGATGGCCGACATGGAGTTGCAGGCTGTGGGGGGTGAGCGTATCTCGGTCAATTCCCGCGTATTGACTCGGCGCTGGGGTCCTTACTTTATCCAACTCCTCCGCGAATCGTCGGAAGGAGGCATTGCAGATGTCGCAACTCTTCGTCCGGCCCAGATACACCCGAGCCGCAACTCGAGTATTACCATCACTCCCTCGATAGGCTCCGATGCGACAACTCTTGTCAACCAGTCCGTGCCTTCAAAATCTCTGCTTGAGAATCTCGAAGCTCCGTCTGCTCACAGCCTCGCCCCAACCTCCCGACCGCGTGTGCTGTACCTCCCCCATACTATTTTGACTCTTCAGGTACTGGTTCAGTACCTCTACACCTCAGCCCTTCCACCTGCAGGCAACTCACTTTGCACACCACAAATTCTCTGCTCGCTTCTACAGCTTGCACGTCCGTACCAGATTGACGGACTATTAGAGGCCACCGTCGAAAGACTCCATCAAGTCCTCGATGGGCGCAACGCCGCAGCTGTATTCAACGCAGCTGCCATGGCTGCCGGGGGTGGTCGCGGTACTGGATTCAATGGTGGACCAGGAGGTACACTCGAGGCTCTGAACGGAGCTTATACCAGCCACAACGGCACTGCGCCCACAATTGGCGAGAACGGCAACTCCCAACACGGTGCGCTCACGTCAGACTCGTCCGACACAGAGCACGGTGGTGCCTCCGCATCAGCCGCAAGCAGCACGGGCGATCTCACCAACTTCGCTCGAGGTATTCCATCTCTCCGCATCGACACCAGTGTCTCCCAGCATTCGCGCCAGCGCAGCGCCCACCGCGACCGCGAAGATTCTATTAGCAACCCAAGCACAGCGACATCCGCGTCCAGTGCCAGTTTCAGCCAGTCCGACTCTGAATGGGTCAGCGGCGATGAAGGCCGCTCACAGTCCCGGTCTACCCATCACCGTCGTGACACAGATGCCGAGCTGCGCCGCCCCCAACGTGAGCTCTGGACCGGCGATCTCAGTAGTGTTATCGGTCTCCAGAAGCGTGGCCTGCGTGGTCTCATGGAGGGCCGTCGCATGCGCGAGCGTAGTGCGAAGCCTGCCAGCACTGGCAGTAACTCGATATCCATGCCGCCGTCGGCTGGCTCAGGCGATCAACACGCTCCTTTCCAAGGCGTTGCCAGTTGATGGTTGCCTTATATATGATCTCTTCTGCCTTATCACTTCGTTTTTTTTTTAGACGATCTCTTTCAGATACCGTATTTGGGTTATACATATTTCTTTTCTTCTTGCTATTCACACAGCAGGCTGGCAATGTGGGGAGGATTTAGGGCAGGGCTTCCAATATTTGGAATGATGTGGATGTTGTACCTTTCTTCTGTTTATGTTATTTAGGCTGGGTAGGTTGTTCTCGCCTACACAGCCATGGATATATACTGAGACTCCGGGTGGAGTTCTACGATGAATGCAATGAAACGCATTAAACCTGGTATTTGTTATCCTTTGGTTTCCTTAAGAGACTGCTTTGGGTAGAGAAGAGAAGACATTCTTTTGGGACTCCTTATGTACAGTTGTAAAGCCTCTCAAACACCATTCTGGTTTAAAATACATAGAATCCCGCTTTAAGAAGAATCAAACAAATATAAGCAGATTAATCCTTCTGCACCTGGTCTCCAAGCCGCTTGGGACTTTTGCCACCATAGACTAAAGGGAAGTAGATTAGTATACATGTAGTATCAAACAGAGGTTGAGATTGCCTGGGCATTAAAGAACTCACGTCGCTCATAAAGAATCCACGATGTGTACATTACAATTGGAAGTCCGACAATAGTCGATGTCCATCTAGAAACACAGAGGATTAGATTTCTCATTGCTGCCATACATCATTCGCCAAACAAAAGCAAAAGGTAGACCCAAGGATAGAGGGATATGACGCTTACCTCCGTGCAGCAGCCTTGTACTCCTTCGTCTTCCGGATATCATCCACCCCCTTGGGGAGACGAGGAGCGGGTTGTTGGACTGGACGTGGAGGCCGGGTTTTGGGGTCCACAGATCGGTATCTGTGCTGGTCTTTGAGGGCTGACATTATTCTTGACTTTGGTTAGATAGATTTGAGTATAGGGGAAATTGTTAGGGTGTATTTACATTGTTTGTTGGTGTTTTGGAGGGTGTGAATTCTGTGAGGGAAGATTTGGGGAGGTGTCGACGCCTGAGGCATAACTCTATGCCGGTGATGTTATGGAACCATATAGTAGTTCAATGAACATGAATACGATATATTTGTTCAATATATTGTTTTAGTTTGTTGAAGAACGCATGGGATTATCCTCTAATATAGTCCCATAGCCCGGCAGACAAAAACTTGTCAACGTCAGATTTTCCGTCTTCCCTTAAAGCATGGGACCCCGGGCCTTGCTTTAGATCCTCCCATTCGCGCATGAATTTCTCGACTGCCTCTCCCATTCCTGATGCGTGAAAAATCTTGGCCATAACACAATGGCAATGGAGTCAGACGGGGTCCGGAAGTGAAATATTATCTGGCGCAGCGTTCGTGAATGTGACCTTGTCTGGAATCGTTCCGGCGGTGGCTGGTGGCTTTCTGAAAGTAAGAATATTATACTCGTTTGCTTTATCCTGATGGTAAATATTTGTTAGTGAAGTAGAGTAACGGATTCTTATTATGACTTACTGTGGCCTCAAATGCCAGTTGAAAGGTGCCGAACCAAGCATGCAGGTCTGTGATAAGTGTCATTCCGTTTGCAGGGTCATTGATTGACTCGGAATGTATCGTGTTTCGTAGAGCAGGAAAGCTTTCATAGAGAAGTGTCCAGGCACTAGCACGCTTTGTCTGCACTGTCTAGTATATGTTAGTGAATATAAGCCTTTGTACTCCGAATAGGAAGGGTACATACTGAGATTTTCCGGCTGGCATATGAGTACGGAATAATGTGTGCGCCTTCAGTTTGGGCGATTAGGATGTCGTCGGAAAGCTTGGCTTCTTCCCAATGTTGCCAATTCATAAACGAGGAGACGACACAGCAATGATTGTCGCGCCTTAAAAGGATTTGGGAAAATTCTTTCAAACGTCCTTGGGGTTCAGTTAGGGTACTCGCCACTGCACTATGATGTGCTGGTTTTGTCTCTGCGGAGTCAACCCTAGAACTGTATCGTGTGCTTGTTTTCACTGCCCGGAGTAATTGATTAGTATGCCGGTGCCTTGAAGGGCTTCATAGTAGACTTACTAGGTGCTGCTAGATAACAGCATACATTCCAGAAATGCGCCCAAAGTAACTCATCAGAATTTGCCCTGAGAATAAGCCTTGCATGGTGATCACGGCCCCCTGGGGGAAGCCACTCAAGTAGTGCACGGAGAGATTGCTTCAGAATATTTTCACTCGATCGTTTATCCTCACCAATCAAAACATAACGATCAATCCTTGCTTCAGCGTTAGCTCTCGTAATCTCCCATGCGGTCGTATCCTGAATATTAGTGCTAAGCGGAGACAATTTCGATGAAGCACTGCCTTTTCGAGGCTTGGATGATTTTGATGGAGTGCCGTGTTTTTGAGATTTCGATCGAGGCGATGACTTTGGTGACGGTGCTTTGCGCCTGGGACCCATTTTGTGATGCGAAGTGTAGAATAGCCAGTGGTGTTGGCGTGTTCTTTAGGTTTTGTTGACTATATTCGAACTATCAGAGTGATGCAATATCCTACCCAGGTAGGTTTAGTAACTAGAGTTACTTCCAAAAGTGGAAAAAGTGTACATCATATCACAATTATCACCAGTATGGAGTGTCCCTATGACCACACAAAGTAAGTCGGACATAAGCCAATAGTGAGCGGAAAGTAAATCAGTTTTGTGGCCAAACTGAGCGCAAACTGAGCGAGATATGATGCTATCCGTGCGACATCTCAGGTTTACAAGGGCTAGCTTTTACCAACATAGACATGTAGACTACGATGGTAAAAGATTGTGGAATGAAGCAATACTAGAGGACGATGACAAAGTCAACTGAAAAGTCTCACAATTCACCATGGTGAACTCCATGGTATGCTCCCGCGGTGCTAATCATACATGCTTTGAACGCCCGCTGGTAATCATACAAAAAAAAAGAAAGAAAACAAAACAAAACAAAACAAAAACAAGAAAAGAAACTGAATATTGATAGTTGCCCGGCCGTAGCCGGGCAAGAAGCCACATCATTTTGCCCTCACTGGGGCCTCACATGCCCCGGCGACGGCGGCGCTTGTTGGTCGGTGCGGAGGACGGCGCACGTGAGAGGGCGGGGGAGGAAGGGGACTGCACGGCGGGGCCTTTCTTGGAAGCAGAAGCTCCAGCCCCGGAGGCCTCAGTCTTGGGCGCCGGCTTCAAGGTCAACCGAAGCCGCTGCACCTTAGGTTTGTCACCTTCGGTGGCAGCGGGAGCGACGGCGGCAGCCGGACCCGAAGACTGGACCTGGGTCGCAGTAGTCGGAGGAGAGGTAGGGGAGGTGAGAGAGGTAGGGGAGGGGACAGTGGGAGCGGGTGCGGTCTGACGACGGCGACGCTGTGACTTGCGTGCGCCGATCTCCGCAGTAGGAGTGGCGGGGGTGGCTGCAGCGGGCTCACCGACGGCATCTGCGGCCGCAGTCTGACGGCGCTTCCGGGCACGGGGCTTCTTGGTTGCAGGGGCTGGCACAGGGGTCCGAGCCAGAGCCCTGGCCTTTTCCTCCTCCACGTTCTCAGCAACGAACGGGACCGTTGCCTCAACTGGGAGATTACGGTCTCCCATGAGTGGAGCGAAGCTGTGAGCTGCATCGGCCTCGGCTTGTTGGGTGGTTCTGGCGCGCACCGGGGGGAAAGGAAGACCCTCGCAGCCGTAAGTATGAGCCGGATAGTAGGGGTGACATTTCTCGGGAATCAGAGCAACCTCTTCGCCGCTGGAGTTGACGTAGCCAGTCTGAATCCAGCCGTCGCTGCCGACTTTGGTGTCAAACTGCTTTTTATAGCTCAAAATGCTTGAGCGGTCGGTGATGCCGTTGGTGATCTCGTCGGTGGCTCCATTGGTGATTGCGGCGGGAGGAGTAGCAGGCATAGGAGCAGTGGGTGTGGAAGGAGAAGGAGAACAAGCAATAACAGGCGCCGGCACATCTTGGTCCATCAAATCAACATCCATATCAACATCAGTCGGCGTGGTGGCCATGGTGGTGGGCATGTCGACCCCATATTTCTCTTCGTCTTGGCGTCGGAAGTATTCACTTCGCTGCTGTTCCAAGAACACGGGGAAATTGAAAGGAACAGTAAAGTCAGGGCTTAGGGCCTGCATAGACAAATCATACAGCTTCTGGCCAGCCACCTTCGCATCAATATCGAAACCGATCAAAACAGCATTCTTCCGCATGTTCAAGTTACTCATTCTCTTTGACTTTCTAGTTTTTCTCATTGGTTGCTTCGAAACGTTGTTCTTTGCAACTTTTGTTGCCACAGAGGGAGCAGGAGCAGCAGGGGCAGCAGGAGGAGGAGTTTCCACGGTCGGAGTGGACACCGTCGTATTCTTGCGGCGAGATTTTTTCTTAGTCGATTCAAAAGATTCAAGGGCCCTCATGGTGGGTTTGCGAACACGAGATGAGTTCCGCATGTCGGAGGCACTGGTAGGGCTCGAGGCACCTTCACCTGTTCCTTCGGATTCGAAACTGCCCATGTACTGGTCAAACGTCCAGCTGCTGGTGCCAGTGCTCTCTGGAAAGTCGATGTCTGATACTTCTTTCTTGGGTGTTTCAAGTGCAGCTGTCCTTCTTGTCCGTCGACTGCCCTGGTTGGTGGCCGGGGCTTCTAGGGCTGGAGTGTAAACGGTTGAAAGACGTGACGGACGAGACTGGAACGCTCGCCGACGTGAAGATGGTGTTTCAGGGGAAGTTCCACGTGAACTTGTACTTGAGACAGGTGGATTACTTGGGACAGGTGGATTTGGAGTGTAAAAACGAATGTTGATAGGACTGTCTTTGGGGGAGGCGGATGTATGGTTCAACGTTTTGGCGGGTTGGACGTTCTCATTTGTACTTTTTGACGGGGGTGGTACTCGGGGCGAGCGCCGAGAAGGTGTCAATGTAGGCGCTTTACTGATGCGCGCAGGCATCGACTTACGCTGGCCCTTCTTGGGAGGCATCGTGAATTAAAGCTAAATGGCCCGGAATTTGTCAGTATAATCTATTCATGCAAATACAACGGGCGGTAAATAGAGCAACGGAACTGTACAATGAAAGACTAGATAATACCCCCCAATAACAGGCAACTAGGTTGTTGGAATAAGAATATATGGGGGTCATCAGGTGAAGAGCAGGGTCGACGTCAGAAGACCGCAGGGCACGGAAGGGGAGGTGTTGGGAATTAGGGCCCGACGTATAGGCGCAGCACTCACGGAATCAGAGGTACAACCATCCGCAGTTATTTTCTAAGAGGTTCATAAATAAGCTCGTAAGGACTAGGTGGACGTTGGAGTTGTATTGTGGCAGACAAGGCGAAATAAAGTGATGGAAGATGTTGAGGTCAAGCAGAAAAGAAATTAGGGCTACGGTTGATCGGCGCTTATCGGCTTCACTTGTCCGCCTTATTCTGCAACTCCCCCATCCTCCATCTCCCCGAGCTCTCTACAACTGTTTTCTGTTTCAGTTTTCTTTTAGTTTTTTTTTTTCCACAATGCATCTGTGGCAGGCCACCGTTCCATTCTGCCTATTGGCTGCCGCTGCTTTGCCTGGCGCCGCTGCCACAGCTTGGGGCTTTACTGATGCCACCGTGGCCGTTCAACCAAAAGGTGCCGGTGTCAATGGAGGTTTCAAGGAACAGTATGCATTTCGACTCAAAAAGAGGTACTGAAACTAATTAATGTATTCAAATAGACTTGCTGCTTCGAAGCCCCTCTCCAAGCCTATCTCCCTTTTCGGTGCCGATACCCTACGCGTCACCTTGACAGCTCAGGAAGACAGCTCTCCAAAGCGGCCAGACCAGGCTTTCCTTTTGCTCAAGGATGCCCAGACTGGCTTGGATATTTCTTACCCTTTTAATGTCAAGGATAATGGCAAGTCAAGAGTCGAATTGGTATGCAAGCACTGAAAACGACTTTCTGCGGCGCCGCTAACGCATCCCCTCCAGAGCCAGAAAGACCTGCCGATTCAATTCCTTTCCCTGTCCGGTCCAGTTGATGCGCATGTTGTCATTGGCGGGTTCGGAAGCTCTGATGCCTACGACAACTCTGTATTCAAGCTATCGATTGATCGCAACCCCGAAGAGGCCGTGCCGACCGTCGAAACTGAGCGATATGGCAAGAAGCCCGAGATCCACCATATCTTCAAGGATTCTGCGTCTAGCCCGCCGATTGTCATCACCTTGGCATTTGTCGCCATGGTCGGCGCTGCTATTCCCGCTCTTGCTGGCTTGGTAAGTCAATTTCATTACTGTGCCGACGACGTTGCTGATAGATCGTCTCTAGTGGCTCTTCCTCGGCGCCAACATCAACCACCTACCCTCCGCATTCAAGTCCGCCCCTCTCTCACATGCCACCTTCCTCGGATCGTTGATCGCATTTGAGGGGATCTTCTTCCTCTACTATACCTCGTGGAACTTGTTCCAGATCCTCCCGGCAATGGCCGTTGTCGGTGCGATCGCATTTGTCAGTGGTAGCCGTGCGCTGGGTGAAGTGCAAGGTCGGCGCCTTGCTGGTCTCCGGTAAAATCCCGGAACATACGTAAATTTATCTGCCGTGGTCCTGGCTGTCCTCTTACGGTGCTCCCAAACTGCCGTATGGTCTTAGGTCCCGGTGGTATTGTATCTTAACTGCAACGGTACCCAGTATGTTTTTGCAAAATAACACCTTCTCTGCTGAAATTCCACGGAAGTCTTCCTGATCTTCAAACGCGATCACCTCCCTACAAATTGTCTGTATTACTTGTTGGCTTGGAGCTCCCAGATACGCAGCCGCGCCAACTTACGCTCATCGTCAACACCATTTGAGACTACCTGGTATTTTTAGATATTATTGGACTAGCATGTCCTGCTGTACTTTGGATACTCCCAAGAAAGCTGTTTGTTGCTATTTACTTCTTGACGTCACAATGTAGGGCAGGTTGATTGCTTACCGCTTTCTTTACCGCCTACTGCTTAACTATATAGTTAGTTAGTTATCCATGGATGCAAGCCTGTCTCAAGAATCAGGCCAGTATATGCACAGAGGACTTACTATATAGTATCGTGGAGAATTTTTAGAACCTTTAATTCTCTTGATATGTTACAAAAAGATTAGTTAGTATCGCTCGTATAGGTGGGTTTATAGATGAGTCAAGAAGTCTTGCTTGACTGTTCTGCTGGCAAAAGACCGACCCGGACGTCCAGGCCGTAATGCCAAGGCGACTTCGGGACCTCCGCTCAAAGCTCCGCAAAAAGCTGCAACGCCTTACACCAACACTTCCGATTTCATAGCTCATCGTTCTCAATGGGTTCCGCTGCTTCAAAGCCCGCTAAGTCAGCGGCTGGTGCAGCCGCACGGCGCCAATACCCTAAGCAGCCGGCTCCTCCACCGAGGGGTCCGCGCAAAGCTCCGAAAGAAACCAAAGCAGCGTCTGCACCTACGCCTACTCCTGCACCCAAGCCCAAGGCTGGTCCCTCGCCTCCTCGAACACCTGCATCTCCCTCTCAGGGCCCAACATACCACTCAAAGGAGAAAGCATCCGGGGTGAAGTCTGATGGTATGTACTCGTCAGCGATTATTTCAAGTCTTTTCCATGCAACAAATGCAAGACCACCAAAGAAACACTAACTAATGACTATATAGCCATTGACATGGACGGCCGAGATCCCGACTTCGCCGCCTCTCTCCGGTCAATAGGGCCCGTCGATCCATCACCTACATTCTCAAACTCAAGCACTTTCAACCGCCCCGGCTCAATGCAAACTGTCTTTCCACAAGCCTCCAACCCGGCACTACTAGTTGTCACTGCTCGACAACGTCTCACAGAGGCTGCGGACAAAGAAGCTGAGCACTTCGGTCATGCGGGTCACCCGGGGAGATCGTTCCTAGATGCCCTGACGATTCAGCAGGTATTGACGATGCGGGATAAGCAGGGCATGCGTCGTGGGGATATCGAACGGTTCCTCGGGTTGAAGAAAGGAGTATTGGAGCGGTTAGGGAAGGATGAGATTGTGTCGCGTATTACATGATCTTCGTCCTCCAGGTGAGCTCTTTGTTGTTTAGCGGTTTTTCCCCCCAAAATATCACTCGGTGTCTTTGGTGTATTTCGGATTACTCGTTGGCGTCATTCTTCCTGGCCTTATACACACTTTGTATAGTATCTTGTTTCAATCATCCCTACTCATGATAATATCAGATTCTTTAGTTAGAGTCATTAAAATTCTCCTTTGACCTATTCAGCTTAAAAGAAGGGTACCTAGGGTAAAAGTCATCCCGAGACCTATTAAAAATCCTTGTCAAACAATTGCCAGGATGATTCTCGGATGTTAGACCACAGCGCTTATAATTGACCATAAGTCAACCAGCTGCCGGAAGTTGCTATCTCAGGCGCCAGTCTAAGCCATGAAGGAAATGCTAGGGGTACTATCACCGCCGGTCATTGCCTAATTCAATCTCCCTAAGAGGCGAGGCTCTTCTGGCGTTGACGGAAAGGTGATCACCCAGGGGAAGTCCTGGGAACTGCTGCTAGTTGGCTTTACGGGAGGAAGTCCGGCACCAGGTGTTGTTTCCAGTCAATTTCGCGACCATTGTCAATCTTCTAGACAAAACCAAGCTATACATTCATGACCGGTGCCCAACATAGACAAATAGCATGTGGCTATATCATTCCAACAAAAAGTTAGTTTGGACAGACTCTTAACTTCCTCACATATTGAGCTTGTCGGATTTCATAGTCTAGAACTCGGCTTTCTCGACTCTTAAGTCTCTCATGTTGCACCATGCCCCTCGACGTCTCCGTGCCCATCTCTCCATAAATCCGTTTGGAATAGATGAGCGCGAGATGCTCGTGGGCCTTAACGTGCGATCATCTGGAGCCTATCAAATGCCAACACCACATTCCGGTCTTTGGCAAATATGGCAGAACATTTGTATGCTGCTGCTTGAGTTGTGACTGGCGATGCTTCTGATACGTCTCGTCGTGTTCCGTTGCGGGGTTAACTTGGTGCTCTAAGTTGCGCAGTTCACTCTGATGTGTTCACATGAATTCAGTCTGTAAATAGAATGTGTTCCAATGTTGCGACTATAGATCGAAATTATATCTACAACTGACCGAAACAGTAAAGATTTTGAGTTTGGAACCTTAAGTCGAGAAGAGTGGGTCCAGGTGTGCTATTTCGGCGCCGACTACCAATCACACAGCACAAAGACCTGATGACAGCCCTGTCCTGGTGGAGGGCGAAGTGGGATGCGATCTAAATCACGCCCTATGCTATGACAGATAGATGAACTCCCCATACTTATAATGCTCTCGTTTCTCTTTTGTACGTACTTTGAAAACGATTGAACTTCTTTTCCTCCCAGTCCTCTCTCCTTGAAAGTCACGGCTACAATGTATCTCCGCGCCGTCCACGCCGAGGGACAACTCCCCGTCCTTCAGCAGTTCGTCCGCGACAACCCACTTGGCATCCTGACAACGGCGATAAAATCCCCAATCTACTCATTTATCCAATCAAGTCACATCCCCTTCGTCCTCGATGTACCTCCCTCGACCGAGAGCGATGACACAATCCCACCCGGCATCCTGCGCGGCCACATGGCCAAGCAAAACCCACAAGCCAAAGCACTGATGGAAGCCCTCGCTGAGCAAAATGCAGCAGGGAATAACAAGCTCGAGCTCACGGATGAAGTCCTTATCCTCTTCAACGGCCCACACCACCACTATGTGACACCCAAATTCTACACAGAAACCAAACCGGCATCCGGCAAGGTCGTCCCGACATGGAACTACTCCGCCGTGCAGGCGTATGGCAAGATTAGTGTGTACTGCAACTCCAAGGCGGAGGAAACGGGTGCATTTTTGCAGAAACAGATCCAAGATCTGTCGCAGCAGTCTGAGACAGGCATTATGGGGTATACTGGGGGTGATAAGAAGAGCGCGTGGAATGTCTCAGATGCACCGGTCAATTACGTGGAGCTTTTGAAGAAGAATATTATTGGTATTGAGATTCGGGTTGAGCGGTTGCAGGGGAAGTTTAAGATGAGTCAGGAGATGGGCGAGGGGGATCGGGAGGGGGTTGTGCAGGGGTTTGAGGGGTTGGGAACGGAGGTTGGGAAGGGCATTGCTGATTGTGTTAGGGAGCGTGCTGCCTTGAAGGATCAGCAGAAGTCGGCGTAATTGGATTTATGAGAGAAGATCCGTATATATTCTGGTTGCCGTTGCACATACACCCGACGTGATGCGATTATGAGGGATGAGAAATGCATGGTTGATATAGAACTTTACGGAAATGCGTATTTCAAGAAACATGCATAGATGGTATAGAACCTTTCCAGAAATGTTGTCGAAGTTTTCACCCGTACTTTGTAGACTAGCATGGTTTTGGATCTGTAGGTAGATACGTTTCACTTTTAGCTTTTTAATGTCTTTACCTGAGTATTCCACCTGGTCTTAGCGTCTAAACACTTTGTTATATTTGATTCATAAGGTGGGCCAGGTGTCACTAATCAATACGATGTAGTATTCGTATTGATTAAGCCGAATGAGAAGATCACACATGTCAAGATCAACATCCGAGTCGCCATATTAAAGATACAGGTGTGACGTACAGGTCTCCTGCAAGTCTCCAATCAGTCCCTTGCAAGGTCTACTGCCAAGCATATTTAGGCAAAGGCCTGTGCACTTCTCCAACCACACCCCTGGATTATTCTGGTCAAACTGTATATTGGGCATATGAATATTATAGATGTATTGCGGCAACGTCCACGCTTAGATCTCAGAGACACGGGATCTCCGAGATCCAAAGGATCATCGTGTATAATAATAGAAGGGGCAATGTACATCAGTGGAAGTGGGGGCGAAACGGGAAACCGGCGCAAATCTGAACATTTTCCCCGGACTTTATGCAGAAGTGCTCAGGTAAACAGCCATTTTTCATAAAAGAGTAACATCGGAAGCTTATAACCTTCCGAGACCGAAACGAACTACAACATTGGTGTGAGATGGGTCCATGGTTCGATTCAATTGGACCAATTTAGGGAATATGTTATTGTATTGTATTGTACTGTATTATTACCTAGGGTCTCCCGAGGCCGGTTTCACCCAAGGGGCCAATCACTTTGGGATAGTTCAATGCAGGGTCCACTGAGTAGTGGCTGCACAAACTTGGACAAACATGGGGGCGTAATAACCCTACTGCCTCGATGTGTCTCATCAGGCCCACTTAGGCATTTCGCGATAGTATTAGCGGATGAGATGATGGTATTTTAATAAGGGAAAAGTGGTTCTGGCGACGTAATGTAGAGAAAAAAAGAAGAGAAAAACAGAAGAGAAAAAACAGAAGAGAAACCAAGCATGTGGAGTACTTTAGAGCCTCTTAGTTTAGTCGCGTGCACAATTTCCTATCGCCTAATTGGTCTTGTTCTTCTATTTCGTGATATCTAAGAATAACCCTTGGACCCTTTTCCATCTTCCCTTTCCTCCCGTCTCTTCTCTCTTGTTTCAAGTTGTTGTTGCCTTGTCTCTCGTTTACCATTTCGACATTCCTCAATTCCAACCTCCAACCTCCGCCTCCCTTGCCAACTGCGCGATTCCACTGCACAAATGAAATGATTCCAACATGTCCATCTTCGCCCTCTTACCACCTTTGCCGCCGTTCCTTTTCTCTACACTCGTCGTGAGCGGCCTCGCCTCCAAGGCATTACATATAGCGCTACATATTCGGTCCTTACCGTTCCTCTACTTTGTCCTTTATTCACCCACTCTTATTCTACGAGATGTTTTGGTCATCATATTCGTGCGGGTCTTGTTACGCTTCCATGCGCCAGATAGTCGATGGCAATGGCTCTCGACCGGGTTGGGAGGGGCACTGTCGTATGTTTACCCCCGAATACCGAATACGGAAATGGAGGACAAGGAGAAATTTGCGCAACATAAGTTAGTACTAACGCCATTACTAGCCTGATCACATGGGGTGCTTCCTCCATCCAGTTCGGATTCTTTATACAGACCGGTGCCGAGGTCGCCTGGGCAGCTGGCGGTAGCTTCTTGAGCGATCCGGCGGCCATGAAAATTCTTCTCAGCGGTATATCGACTGTATCCGCTGCTGCCACCGTCTTCGGACTGATTGCGTGGTTGCTTCATTCACATTTGTACAACATCACTGGTCTTGCCTTGCAGGCAATCCGAGACCTGTGCGTAGGGGGATACAAAGCCCGCTATACATTGATATCCGCCCCCAGCAAATCCTGCATGGCCTCGATAGATCTCAGGACTTTCCGTCGCATTATTCCCGCAGTTGCTATCTGCGTGTCGCTCATTTTCTTGGAACTAACTAGACCCGCTATACCATATGACCATCTATCCGGAGCTCTGCCGCTGACGCTGCTCGATGCGTTCCAGAAAAAGACGGCGACGGTGGAGGGATGCCGCGAGCCCGCCCGGCCATTCCCTTGTTGGTCACGGATGATAATGGGATCTCCCGTCCTCAGTTCCAACCGGATTCGTCGCTTGTGGAACAATGGTCACGAGCTACATGGCTCCCCGAAAACCCACCCCCAGGATTCAGCCGCTGGGATCTAAGCCCGAGCGATCGCGCAGAGAAGGACAATCATTATTCTTTTGTTTGTCCCGGTGACGAGGGCGCATTCTACAATCCAAAGAATGACCCGCTAATGGTCACGAATCTGGGCGGCGAAATTTATGAGCCCCTACAAAAGGCTTTCAAAGAGCACTCCGTTGAGGTCAACCATGTAGTGCTGTTAACGCTAGAAAGCGGCCGCAAGGAACTTTTCCCCACACAGCAAGGCACCCCCTTGTTCGATGGTCTTCTCGCGTCTCATAAGAAGGAGAACATTGACGAGGCAATCGATCGTCTGGTCAACATGACCCCGGTCGCTCAACAGTTGACCGGCGAATACGCAACCGATAGCAAGGGGAACAAGCTCGACTTGAGCTACTCTCCGTGGCTGACCCCGCCACAAGAAGGTATGGGTGGACTTAATGTCCGTGGTGCCGTGACGGGTAGCTCCTTGACGTTCAAGAGTATCTTGGGGAGTCACTGTGGTGTGAACCCTTTGCCAGTGGATCTTCTGGAGGAGTCTATGCTCGAAATTTATCAGCCATGCCTGCCACAGATTTTCGATCTGTTCAATCAAGGCAAATCGGAATCCGGGAAGCTCCCCCAGAATTCTTCTTCTGAGAGCAAATCCGCGGCTCTGCAGAACCCCTGGAAGTCTGTATTCATGCAGTCAATTACCGATGACTATGACCGCCAGGATGTGCTGAACAAAAACATGGGCTTTAAGCACAAGGTCGTCAAGAGCAATCTGGAATCCCCCCCACGCGAAACACAAAGCTCAGGGCGAAGAGATCAACTACTTCGGATATGCGGAAAATGAGATCCAACCCTACGTGTTGGACCTCTTCGAGGAGGCTGCAAACAACAAGACCCGCATGTTCCCTTTCACATGTCACTAGCACAACGCACCACCCCTGGAGTACGCCAGACGACTTCGAGAAAGAACCATACATGAGCGACCAGGGAAACATCAACCACGACCTGATGAACAACTATCTGAATGCCGCCCGGTTCGTCGATATCTGGCTGGGCGATATCCTAAACATGCTAGACCAAACAGGTATTGCCAACGAGACTCTAGTCGTTGTCGTCGGAGACCATGGCCAAGCCTTCGGCGAAGATAATAAGGACATGACTGGCACGTACGAGAATGGCCACATTAGCAACTTCCGCGTGCCTTTGGTTTTCCACCACCCGCACATGCCTCGAGTGGACATCACCGCCAACGCAACCGCCCTCTCCATCGTCCCCACCATCCTGGACCTTCTCGTGCAGTCCAACTCCCTGGACGAGCGTGACTCTGAGATCGCCTCTTCCCTCCTCCCAGAGTATCAAGGCCAGTCTCTCCTACGTCCTTTCCTTTCTTCCATGGAGGAACCACCTCACCGCCGTGACCACCACCATCCCCGCCGGATGAGCAGCCAGAACACGAGCAAGACACTCAGCTCGAAGCCCGGTCCCACCCGGAGAGCCCAGCCAAGCGTATCGTTTGGAACATGGGATTGATCAACGCTGGTGGCTCGATGCTGTCCGTCATGGCAGCCGATGTTCCCTACCGTCTCATCCTTCCCTTGAAAGATGGCTTCGAGTACACATTCACCCACCTCGGCGAAGACCCCGGTGAAACCCACCTCACCAAGGCATGGACTCTTAAGGCACTCATCGAAGAGGTTAAGCCTAAATTTGGCAAAGAGTCCGCTGACTGGCTCAAAGATGCTGAGCTAGTTGGCAAGTGGTGGGTGAGTGAACAAAAACGCATTTGGGGTTACCGTGAAGCCTAGTCATATGCTAGCTCCGCGAACCACCAAAGCAAATCAAACCAAAAACCCAAGATAAAACAGACTTTGGGTGGTTGTTCTGATTACTTTGCATTGCATTGCATTTCCTTTTCTTCGGGCTATGTGCCCCTTTTGCATCTCATGATATCTCCTACATTTGTCTTGGGACCGGCGTTAATATGGAGCTATTTGGATTTCGCCTATTTATGAGTGAATATTTGAGCTTCCTCATTTCCTTGGAGATATTTCCCCCACTGTGGCTGGACGGCCCTTTTTCTTTTATACTTCTCACGTGGAACTGCATAGGATAGGATACCTCGTGTTTATCTTTTTCTTTTCTCCAGGTTTATCCCTTGATGTTACTCAGGCCTGGGTTTCGGTGTACTTGTATGGAAACGGAATAGAACAAAACATTGTACATAGAACTGAAGGACCTTTCGGTATTTTGGGGCGACCATCTTGTTCATGCGCAATACGGTGCATTGGATGGTTGAGGATTAGCCAGGTATTTTACCTCATGTATAATCTAATCAATTGGACTTCATTCCAGTTTCCCTGGGACGGTGCTATAAGGCTGATCTCAGGAATGAATATAAAGACCAGATCGGTCATTGGTGCCGCTGGATCTGATGTTCTGGTTTGCTTTCTCCACTTGATCACGATCATCACGATCATCACGATCTACCTTACGGATGCAGATGCCTATCCTTGACATCGGCTTAACATACGGATCGACAGGCCCCGCTTGATCCACTGAGTTTATCTTGGGTACAATGTTCGCACGGCATCATATAGAGACTTGGCAGCATCTGACTCACGGACATGATCCTGGAATGCTAAGTTAAGCTTGTTTTCAATTTAACGTATCCAGGGTTTAGATAATGTTGCGTAGCATAAATTGTACCTAGCTAGTGTAGTACTAAAGCCACCCTCTATATATGTAGGGTAACTCGTGAACAGCCTAGCTATTTCTTTTCTGACTACATACACGTATAGACAATCAGATGTGTTCCCGAATTATATCTGAATGATAAATAATCAAGCTGTAGTCCCGTAGTAGTGACTTACAGTAAGAAATCCATTCATGCCGATTCCGAATGATGGGCGTATGAATTAAAAAGCGAAAGAAGAGGGGAAGAAAAAGTAGAAGTGTAGTGAATGCAATACAATGCTACACGGATCATTTTATAATACCACATACCTATGTAGGAAGGCAGAGAATAACCACCATAGTCCTCATGCTTGTCCATGTCAACCTTGGAAGGCTCGCAGTCAAAAAGATAGGGTCCGGCGGCGATTAAGAAACTCCGACTGATGAGATTATTCTTTCTTATCCAACCACTTTTTCACCGGCATAGAGTGCATATCCCACGAGCAGTTGGTGTGGGTTGGGGAACCACCGAGCCACTCGGGGCGAGCCCGAAAAGTGCACGACAGGGAGAAAAGAAGAACCGGCCAGACTAGATTCCAACAAAGGAAAAAGAGAAAAAAATGCACAGGCCATTCACAGATCTATTTCCTTTTCTTTCTGCAGTTTACTACCCGGAATCCGGATTGTGGGGGTTTCGTCAGCGAGACCCCTTCGGGCACAAATAAGCCATAGACGCCGAATCTTAGAAGTATGCAGATTGGACACCGACAGAACCGAGATGAAATCCAGGGAATCTTTTGGAATAGAGATATCACGAGATCAGAAAAGTGGAAACCTCGGAATCTCCCCCATTGAGTAAGGAGCTTGGGGAATGGAAGATTCTGCTGGTCACAAGGTGTGTGTTATGGCTGATAACGAATATTAGTGCAGGGTTATAGTCAGATAAGCTATATGGCCTTAGTCCTATTTGAGTATCAGCACAAAGTCTGGACTCTCTTGGATTTCAATGCTTTTCAATGTTTGAGTCCTATTTTTAGTTTTTAGTTCTCTGTACTTCCCCCGCATCGGGAAGAATCCGGAGTACCCAGATTTAGCTATTCGGTTTAAACACATTGTACTTTGTTTATCACTGGTAACTGGATCCTAATATAATATATGAGATCATATATTTTGAAAGTTTAGATTTAGAAAAAAAAAGTCTTCAGACCTTAGAACAGGAATTGACCAATGAATTTCTCTTCGCCCGGGCCACCACCTTGGAGCCGGGACGATTGGACAGGAACAGATATCACAGGCCAAATGTACGAATTTGATTGGTAGCGATTCAGTCATTGATCTGCAAAGAACCACCTGACCCCAGATAGTACTTTGAGGCTTGAAAGATTTCTAGAAGACCCGGCTCGAGGCTCGGCAGTTTGTGCATGTACGCGTAGTTCTCTCAAGGGGCCGGGTCACCTGGGTAGATGTGTTTTTCAAAGAAATAAAGAAAAATAATGTTGAGTGTTCAAAAATTAGAGTGGCGTTGGCGTTCCCCGGGTTCCCAGTCCCCAGACGGGTTTCCCGAAATGAGAAATCCGGCCATCCCTTAGGTTCCGAACGGCCACACTATCGTCAATGAAACTATCGTGGATTTCATCATGTCTGGTGACCGGTACTCCTGTTGGATAAGCTATCCCTGAATTCATAGTTATTCACTCAATATTATGGGAAAGTGGGATGAGGCAAATCTAAACAAATATCAAGTTTCTTTATTTGACAGATCAATTGATACAGTATCCTAGCACTATACTACCGTAGATAATTGTTGTATGTTGTATATGTTAATTCTGTTTGTAGGTATGCGTATACCTCGCCACAGCCGTTTGGCCTGCATTCCAGGAGGCCTGGACCCAATCTGCTCTGCAGTACCCTTGGCCCAAGTCTGGATTTCCTTTTTGGGCTGTCCTTTCTGCTCACGAGACACACTCTGGGGCGCTTTGGTCTTGGTTCGGCCTGACTTTTCCGGCCAAATATGTATTTAAGGAGAGTCGATTCTCTGGTCCATGGTTCCGCAACTGAATCATCTTCATTCTTCTTTATCTATATACGAATCAATCTGTCTCATAATCCTTGACGCCTTTATATATATTTTTTCTGTCCATTACTACTCTCGCCTAATACTAGTACACACATCGCAATGTCTGTCGCCATCGAAACTACTACTGCTCCCACTGCTCCTATGACCGCCCAGCCCGTCGTGTTGGGCCAGAAGGCCAGGATGCCCGAGTTCAGTCTCGCTGGGAAGGTGGTGTTGGTCTCAGGTGCTGCCCGGGGTCTAGGATTGACCCAGGCAGAGGCACTCCTAGAAGCCGGAGCGAAGGTATACGCACTCGACCGCCTGGAAGAGCCGGTAAGTTCCTACATCCCATGGATCTGGTTTATACAATCACCAGATCCATCCACTTCTATATTAGCATTAAACTAACAACCAATCAATCACCAGGCTCCCGAGTTTGAACAGATCCAGCAGCGCGCAATTGAGCTTGGCACCGAATTGCACTACCGTCGTATTGACGTGCGTGACACAGAACTTCTGAACAGTGTGATCGAGACCATCGCCAATGAAGAGGGCCGTATGGATGGTCTTGTTGCCGCAGCGGGTATTCAGCAGGAGACCCCAGCGCTCGAGTACTCGGCCAAGGACAGCAACACCATGTTCGAAGTCAACGTCACGGGAGTGTTCATGACCTCCCAGGCTGTGGCTAAGCAAATGATTCGCTTTGGAAACGGAGGTAGTATCGCTATGATCGCCTCTATGAGTGGTACCATTGCCAATCGCGTACGTTCCCACTCCTCCCTTTCCGTTTTACCATTTATCATTTCTACCCCATTTGGCGTTTGTGTTGTCGGCATAGACCTAGTGCCTCCGTGCCCAGACTGTCTTTATTTCTTATGGATGATTTCTCCACTTTTATGTCACATCCTGCTCTTCTAGTTGGCCTTCAGCGATCTAACATATTTTTCCCTACAGGGCCTTATTTGCCCCGCATATAACGCTAGCAAAGCTGCTGTCATCCAACTCGCCCGCAACCTCGCTGCCGAATGGGGCACCTACAACATCCGCGTCAACACCATCTCCCCTGGCTACATTGTCACCGCTATGGTTGAGAAGCTGTTTGTCGAATTCCCCGAACGCCGCAACCAGTGGCCCAAAGAGAACATGCTTGCCCGTCTCTCCCGACCGGAAGAGTACCGTGGCGCCGCTGTCTTCCTTCTCAGCGATGCTAGCAGCTTCATGACTGGAAGTGACCTGCGCATGGATGGTGGCCACGCCGCATGGTAGACTGATTACGGCTGAGATTCGATTTTGCCTTTTCAATCATTGCGCGTGACCATATTCTTTTGGTCTCTCATTGCATGGCGTTCTGCATCTTCTTCTTTTTAGTTATTGGGTGGGAATAGCGCAGCGTGGGCTTTGATTTTTGGGAATTTGATTTTGATCATTGCCCTTTGTTGGATAGCGACAATTGGCTTGGCGGGTCTTTGAATCCTATGACGACGTTAGAATACAGGTCGATCACTCAATAATAGTCATTGTAATTGTTTCAAGCGTTTCATCTCCGTTCTAGAGTTTAGCTGCATGTAAATCTTGACCCACTTTAAGTTAGATCGGGACTCGCATCTCATTGTATAATGACATATATTTATGTCATGCGTAGCCTTGCCTATATTTTATCCTTAAGAGCAGTTTCTCAACCGGCACCAAGAACCCAAATCCCAACACACCCCCCTCACCGACAAAATAACCGCGTACAGCCATCCAGTCGGAATGTACCACATACCCAAGCCGCCGGAGTTCACCACCTGACCTCTCAACAAGGCTAATCAACAAACTTAAGGTTTAATCCAAAGCAGATTGAATGTTAGGGATACACATATTGAAAGAGGATCTTGTTGCTTAATCTAGTAACCCGCAGGTCAGACAGTATCGCGTGATAGGTACGTGGCCGTTGTAATCGTCATCAGCGTAGTGCAAAATAAATACAGATGTCATTCTGAGGTCGTCTCAGCCGCCAAGAACCATGGAACCCAACCGGGGACTGACACCAAATCTGGGGAAGATGTGGGGAACTGGGACCAATCAGAGTTGGTTGAGGATATTGACTGTTTCGGAATGGACATGTTCGCTTACTGGTGGGATGCCTTAATTACCTGTTGGGCACCCAAAACAACCCGGATTTATCCTTGCGTACTTGCATCAGGTAGTCACTTGAGCTGGCACGTGTCGGTCTTCTAGGAGCAATGATGGAATATGTTGGTGTCATGATTGATTTTGTTTAATGACGACAGCGGTGAGTATTCTAAGAGGTGATTGCTTGGCCAAGTACTCCAATAGTCGAAGAAATGGTTTTATGTTGAATAGTGTGTAGACCTCGGTCTATTATTGAACGTGTATCAAGACTACGCACTATAGGTCGCAGGGCTAGGACACTCTATGACCTAAGGCAATTGCCATCTTGGCTTGGCATTCCAGGTTTGTTCTTCGGGATTTCTTTGCTGAAATATAAGACATCTTATTGGTTGTGTTGAGATGATGTGCGTAATCCTGCTGCCACTTCCACGGTTCTCTGCAAGGAACTTGGCCATGATACTTTGTACTACAGGGAATCCGGCCTGATGGAGATAACTGTATTTTCTTGTTTCCGACTACATTACAGGGGCAATAATAAGTTCTCTGCGGTCACAACAATCCTTTTCGAGCCCTGTCTGAAGGAAAATTTTAGAAAGCTTATACTGGTAGACCAGGTACCACCCAAAGGTGTACTCCATCAGACTGCCTCGCACACAAGGTCGCCGCATGTAGATCTTGCGGCAGTTTATGTTTGATATTTCCTGGCAACACCCCAAAACACTATTACCTTGTGACCCTGCGACCCTGCGACCTCCAAATCCTATCTCTAGTATTACAGATCTTGTAGTGACCTCTTTAGGGTAATCTGTTATGTATCAGAAGGTTCACTCTACAACCTTCATCGTGTAACTCTGTATCTAAGCTTTCCTTTCTCGGGTTCCAAAGTGCAACAAGTGTGCTTTTAAAGCAGCCACCCGTGGAGATGAAGAACCTATTATGACTAATTTGAGGTGAATGATATTATTCTAATCCGAATTCAGTATACAACATGGTATCTCGGAAGGCCATGCCGAAAGACGCAAGCCACGTCAAAAGCATCCATCAATGTATCAAGCTTGCACAAGGGGTGTACTAAGACGCCTGCCGAGGTCTAACTAGTTATACTTTTTCTATTAGACTTTTTCTTCATTTCAAGCTTCCTTATACTTCAATCCTGCTAGATCTCAATTGAGGCTCGCTTGTTCCTTCTCAATACGTCCAAGAATATTGTGTACAATAGATGCTGGCGCCATTGATTTCAGCATTGTGTTTCCTTCTGGAACCATCGATGGTATTGTCTGGCGAGGCAACATAGTAGCACCAGGTTACATAGTATGGCATATGCTGAATCTATGTCTTCAATTGCTGCTTTGGTCCATTAATTCACCTGATGTTGAGTCGTAATAGCATTAAAAAGGGATTGACTGCTGCTGGAGCCACAGGTTTACTATGAGCAATCTAAATGTGGGAATTCCCCAGGTGTGCTTGTCCCATTTTCACCAGCATCCCGCCTTCAGTCCCAACGCGTGAATCCTACCGCTTGTTTACTTCTTCTCTCTCCCCATCCTCCTCCTCTTTTTCTTTCTTTTACTCACGTCCCTGTCATTCTTTTTCATCCATACCCTGCACTGGTCTCTTTCTTATCCAAGATGGCGGCTCAGGCGACAGGCCTGGACTCGAACTCGCTCGCTATCAATGACGTCGAACCTGTCAACGCTACTTTGCAAAGTCACCCAGTTTTCAATGAGAACAACAAAGGTATCATCCCCGAGTCGTACGACCTTGGTGTGGGTGACGAGGACCCAACTACAGAAGAACTCCATGGCCCAAACGCCTTGCGTCGTGTCTCAGCTCCGATTCCCTGGGTGGTCTACACCGTCGCATTTGTTGAACTGTGCGAGCGTTTCTCCTACTATGGAACCCAGGTTCTCTGTAAGATATCCACAGTCCCATACAAAGTCACATAAGAAACTATCCTAACATTGCAACACAGACTCTAACTTTGTGAACCACGCGCTCCCCCTTCCTGCCCCGAATGGTCCTCCCGGATCAAACCATGCAACTGGAGCTGGTGGCCCTAGCCCCCAGGGTGTCTCGGGTGCTTTGGGCAAGGGTGTCGAAACTGCCAGTGCCATCAACACCTTCAATACCTTCTGGTGCTACTGCCTTCCTCTAGTGAGTGCCTACATCGCCGACGAGTACTGGGGCCGATACAAGACCATCTCCTGGTCTATCGCGGCTGCCATTCTAGGTCATATCATTCTAGTTGTCTCTGCCATTCCGCCCGTGATCACAAACACTGATGCTTCCTTCGCTGTGTTCGTCCTTGGTGTAATCACCATGGGTTTGGGCACTGGTGGCTTCAAGCCCAACATATCTGCCCTCGTCGCCGAGCAGATACCTGCTGTCAATCTCAAGGTCCGTACACTCGAAACAGGTGAGCGTGTCGTCATCGACCCTACTATCACCCAGAGCCGTATCTACCACTACTTCTATCTGTTTATTAACGTGGGCGCATTGACGGGTCAAATTAGCATGGCCTATGCGGAGAAGTATATCGGCTTCTGGTTGGCCTTCTTGCTGCCGACGCTCATGTTCTTGACTACTCCGTTCGTCATGTGGTGGGGTCGCAAGCGCTATCGCCAGTCTGCTCCGGCCGGCTCGGTGACTTACAAGGCCGTCAAGACATTCTGGTTCTGTATGCGCGGCCGCTGGCACTACAACCCATACATTCTCTGGAAGCGAACTCACGATGGCACTCTTTGGGATACCGCGAAGCCCTCTAACATCGAACCCAGACTCCGGCCCAAGTGGATGACCTTTGACGATGCGTGGGTGGACGAAGTGCGCCGTGGATTTGCCGCTTGTGCAGTTTTCTGCTATTTCCCGGTCTACTGGCTGGCCTACAACCAATTGACAAACAATCTCACCGCACAGGCTGGCACGATGACCTTGAAGGGCGTCCCAAACGACGTTGTGAACAACCTTGACCCCTTCGCGCTGCTCATCTTCGTCCCACTCTGCGACATGCTCCTATACCCCGGTTTGCGCAGAATTGGCATTCAATTCACGGCCATCAAAAAAATCACCCTTGGTTTCTGGCTGGCGTCGCTCTCCATGATATGGGCTGCTGTCATCCAGTACTACATCTACATGACTTCGCCCTGCGGCTACCGGGCTAACAATTGTTACAATGATGATGGCAGCGTCAACCCGTCTCCTCTCATTGTCTGGGCTCAGACTGGTTCGTACGTCCTCGTCGCGATATCGGAGATCTTTGCCGTCATCACCTCAATGGAGTATGCCTACTCCAAGGCGCCTCGCAATATGCGTTCGTTCATCCAGGCTATCAATATGTTCACCAATGCCATCTCCGCTGCCATTGCTGAGGCTTTGATAACGCTTTCCAGGGACCCTCTGCTGATCTGGAACTACGCAGTCTTCGCTATCTTAACCTTTGTCGGTGGAACCTTATTCATTCTCCAGTTCTGGGGTCTGGATAAGGAGGAGGATGAGTTGAACAACTTGCCCGAGGGTCATGTGGAGGCCAGCCAAACCCAGGCAGAGGTCGAACATGTCGAGATTGGCCCTGGTCGTGGTTGAGACTGAGAGTCTGAAACAATGTGTCTTTGCTTTAGCTTGGTGCTATTGGGATGGTGTCTTCCCAAAGTTAAGTCCACGCTTCTGTCAAATTCCAACTGATTCAACTGATAACTGGTTCTCTTTACCCTGTTTTAGGTTGGATTCTATTAGGATGGTGTCTTTCCAAGGTTAAGTCCAACACTTTTATTGAATTTCAATTGATTCAACAGTGAACTGATTTTCTTCCATAAGTCATACTGAGCTCCTTCTTTCCGCCCTAATACTAGTGCCTCGATTTGTGACCAACATCCATATAGGCCAAGTCACACGCCACAACGGCTTAGAGTACAACCTCGGAGCCTTGTGCCTAAAAGGTAATAATACACACGAATACGGGAGATTGCACTGTATGATTTTAGTCTAATCCAATTACGATCTCTCGATGTGATGGATTTTTTGCTAGCAGATCCACATCGGACCCAAAAGTCATGCCCGTTGTACGGAGTACTTCGTACCCTAGCCACTCCTTTAACTGTGGAGTGCTGGAAGATGAGTCTACTTTCAGCCCTGGGAGCATTCATGAATGCGACTCCAATAATGACTGCTGAAATGCGGATGCCTAGACACATACTTACCCACAGTTATCGTATTCGTATCACATGATAATAATCTCACCATCAGCCCCTGTCCAGCCCCATTTGGGCAGCCTTACCGATGTGACTATCTACTGTAATCTCCAGGGCTGACCTGCGCCTCAGAAGAAAATTGATAAAAATCCCTCTATACTTAATGCTTTTTAAAGCAAAACGGAGCGCTCGGCATCGTTGACATCACTCCCGCTCCACTCGGCAGCCATGATTCGTGATCCCTATGAACAGATGGAGTACATACCAAGACAACTGCTCTGGGACATTAGGGGCCTTGGCTAAGCTTCCGGCGGGCCCGATGCATAAGAATTTCCCCTCGGTGCATAAGTATCACCCCTTAGGACATGGAAATTCGTTCCTTTCGACGTTTCTTGCGCAGCTAAAAGTCGGTCACTATTGTGATCTAATCGTCATGAAGACTTTTGCGCTGATCTCGATTGCTCTGGGCTTGCCCGGTAAGCGCATTTCCTCGCGTGTTTTTTTTTCCTGGGGATTTCCCTTCTTGGCTTAATTGGACTTTTAAAACGCGTCAACAAAATAATTTCCCCACACTAATCACCGTGTTCTCGCAGGCGCAATCGCTGTTCCTGGCGCGCTCGATACCGATGATATCACATTCGCAGGTGTGCAACGAGCCCTCCCCAATGCGCCCGACGGGTACGTGCCGACATCCGTCAGCTGCCCCGCGAGCCGACCGACAGTTCGCAGCGCAGCGAAGCTGTCCACAAACGAGACATCATGGCTAGAAGTTCGCCGCGGCAAGACCCTGTCAGCGATGAAGGATTTCTTCGGACATGTGAAAGTCGGCGATTATGACGTCGGTGCCTACCTCGATAAACACTCCGGGAACTCGTCAAGTCTGCCGAATATCGGTATTGCCGTTTCAGGCGGTGGGTGGCGTGCGTTGATGAACGGCGCCGGTGCAGTCAAGGCTTTTGATAGCCGGACGTACAATGCGACAGCGACTGGGCACCTGGGTGGTCTGCTGCAGTCTGCTACCTACATTTCTGGTCTGAGTGGAGGTAGCTGGTTGCTGGGTTCAATCTACATCAATAACTTCACTACGGTCGATAAGCTGCAGACGCACGAGGCCGGTTCTGTCTGGCAATTTGGGAACTCGATAATCGAGGGTCCTGATGCTGGTGGTATTCAGCTTTTGGATTCTGCCGGTTACTACAAGGATCTTGCTGATGCTGTCGACGGGAAGAAGAAGGCTGGCTTTGATACTTCTCTCACCGATATCTGGTATGTCATCTCTGTTTATCGGGATGTATGTGCATGTTTGCTAACTTGGGTACAGGGGCCGCGCACTCTCCTATCAGATGTTCAATGCTAGCAATGGTGGACTCAGCTATACCTGGTCTTCCATTGCTGACACCCCGGAGTTCCAGGATGGAGACTACCCTATGCCGTTTGTTGTTGCGGATGGCCGCAACCCCGGCGAGCTAGTCATTGGCAGCAACTCGACCGTATATGAGTTCAACCCGTGGGAGTTCGGCACTTTTGACCCTACTATCTTTGGTTTCGTTCCTCTCGAGTACCTGGGCTCTAAGTTCGAGAGCGGCTCGCTTCCGAGCAACGAGAGCTGCATTCGCGGTTTCGACAGTGCTGGCTTTGTGATCGGAACCTCCTCTTCGCTCTTCAACCAGTTCCTTCTCCAGATCAACACCACTTCGCTCCCCAGCTTCATAAAGGATGTCTTCAACGACATCTTGTTCGATCTAGACCAATCGCAAAACGACATCGCTTCGTACGATCCCAACCCCTTTTACAAATACAATGAGCACTCGTCGCCGTACGCCGCACAAAAATTGCTGGACGTCGTCGATGGCGGCGAGGATGGACAGAATGTCCCTTTGCACCCCTCATCCAGCCCGAGCGCCATGTCGATGTCATCTTCGCCGTTGACTCTTCAGCCGACACTGACTATTTCTGGCCAAACGGCACCTCCCTGGTTGCGACCTACGAGCGCAGCCTGAATAGCAGCGGTATCGCCAACGGCACCGCCTTCCCTGCGGTTCCAGACCAGAACACCTTCATTAACCTGGGTCTCAGCACCCGTCCGTCCTTCTTTGGCTGTGATAGTTCCAACCAGACCGGTCCCTCGCCTCTCGTTGTGTACATTCCCAATGCCCCTTACTCCTACCACTCCAACATCTCAACCTTCCAACTAAGCACCGACGACGCTGAGCGTGACAATATAATTCTCAATGGCTACGAGGTCGCCACAATGGCCAACAGCACCGTGGACGGCAACTGGACCGCCTGTGTTGGCTGCGCTATCCTCAGCCGCTCATTCGAGCGCACGGGTACCACTCTCCCGGATATCTGCAACCAGTGTTTCGACCGGTACTGCTGGAACGGCACTGTGAACTCCACCAGACCGGAATCCTATGATCCAGCGTTTTACCTGGCTGATAGTATGGCCTCAGTGAGTTTGCCCACCATGCTGTCCACGGTTGTCGCAGCCGGTCTGGCGATGCTCATCCTGGTATAACTGGACATGATGAATTATTTTTCTTCCGACTGCCATGTTGCAGCTATTCCCAGTCGAAACATGGTTTTTCGCCTTTCGGTACACTTTCTTTCAAGCATGGTCGATGTGCCATCGAGCCATCCTTATTTTTAATTTCATTTTCATATTCCTAGTATTTTTTTTTAGATTTCTTCGTGTCCCATGGGATTCAATTCAATAGTAATGCATATATGACCATATAAGAAACATATTTGCACCTCAGTACAGCATTATCCCTCCTCTCTATTGTTAGAAATCTGCATCCCTGGAATACACATACCCTGGTCCTATTCAAACTGAATTTGTGCCAAATTGTATGACTAGGGCAAAGTGTTGATAACTTGACTATGGTTAATTCGGCATTCTTCTACCTACGCATTGGCGCATAGTTACTTATGGCTCTCTACCTAGAGTTGTTACTGTAGAGGTAATCCATGATATCCTCCAGTTAAATCTGTATAATCGACATCCAACGGGTGGCTGAGGTACAATGTATTTTAGAGAATATAACTCCTAGAAAAAAAAACTTGAATAGAGTGGGTTGGAATTCATATAAGACTAGTAATGCACCGTACAAATCTAGTGGAAATATATATTGAGCGACAACAGATTATGGGCCGATTTTGAACTTCCAGGTTAATACATAATTAAGAGCAGGCATCTGTCTTTCTTCTGCCGTCTTTTTATTATTATTTTCATCTGTTTGCATCAATCCGACAACCTATAACATCCTTGTTGACGTGTTTTTGTGAATGTGTAGATCATGTCACGTGCCTATGTTGCTATGGGAAACACCACAACAAGCAACCTCCGATCAGCCGCCACCTCCACAGTGGGTTATTTGCATTGCCTTGCTTCCTCTTTCATGCACCTAATTCGACAACTCTCGGCAACTTGCGACCTTACGACATCGGGCCGATATCACATTTGGCGACCCAAACCCGCCATGAGCGTCGCGTGCCAATACTAACTATTGCGACCATCAACAATAACCCGTTATCAACATGGCACGTGCTGCAGTAATCCCGCAACCCCCTGCAAAACGGGCGGGACGAACTTCAACAAAGTCAACAGCTGCTGCCGATGCGAAGAAAAAAGCCCCCCAAAGAGCCACACCAGCAGCACGGGCTGCGGCCCCGGCCGTCGATGCTGAGTCGGACGATGAGCTGGGATTTATCACAAGCAAACCCGCAAAACCCAGCGCCCGCCCTCCTGGCCGCCCAGCTACCAAACCAAAAGCGACTGCAGCTGTAACTGCGAGAGGAAAGAAAGCTGCGTCGGAGTCTCTCGCCGACAAGTCGAAACCCCAAAATAACGCCGGCGAAAATGAGCTAGAACAACAAACCGAGGTGCCAAAGAAGCGCGTTGGAAGACCAAGGAAGAATCTGTTACCTGCAGAAGCTCCTGCGACCCAGCCTGAAGCAGCGCCTAAAACTAGGGGACGACCAAGAGCGGGAACAACAGCGAAGGCCCCTCAGACCCGTGAAACGGCGACCACAGGCAGACGCACACGTGCGGCAGCGGATACAGCGGATGAGACGAAATCGAACCAAATCAGGATTGCGACCAACTCGACAACAATGCGCTCAAATCTTTTGCGTGGGCCCGCCAAGAAGAAGACTGTGAAATTCCAGGATGTCTCGGATTCCGAAGCTGAGGAAGTTGTGCCCGAGGTTCCTGCTGCCGGCCGTCGACGAGCAGCGACCAAAGGCGCGGGCGCTGGCAAGACCGGGCTTGGAGCGACTCCAGTTCGCAAGCCTGCGACGGCCGGTACTCGCGGAAGGAAGCCAGCTGCAGCGAAGAAAGATGCGACCCAACCACTGTCTCCCAAGAAGGCCAAGCAGGTGGCCAAGTCTCTATCATCTTACGCAAGCTCCGATGGAGAAGACGATGAATTGAACACAATCAAGGACGACACCAAGGATCCGGTCAGACTCGTTGTTCACTCGCCTGTTAAGCATGGCTCGGAGACCACTGGACTGAGCTCTCCTGTACGGAGGATCAACTTTACCCCCAAGAAGGCGTCCAGCTTCATGGACGAGAATGGCGAACCGAAACTACCAACACCAAAACACGGATCAGATGGCATCGGTCTTAACTCCCCAGTCAGGAAAATCAACTTTACGCCAAATCGCAGCCAGAACGCTGTCGCAGATAATGGTCACCTCGCTCTTCCGCCGGGCAATTCAGTTGTTTTTAGTGACTCTATGATCATGTCTAGCCCTGCGAGAAGACCGGCGCCATCATCTCCCTTCCAGTTCTCCATGAGAGAAACCCCGAATCGTGGGGGTCTCTTCCGGGATAGTGTGAATCCGATTTCCGCTCCTGATTTCACACCCGGACGCACTTCTCCACTGAAGATGTCACCTAAGAAAGGCTTTTTGGGTGCTTCTTTCTTGCAATCGCCATCCAAGGATTCTACATCAGCAGCCCCTGCTCGAACTCCCCTGTTTCAAAGCCCCGCAAAGAGAATAGCCTCCCCATTCAAAAACTCGATATTCTCTGCTCATGCATCTGTGGGCTCCTGCAAAGGCACGGACAATGATGGAACCCCATCCAAGACAGTTGAACTCACACAATCCGCCACCCCCAAATCCTTGCCACGGGAAAGCCAGCCCGACGAAGCAGCCTTTGAAAAGGACACCGAAATGGTCGAGGATGTGGCCCGAGATATCTTTGGCATTGAGCTGTCTTCTGATAGAAAGGGATCATCGATCTCTCCTATCCAGGAAGATATTGCTGCCTCAGAAGTAGCCCGGGACTCATTCGATGATGGAGACACCGATTCTTTCCCCCCTAGAGGTGGAGGCCGAGGGAGAATCAGACATGGAAGAGGATGAAATTGAGTATATTCAAGATGAGACTCAGCCTGAGTACGAAGAGCCTGAAACGATTTGCTTCGACGTCATGGAAGAGGCCAATATGGCAACCGAGGACGACCTCTATGATCAAGAGCCCCAGGAAAACTCAGGCCCCGGAGCTATCGAACAACTTGAAGACCAGGCTCAATTCGACCGGGAAGAAGCCAATACTATCTGCTTTGATGCCATGGAAGACGCCCAATTGGCAGCGCATAATCTCCACGACCAACAAGTCCAGGAAACCTCAGACCCAGAAGAAGGCGAAGATCGCCAAGACGAGAGCGAAAGCGAATTTGAGTACGAAGAGCTTGAAACAATTTGCTTTGACGCGATGGAAGACGCCGAATTGGCAGCAAATGATCTTCATCACCAACAAGTCCAGGAAGTATCAGACCTGGAAGGGGGTGAAGATCTCTATGACGAGGATGAATTTGAGTACGATGAACCTGAAACAATTTGCTTCGACGCCATGGAAGATGCACACCTCGCGGAGAATGGCCTGCATGATGAAGAAGGTCAGGTGGGAGACTCAGTCATGGAGGACACGAATTATCCCGAGGAAGAGCTGGCGGTACTGGAGCGCGAGATCGAGGAGGAAGAATCCCAAGATCCTGGTACTCGATCACAGTCCCAAGAGTCAACCCCGGAAGCCTCACCAACTACGGAGATGCAAGAACTAGACATGGAAGAGCAGCCGAGTGAAGTTGCTTCGCCCTCCAGGTCACCATTGCACTTGACCCGTGGCGATGAAGCCCAGCCATCGGTTCCCTTGGATTATTCCTCGGAAAGTGAACGTGAATGGCAAGAAGAGGCTACTCATCAACCAGAGGAAGTGGAACATGTGATGAGCGAGGAGAATGAAATGGAGGACACTGAGCCTGAGTTTGCTACAATATCGTCAAAGCCTGCTTCGTCACATGAAAGCAGCCGTGTCGAGGATATTGCAACTCCGCCCCAAAGAACGCAAGCGACACCTTCGCCACGACCCAGTTCCACAGGCGGTAAATCTATTCGCCTGGCCTTGAATCGCCCAGACAACCCAGAGAATGATCATGACTCCACTCCAGATGCCAAGAATGCCAGCAACGTCATCGTTGACACGCCCCTGCATGAAGAAAATAGTTGGACGCCAAACACGCAGGTTGACAGCCCTGCGTTAATGGCACCCAGCCTCTTCAACACACCAAGTGTTGCTGACCAACCCCAATCCCCTGCCGAGGCTAGCTTAGGTTTTACGCCATTGGCACAAAGGTTTGACCGTTGGGAGCAAAACACCCCTTCCCAAGCTAGATCACTCCGACCGCGTCGTCGGGGAGTTTTCTCGTTAGTAGGCCCCTTGGACCGCACTAACACGGGAGCTCCAACCAATTCTGAAAGTGTGTCGTATCCTGATCTGACAAAGAGCCCTTTGGCACAAAACCCTTCTTTGTTTGCCGAATTGCCACTTCAGTTTCAAAGCAATGATACTTGCACAAGCCCTGAGTATGAACGTACTCCACGGCGATCTTCCATCTATGAAAACCATCAAGTAATTGATTCGCCAAGAACAAGCACGGATATCTTCGAGGATCCTGATTCGGGAGTCATTGAACAGGAGCATACTTCTGCCGCCGAAGTCCCGCAAGATCAGGTCCAAGAGTCCCATCTACTCGAGGACAAAGAGAACCTCGGTCCTTCGATTCTCCCGTCTACCCCAATGAAGGCGCAAGTTCAACCTGATGAGTTACGCACTATTCATACAGTGTCCAAAGTACCTTTGAAAGCCGAAGGCGACGTATCGCCTCTCAAGCTGTCCCGCAAGAGAGGTCTGTCCTTATCGAGCACATCCCCCACTCGATCTTCCCCTCGTGTTCGCAAGCCAACCTTGATGGCACTGAATGATACTCTCCCGATTCTCTCTCCCTCCAGGAAATCTCCACGGGTGAGCAGAAGTCCGACACCAAAACGCCGTTCTATCACTAGCAGACGCAGCAGTGTAAAAGCACCTGTGATGGCTGCGTCAAATACTCCCGTTGCAACCGCCAGCCCTGCCAAGAAGCAGCGCCGCAGCATCAGCACTGAACAGAAGGCTCTACATGGAGCAGTCGTGCATGTGGATGTTCATACCACCGAGGGTGAGGATGCCTCTGGTATCTTTGTAGAACTCTTGCAGCAAATGGGTGCCCGGTGTGTGAAGTCCTGGTCCTGGAACCCTCGCTCCAGTCTCTCACCGGTTGATGATGTAGAGCCCAAGGACTTGAGAGTTGGCATCACCCATGTTGTGTACAAGGATGGTGGCCTGCGGACTTTGGACAAGGTCAAGAAGGCAGCCGGTCTTGTCAAGTGTGTTGGAGTCGGCTGGGTTCTCGAGTAGGTTTATCTTTTGTACATCTTTCTTTAACACGGCCTTTCTAACTTTTATCTATAGTTGTGAACGGGAAAACCAATGGCTTGACGAAACCCCGTACGCGGTTGACAGCTCTATCATCCCGCGCGGAGGTGCCAAGCGCCGCAAGAGTATGGAGCCTCGTGCACTCAGCAATGTGAACGGAACACTCGTGCGCATTTCCGAATCTCCCGCGCCATCTGCTGGTGGACGTCGCAGTGGTGTCAACCCGGGTGCCGTCGAGGGTTTCCGCAAGATCACACCTCCGACCCACCAGCAAGAGATGCCATCCACACCCCCACAACAATCTTCTGCTGGTAGCTACCAATTCCCCGCTACTCCTGGATACAACTTTGCCAACCTTGATGCCATTGGCATGTCGCCCGCTACACCGGGATTCCTTGGAAATCGCTCGAAGCTTGTCCAGCAATCTTGCCCGCCAAAGCAGAGCAACCGAGGTCTCTTCCCGAGTACTAAGCCTCCGAGTATCATGCTGGATGATGGGCAAGATGAAGAATCCAGGAGACAGCGTCGCTTCCGTATGGAGGCTGCTAGACGCAAGAGTCTTGTTTACAAGCCTGCTGTCGGCAGCCCTCTTGTCCCTTGATTTTATTCATTGCATTGTTCGATTTTTGTACATTCATACCCAGTCAGTGTAAATATGGGGACTCTTTGTTTGGGCGTTTCTTGAATTTTACACCATGATGGCGAGCTGGATAGGTTGGACTGTTCTTGTGGAAGGTCAATCGTCATTACTTCTTTTTGAATCTCAGTCAAATCAATTGAATCCCGGATGACTTAAATCCATACTCATGTCCGTGGTAAAGCTGCCAAATATTACTTTTCATTCAGAGATTCGATAATACCCGAAATCTTTCTCGCTGTCCGGCTTCAACATTCATATATCTCGTGTCCAGTTTACCAAAACGATGATATCACTCCTGCGACTCGTCACGATAGAATCCAGCAACCAAGAAAGCCAGCTCCAAAGCCTGCTTCTCATTCAAGCGCGGATCACAGAACGTCGTGTATCGCTCCCCAAGCCCATCCTCCGTCAGCCCAGCAGCACCACCCACACACTCAGTGACAGCCTCGCCAGTAAGTTCAAGATGCATACCACCAAGGAATGATCCTGCAGCGCGATGAATTTCCAACGCCTGCTTCAGCTCAGACAAGATATCCGTGAAGTGACGGGTCTTCACGCCAGACGGTGTGCTCTGAGTATTGCCATGCATAGGGTCACACTGCCAGACGGGAATATGACCAGAGGCCTGCACAGCGGCGATATGGCCAGGAAGGAAATTTGCGATCTTAGCAGCGCCGTATCGGGAAATCAGAGTGACTTTCCCGATCTCGCGATCCGGATTGACAACATCCAGCAGCTGCACCAGCTCGTCCGGCGCCATGCTAGGCCCGATCTTGATTCCAACGGGGTTAGCAATGCCGCGGAAGAACTCGACATGCGCACCGCCGAGTTGGCGTGTTCGGTCGCCGATCCAGATGAAGTGGCCAGATGTTGCGTAGTAGCCTGTCTCGGGAGATGTGGTGCTTGTTCCTTGGTGCACTGGGTGGCGAAGGAGTCGGGTTAGGCTCTGCTCGTATTCCAGGGAGAGGCCTTCGTGGCTGGTGAAGATGTCGGCTGTCTCGAAGCCGCGGTCTTTATCGATTCCTACTGTGTGCATGAAGCGCAGGGCATCCTTTACGGCGCCTACGGTCTTGGCGTATTGCTCTTTGATCGAGGGCGTGATTACATGGCCCAGGCCCCAGTCTAGTGGGGAGTGCAGGTCTGCCAGGCCTGAGGATAGGGAGGCACGGAGATAATTCAGAGTTGCCGCGGAGTGGAAGTAGGCCGAGACTAGACGTGATGGGTCTGGCTGGCGGGATACAGGGTCTGCTGCGAAGCCGTTGATGTTGTCACCGCGGAAAGAGGGCATTTCCACTCCATTGACGACCTCTGTTGGACTTGAGCGTGGCCTAGTTTTGTTGTTAGTTTTCTGGTTTTGAATTAATGAATGAGGAACCTACTTTGCGAACTGCCCTGCAATCCGAGCAATACGGATGACGGGCTTATTGGCACCTATTGGTGGATTAGTGGTCATCTTTCTTTGCTTTTTTGTGGGGGGTCTGACATACCCCAGATGAGAACCAAACTCATTTGCAGCAAGAGCTTGACCTTGGCTTCAATCATTTCTTGGGTGCAGTAGTCGAAAAGCTCCGCACAGTCACCTAGACAAAATGATTAGTCCTGATGTTTCGGAGATATTGTTCTGTGCAACATACCACCCTGTAGAACGAATGCTTTGCCCAAAGCGACATTCCGGAGGTTCTTCTTGAGATTGACGATCTGTAGGCCAGGTCAATATGAGCTAAAATCCAATCTAGAGAAAAGACATACTTCTTGTGTGGTCACAAGCGGAGGAAGCTTCTGTAGTTTCTGCAGTGATTCTTTCAACCCTTCAAGATCCTCATAGATGACATCTTGTTTGATGGGTTTTTGTATCCAGGCTGGATATAGTTAGCGATACTAGATCGAACGTGAAAGAAATTTTAGATTTCTGCTCTTACAACTAGGGCTCCATTCAGCCATTGTGAGGGCAATTGATCCCGAAAAGTGGGGGATTATATGAGTTAAATCTCTTTCGTTTGGCCAGCAGTATCAAGCAAACGCAATGAGAAATTGGTCAGTGTAGGCAATGGAATAGTGGAATTCGAATAAATGGGAACAAAGGACTGATGAGCGAAAATATATTAAGGACATGTAACAAAAGAAAGCTGACAGTCCGGTGTGTGTACGTGATACGCTTATTCCCGGGACTCCGATGACTCACTTTGATGCCTGATTCCCCAGGCACCATATGTAGTATTGGTTCCTCGGTGAGACTATATCGTAGATGTAGGTCAGGATGTGATGTTCAATGCAGTCCATTTCAAAATTGACAGCTTATTTGACTGAAATCAATGGAATCCCATTGAGCAAAGACCACAGGGTTCCATTGACAGGGTTCCATTGAAATCTCACGGTATAGCAACCTCCTGTGACCTCTACAATTTAAGCCATCAACTAACTAGTACCCCTAGCATGTATGATATAATCATGGACGTGGAAGGTGTCATGGCCTGTGTTATGGGCACTGTTCTTCATTTGGAATATGAATGGTTTCGAAAGGCTGTGGATCCTCTTTGATGATGTGGATGAATGGCTGGCTGTTCTCAAACTTGGCCTGTATGATGCATCGAGTGATGAAGTTCGCCGCTTTGGTAAACGTCAGCCAAGTTTCCGAGGTCTCGGAGCTGACTCAGTAATTATACTGTCCAGGTGGGTAGGGCTGGCAAAGATGAACAGAGCCTTATAGGTAGCCGACAGATAGTTGACTATTTAACCCTACCTAACCACCACTACGGAGTACCGTGGAGAGATTACCAGTGTGAAAATATAAAAGCACCCTACGCTAAGTTGTTGGCTATAACATGGGCAGACGTCCTCCGTAGGACCTTGGGTATTGACAAATATAATACCAAGGCCTTCATATGGAGTATCTACTAGACCGATAAAGCTGGGAGGCAACAAACCTTTTTATATTTGGTTCCTACTGTGTAGAAATGCAGAATTGAACGTAGATTTCTCACTAACTACCCCAGACTTGGCATGGAAAGTCGGCCCTTCAGTGACTATATTTGGAAAAAATAAAGGACGGACCACGGAGATAATGAAAGGGGCAAGATGGATCGCAATCTGCTCCGTACAGAGGAAATGCCTATGGACATGAGAAATTAATCCAAGCCATCGCGTAATAATGGGGAGCGACGCAGGCAACGTTCGTATCAAGAACCGCTAGCGTCGAGGAAATTGGGCCTAATCGGGCTGATTATTCGGGACCTGTCGACTGTGATTGGCGATGTCTCGGAACTTACCTAAGCGCGGCCATTTTTAGTTAGCGTAATCTGCTTGGGGTCTCCAGAGCTGCCTATTTAGTACTAACGTGGCCCTAACGGAGGTAAAAACGTGGGTCGAGACCCATCCAAGGTTGAGCCCCATGAGCGGATGCCCTGCCAAGGTTGTTTCTTCACCTGGGTATTTAAGCTCGCTGCCGGCCTTGTTTTTCTCACTTCTATTCAATCCTTATCCTCGCTATACTATATTATTTTCGCCATGCAGTACAAGGCCCTCGCCACTCTTTTCTTCGCCGCCACGGCTCTGGCCGCCCCTGCAGATTCTACTTCCACATCCTCAAGCCCGGAGTTTGTCGATAGCAGTGACCTTTACGATGACTATTACGAGGATATTTATGACGACATTTACGAGGCAATGCCTAGCTCTATCTTGACTGTTCTGGCAACAGCCATCCCGGCCACATGGTACAACGACCTTTTGGACCCGGCCTCTCGCGATTCGATCGTCAGCGAAGCTATGGCTGGCACCTACCCAGCTTGGTACAACTCGTTGCCTAGCAGTGTCAAGGCCTGGGCCACCGCCAACGAGGCGTTCATTGGCGCCTCGGCAACCGCTACTCAGACCGAGACTGCTGATGGCAGCACCTTCAAGACTGGCTCCACCGCCGCTGCCAGCCAGACCTCCTTTGCCAGCGAGACCTCCGCTGCTAGCCAGACCCCTGCCAAGACCATTTTGGCTTCCACTACCTCTTCGAGCTCCAGCTCTCAGACTAGCTCTGAGTCCGGTTCTGAGTTTAGCTCTGACTCGAGCTCTAGCTCTGCATCATCTTCTCCATCTTCTTCGCAGTCTACTGGTGGCGCCGCTGCTCCTACTGGGGGCATTACCATGGGTGTTGCCGGTGCTGCTGGTGTTTTGGCCCTGGCTCTTGCCCTGTAGAGCATTGCCGAACGATATGTTTATCTGGAAAGTTTATAAGAAACATTAAATTCACGTGCATTAGATAGATCTGTGTGCATAATAACTTTTTTCATCATGTACCTACATACGAAAATACTTAATTCCATTACATCTACAGTTGGGATAAACAGCAGCCTAGATACTCTCTAAGTGTTGCATGGGGTGAGCTGGTTGTATTTCTTGTCGGTTAATACTCAGTACAACATTGGAAACAACCTCGGCAGGAAATTGGCCGCTGACTTCTCATTTCACCCGGACCTCAAAGCACCCACCATGGCTCTCGCTGTCTTGACCCAGTTCCAATTGCCGAGGGGATTCTGAAAGAGCGAGAAACGCACGCTCACTCGTTTGTTAGGTCCTGTGAATAAACTCAGATGTTAGCATGGTCAAGGTCAGTAAAAGAAGTGATGCAGTCCAAGGGTAGAAAGAACCAGGTCAGTTTCCAAGCCCAATAATCAGGTATCGTATGTCCGTGAATTCAAAATCGTGATATGGCGTGCAGACCGCTGACTTCTTCTTGGAGCTGTTCACAAGCTTCGCGGTTAGCATGTTCAAAACAGCGACAATAGATACTAAAGGAAACCCGACAAACCCAGCTACCAATTCTATCATGCTGGGACGCGGTCTCGAACAGACTCTAGAAGCCTAAAAAGGCGACTGTGTACTAGCCTCTCGCTGTTCTGACGGTTCAAAAGTCTCCAGGTGAGCATATTGATCTTGTAGTTCATTGCATTGCACTCCCGGATGAAGTCGGTAACAAAATATGCAAGAGGCCTCTCTCGGACGGTTTCACAACCTGGGACGTGTTCGAACATGATCTGTCCCAGGTTTCGAATGTTGTCAATTTCTATGGACAGACGGCCCAGCTTTTCAATCGTCACTTGACGATCCTCAGGGGATGGGTTATCCCAGGTGAGCCTGCTCAGAATTTCTTCAATGCAGCCGTGAAAGTGACGCCATGCGTCATGGTACACCTGTTCCCAGGTCGACACGGCGTCCGAAGAGGGGATATCGGTTATAGACATTGTAAGAGTAGTGGTTCTGGGAGTATTGTAATGGTAGTGGTTATGGTAGGATTGGTGTGTTGGAGGTTATTGTTAGATCAATGATCTAGTGGTGAGAGATATAAAGAGAAAGCGAGAGGCTGACCATCAATCGAGAAATGCACCAGATGGATGGGATATGATAGGATAAGATAACTCGACACGGTGCTGGTTAGCAAACATTGTTATTTAAGTGTTTGCAATCGAAATCGACTTGATCGAGTATGCCTAGAGTTGATAATGGAAGTCATGAATGCGTTTGTGCGTATGGTTGTTTGACCCGGGCACCAGGCAAACATCGAGGACAAAGACTTGATCATCCTAATAAGATCTGAAGTCAAAGCCATCAACATCTGTAGCCAGAGTAATCGATATCTAAAGTGAAAGTGAACAAAGAGCACAAAGGCCATTGTTCAATTCAATTGTCCCTTTATCTATTCACGCGAATCAGTAAGAGCTCGATATATGCCAAGGGAAAACGTACAATAGCAACACAAGTCAAGGGAGTATATGCATATGTAGCGTTCTATCAGCTAAAATCCATGCATACGAGCTTGCTTGGTTCGTAGGATGATGGAGGTCAGATATTCGTTATTACACGCACTTACCCATGTTGACTGGCAATCAGAGATGGTTATGTATGCTTACTGCAAGGTCCCTTTCCCTCTATATCTGGACTAGATATCCTTCCAGCCTATTGTGATCATTCCTGACAAGATAGGCGGCCGTCTATGCGGCCTTCTCAGGTGTTTCAGTATATTTTTGTAGATATCTTCCCCCGCTCTTAGTTTTATAGCTAGACGGTGGAAAAGTGCCGGAAAGGTGCAAACCACACAAGAGGACCAACCAGGGATTAGAGATGAAATAGATACATATTTATAAAGAGTGAGATGTAATAAATATTAAGGAGGTTGATATGACTCTTTGGAGTGACACTTCGGATACCTTAGCACTGGGAGCCGAGTCAGCGTCATCATCATCTAGGCATTCTGGTCGAAGTATAGTCTCCAAGGACTGGAGCCATACTCGGCCTGAACCTTCCAATAGTCGAGAAGTGGAGCTTAGAAGTGGAGATATAAGCTGTGGAGTCAACTCGACAAGGGTCCTAGCTGTGAATAAGGTCCAAACCATCTAGCAACATAAGAAGTCAAGTCAAGCATGAAAATTAAAACATTTAAATGGAAGGAGTGGAATAATCTTGCCCAGGACCTGAGGTCGGATACCTACCGAATTGAGGTTGCCCACTTCGGCACTTGCCCAGGTGGCCGGGGGAAACAAACAATTATGTCAGCACTTATCTGAACCCCGGAGCTTATCAGTGACGTCGTCCACCCGGGTTCGTCCACCCGGGTTGTTGCCAAAACACAGCTCAAGTCAAGATTAGATCCAACTCCCAGGGCCCCTTTAACAAAGAAAATATGTCTGATACAATTCCCTCTGCAAGCGCTGGCCAAGACACCGTCGAGAACCCAATTCCCTCAAACGCCGAAGACCGAAAAGCCGCCGCCGCTCTATCCTCCCTCAACACAAATGAAATCGCAACAGAGGGTGCCTCAGCCGGAGCACCGCTTACTGTAAACCAAGAGGCTCTAGGGAGGGCTATGAGTCGGCTTGAGATAGCTGCTGGACAAGACTCGGGCAACAAGAAGACAGCTGAGGGACCGAAGACTGACGAGACGCTGAAAAAGAAGACAGTTAAGGTTGCTCCAGCTGATGTTACACTGCTGGTATGTTTGCCGTGTCCCGATATGGCTTCGGTACTCGTCTGTGTGCGGACTTGTTAATATGGATCTAGGTTGACCACCTTGATTTAAGTAAGACCAAGGCCACGGAGTTGCTCAAGGCTCATGATGGAGATGTCACTCAGGCAATGAAGGCATTCATTGCCCCATCTATGCGGGTATGATGGCTCAAATTATTTACTACGAGTTGTCTGTGATTTTATGGGTTGGTCGGTACCAAGCTGATACAAAGGAAACCTCGTTTCTTATATTAAAACTCGCATTATGCTGAGGGTCTGGTTGTCATGCTTGTTATGTTCAAGGAGTGCAGACAATAGTTATATCAACAGGTCAAAGAACATCACTCCTCATCCCCCTCTACCTCGTGTTTCTTGCGTTCGATCCCCTTGCCCTCGTAAATACTCCACAGCATAGCCCAACCAAGCAAAGCCTCAACAGCCAGTGCCCACCACACAGCACCAATCATATTGTTCTCGAGCCCCAAGCCCAGCCCCCAGCCACCCAGGAATGGGCCCAGGGTTCGAGCTCCACTAGAGATACTCTGCGCCACTCCATGGACTGTGCCTAGAATAGATGGATCCGTGACACAGTTGTTCACCAAGATAATTGCAGCCGGCAGGATGAATGTCCGCGAGATGACCTGTAAGCTAACGACGAACGTGAAAGAAGGCCAAACAATCCATGGTATGCGCGGAAGAATCACCAAAAAGGGCATCAGCATGTATGCAATAGGCGAAAAAGGAAGGAACGTTCGGAATGACGTGAGTGTGCCGAGCTTTGTCTGTATCAGCGGGTAGAGGAAGATCTGGAGTGGCAGGCCGATGAAACCAATAATCGCAGTAGCAAGCCCAACTCGTGATGATGGAAGACCTAGTCCGCCGCCAAAATGGAAAAGACCCTGCCGGGAGTTCTCTGGTGCACGGGGTGCGGGCAAAAATACGAATGTCATAGAGTTAAAGGCGCTTGTGTGGAAGGCAAGTAGGAAGTGAGCCACCAAAGTCAGGATGATGTTGCGTGTCCAGATCTGGCGGAACCCGATCTTCTTATGTGGCCGTGGATGCACACGAGAGCGGGCTGGACTCGACGGCGTAGACCAAGTACCAACACTGCCGTCCGTGTAGATGGAGCCATCGTCTCTGGAGCGCGTCAGCGGACGATAGTGGCGAGGTCGTCGTGTCCAAGCTCTTGTGATCCGTTTGCCGAGTTTACGACCCCAGTCGCTTCTATAACGTGCAATTTCATGTGTCTAGATGTTTTGTTGTTAGTGACGGTATGAATTCGGACAGTGAGATTCTCACCTCATCGAGCCCAAGAAATACTGCGAGAAATGATGCAAATATGAAGATTGCGCTCAAAAGATTCGGCAATGCATACGGCCAACGCTGCATCCACCACACACCTTCTTTACCTCCAAGGAGAGATCCCGGGCCAAAAAGTTGCGGAAAACTGTTCACAGGATCGGCCAATGAGCCTCCCAAGATTGGACCTATGATCACGCCGATATTGAAGCACATGGGAGGAGCAAAACGCGCGGGATTGATATCTAAATAGTCAGCCTAAGGCAAGGTGGCGCATTGTGCGAACATAACAACTTACTTCTTCTCAGCAATGATCTCTGCAATCAGCGTCCGCATTACTCCTACATTGCTATTCAATATCCCGCCCAGTGTCCGAAAGACCATGGCCGTCGCAAAAGATCGAGAGAAGCCAAAGCCGATACAAGACAGACAAGTACCCATCAATCCAATCAACAGCACTCTTTTCCTGCCCATCCATTCAGCATCAGCAAGACGGCCCCACCAGACAGCGGTGATGAATTGTGCAGCTGTAAAGCTACCCTGGAGGATACCCGCCTGCGCGGAGATCTTCGAATCTGGCAAAGATGGATCGAATGATTTGAGCTGATAGAACATGTACGCCTGCAGAGAGGTCTGCGTCAACGGCTCTGACAGTCGCGCCAAAGTCAAGATTGCCAACTGGCCCTTCTTCGGTAACGAGCTCCAAGTTACCGGTTTCTCTTCATCCCCATCGGCCGGACCCAGCACACCGTCATGATCATGATCGCGATCATCTTCGTCGAGTGAGGAAAATCGTCGGTGATTGGTCATCAGCGGTGCGAACTCCGATCTCCTCGACCTGGAGTCGCTTTGGGGGATTACAGTGTCGTCGCTCTCGAGATCGGTGTCGCTATCTGTACTTGACAAATCTGCATGATGACCGATCAAGTTTGAAGCGTCCTGAGAGGCAAGATGAACATTTTCCCGGTCCTCGTGGCGGTCTTGGCCATAGTTCGGGGTTTGCGGAGAAGCCCCCATCAACGAAGATCCCGGCTCGGACGTTGTCACACGAGCACGGCTGGGGTATATACCGGGTGTATGACACTGCCGTTGTGCGTGAACCTACCTTGGCACTTGATATCACTTGAGATCCGTACTCGGGCGGTCCGTGACTCTTGTGCCTTGGGAGAGGAGAATCGAGGTGGAAATGAGCTTTGACACCTTTTCGCCCACATTTGCGTGGGGTCGATGGAGATGTTGCCGAGTTAACCGCGAGGTCAAAATATCCAGGTACTATATAGTACGTCTAGTACGCCAGTTCAGATTCTGTGGTATAATTTGGAATATGGGTATTATATCCATGGATACGTCTAATTCTCTAATTTATTCTCACTTGAATTCTATTACAACTAGAATATAGGGACCTGTGAAATCGACGCCGAAAATGACAGCCTCTGGCGCCAGAAACGGGCGCTTAACCGCCCGCTGTATTGTACTGCCCCCTATTCTGCTGACGGCACAATTCTAGACACGGTGAAAAATTTGAGTCGGTTCGTGGGGTGAAGCTCGAGGAAAGGCCTTTTACACCCTGCCTGAGGCGCAAACAGCAAGTCACGGGAGGGTACACTGAGTAAGCTGGAAACAGGCTGGGCGGTCCACGTGGGAGTGGGTCATGGTTACACACTAACCCATTCTGGATTTGATTCTTTACCTAGGTACCTACCTAGGTAGGTATCACCCATCACCCAGGCATTACCTAGGTACGGAGTATAGTTTCCAGATTTGTCCCAGCTTTCCAGCTCTCCAGCTCTCCAGCTCTCTATCACATCTTCACATCTCTAGTGTATAGGCACATGATCTAGCAGTAAGTGTTAGTAGTGAAAGGTATATACCTGAAGAGACTACTAAAAAAGACCACTAAAAAGACCACTAAAAAGACCACTAAAAAGACCACTAAAAAGACATATAAAAAGACATATAAAAAGACATGTAAAAAGACATGTAAACAGACATATAAAAAGACTATCGGAGAAGACTACCTAAGAAGACCACCAAGGAGATTACGGCGTATAAGCGGCCGACTATTTATTCCTATAGCAGAATATTTAAAAGGGAGGCGGTATATGAGGCGGTATAAGGTCGGAGGCATTTAAGATATCAAGCCTAAAAAATCAGGCATTTGACCTTTGGCCGTTAGGCCCCTTCGCAGTCTGAGGGTCTGAGGTCAAAGTTGAACTGACGGTTACCAGGATGGTCAGGATATGAGCAGACAGGTGTTTATCAGCGAGTCGCTAGGCCCGTATAGAAGATAATAGTACGAAGGTAGCGAATAGCAAAGGAAAAGGAACATAACAACTCTCCTCACGCTCCCACTCTCTCCTCATTCACTCCTGAATTCACTGTCTTCTATCCACTTCTAAACATTGTCAAAGAAGAGACTCCTGTTTGTATTCCTGATCGGAGCAAGTCGTAATGGTGGCATCGAAGAAACCCTTGTCCCTTTGGTAGTCTCGGCCTGGAGCCCGTCAAAACAAAACAGGCGGGGCCGATAAGATCCTCTTCCCCCCGCGCTTCAACTTGAAACATCATCTCTCTTCTCTCTTCAACACACCCAATTTATTTTCTAGAATGGACCGATCAAACAAGCCCTCCGCAATTGGAGTGGGAGCTTCCCTTCCCCAGCCCACCCTCTCCATCAAGGACAACGTCGTCGAAGCTTCGTTGCCCACCGGCCAGTCAGTGACCGTGCACCTGTACGGCGCTACTGTGACCTCGTGGAAGACCGGCGGCCAGGAGCAGCTGTTCGTCAGTGAGAAGGCTCATCTAGATGGCTCCAAGCCTATCCGGGGTGGCATTCCGGTGGTGTTCCCAGTATGTGAACTCTACGATTTCTCTGCTTGAGCTACAGCTAACCGCCCTGCTTATTCTCCAGGTCTTCGGTCCCCCGCCACAGAACCACGCTACCTCATCCCTACCACAACATGGCTTCGCTCGCAACTCCAACTGGGAGTTCTTGGGCAAGTCCTCTTCGGAAGCGCCCGGAAGGGATAGCGACCAAACCGATCTTACAGTGAAGTTGGATTTCGGGCTGTCGCACTCTATGCTGACCGATGAGTTCCGCGCCGCTTGGCCATATGAGTTCGGTCTGGTGTACAGTGTTACGCTCACCACGAACTCGCTGGAAACGGCACTGCAGGTTCGCAATGAGGGCCAGCAGAACTTTGAGTTCAAGGTGCTTATGCACACATATCTGAGCATTGCGGTATGATAATGCACCGATGTTACTTCCCCCCCCAATTCCCAGCTAATTGGAATTTGACAAATAGGATATCTCCGACATCCGTGTTAAGGGTCTCGAATCCAAGACATACGTCGATAAGACCCTCCAAGGAACTTCTCACACTGAATCGAGCCCCGCATTGGCCATCACCCAAGAAACCGATCGCGTCTACCAACAACTTGACCCTGCCGTTCCAATCGTCGTTGCCTCTGCGAAGGATGACCAACCTTTGTTCTCGATCACTCGGGAAGCTCTGACTGATGTTGTGGTCTGGAACCCTTGGATCGAGAAGGCCAAGGGCATGGCCGATTTCGGCCCAGACGAAGCTTACAAGAACATGATCTGTGTGGAGGCTGGCTCAGTGTCTGCTTGGCAAACGCTTGAAGCTGGAGAGGCCTGGGAAGGTGGACAGAGCATCAAGTCGCGACTATGAAGATGGGAGGATATCTTGGCTCCTAGTGATCTCCATAAATGATAGTTATGACCTAAAGACACCTACCTATTCCCAATTCTAACTTGTAGCCCCACTAATCGTACGTCCGTGCTTGATCCCTAGCCTAGCCTTGCTTGACCACAGCACTTTGATACACAAATCGTTGTTATATTCATCAAAAGATATAGATACATATTCTTTAACAAGGTTACCTGTTATCAATAAGCAACAGTAGTCACATTCGCGCCCGTCTTCAAGTTTTTCGGGTTCCAGTTGTCGTTCATCGTGAATCATTCCCATCCTCAATACCATCAGGCGAAACACCCACGGCGTCGATAAAAGATCGACGACCCTCCTTGCCCTCTTGGCAAGCAGCCAACTGCTCAGCAGCCTCGAAGCTATACTGCGGGCCATGGTATTGGCGCTTGGCACGGAACACCCACCAAAAGGCAGTGAGGACCATCAAGCCGACAACGATCACACTGGTATAGTTCATATTTGAACCGTGGCCGGCAGCACGAGGGGGAAACAGAAGAAAATAACAGTAACCAAAATATACATCAAAGAAACAATATTAACCGCCATCCCAAGTTTCTGTCCCATATAAAACGGCCCGGGGACCATGTTCCCACGACCAGACAAAACATGCGGAAAGATGGCTCCGAAGTAGGACAGCGAGCTCAGTACAATAAACGACGAGATCAGCGCTTGGAATGCCGTCGTGCTGCCGATATATATACACCCCAGACAAGTGACGAGCGCGCTCATGGCAACTGTGGCACGCACGGGGGAGTGCAGTGTCGGATGGACTTGGGCGAAATAGTTCGCAAAGGGTGTTGCGTTGTCGCGTGCTAAACTCCACCACATTCGTCCGCCTGTTGTGAATGTCCCGATTAGAGTTGGGAAAGTTGCAAGAAACAGTACTGCAATCAGACCAATAGCGCCTGCGTTAGACCCTGTCGCTTGTCGGTAGATCTCGGCGGTTGGGAAAAAGCCGATGTTATTTGCAAAGACAGCGTCTAGATCCTGGATGGAGTAAAAGAGAGCGATCAGATACACAAAGGATGTGACGAAGGCTGTGAGCATCTGCAACATTATGCCTTGCGGGACCTTGATCTCGGGTTTGGGGACTAAGACATGTGTTAGTTGGTGGTTTTTCCTTTCCTTTTTCCTGTTTCGGACATACCCTCTTCTGATAAATGGCTAATACAGTCCGGGACTCCAACTGCAAATGCGGCATTCAACAGACCAGTCATGAAACAAACTCCGTCTGACCATCCGCCCGTGTTGTTGTGGTACTCAGTCCACACCTGGGCGTTGCTGGCATGCTTTTTCGGCATCACTGTGAGAACCACCACAGTTGTGACGAGGCCACACATCGACAGAGTAAGGGCAACACGGTTGATGAGGGGAATATATCGATTTCCCAAACACACAATCGCACAACACGTCCAATTGACAATCTGGAATACAATGAATACTTGCCAGGATTGCCACTTGACAGTAGGGTAATTGAGCAGATACATGGCCACGGCCTCATTTCCCAGCATGGAGCTCATTGACGACGCCGACAACAGCCACGCGCAAGCATTTAGATACCCAGTAAAGAATCCCACTGCACGGCCTCGATTCCGGCTCAAGACCGATGACCAGTAGTATACTCCACCGGCAGAAGGCATGGAAGAGGCAAGTTCGGCCAGCGAAGCTGAGATGGCCGTGTAAAAGACGCTGACTAGAATCAATCCGTACAGAACAGCCATCGGGCCGCCATTCTGCAGCGCAGCGACGATTGTACCCCCTGTTGAAGCCCAAGAACTTGGTCCCGTTAGTCCATCGATATTTCATCAGTGCAATTTCCGATTTACAATGGCCTTACTTTGCAATGACAATCCCCAAACTGGTCAAACTCCACAGTCCAAAGTTCCGCGACAGCACTTGTTTGTGCCCAAGTGCAGATTCTAGCCGCACTTCGTCCATTCCGGAATCAGGTTTCGCGGACTTTCCAGTGTCCGCAGAGGGTTGCTTTGAGAACACCATTTTGCCGTGCGTCATGCAGTGTTAGAGCGAATACCCAACAAGGGGATCGAGGCATAGCAACGATAGGATAAGGAAAGAGAAAGGGAGGTACATCCCCACTAGGTTTGGTAGAGCGTATAGGGCGCATAGGAACGATCGGGCGTGTCGCAACAGGAATGTAAGATGTGAGGGCCCCTCATGGCTGCCACATGTCTTGCACAAGGTCCGAGCATTCATGCGAGGATGATCGGTCTACTGTTTTCTCCGAAGGGATGCACATCTTTTCTTCGTTACATGGATGAAATATGGGGCCAGGGGTGTTATTGGAAGAATCATACCACAATTTCTGTCAGAAAAGGGCGAATTCTGTGCGCATCTACGGGGTACACTATCTAGTTTTTAATTCACGTTTTGCTTTTGATTGGGCCGGTGAAAATTGCTTCTCTTATGACCTTCCCAAATCGGAACCGAGTTGATACGTCGCAGGCTAAGTAAGGGGTTCGCTCGAATGCAGCATCTAGGCCGTCGATCCGATGCGGCTTAGCCACATACATCGTAGCTTGGGGCAAATTTCAATCAAGGGCTAGGGTAACCCTTGCAATATTGTGGCGAGGTCATGGTTTTGAGATTCCGCAGATTTCGGTTGTTGGTCTGTTGAATATATTCTACATTCCACCGTTGTCTGCGCAACATTTAATTGGCCTGTCCCACGCATACAATCGCGATCCCCTTGATGAACCACATGGCCTCGGGTGATCGATCATTTGCAACATAAATATATCCACGAATACGGAGTAAGTTCTAGGTTCTTCGTACAGGCCACTCCGTAGTGTTTTGCATGCTTGAACAACACAATCCCTCGTTGTTCTTGTCTCGGCGAATAAATTTTCGACTGGTGCGAGGAGTTGGCTCAAGACTTTCGAGAAATACACCTCACGCAAGTATCAATTTTCATTGGAGAGCCAGCGAGCAGGAAATAACACTGGATATGATCCAACTCCATCGAAGCTATGACATAGCAATGTAACATCACGGTGAGGTAGCATGCGAACCACCATACTAATTGCATCCATCTGAGCTCACACGAGCCTCCAATGGAGCTTGTCTAATTTGAGTGGCAGCGTTACCCCGTCCTAGCAAGTATGACGACAAAAACCAGTGCCACCGACGGCCTCTAGAGGTAGACCCTCGACTCAGTGTTCCATCAACCACAGCCATTTCCGAACAGGGCAACCGGCTTCAGCTTCATCAGCAACATGGAAACTGCGGTTTTGCAGAATATTGCTCACTGCTACTGAGCTGGTTAAATTGCTTCAAGCTGTCAAATTTTTCTAGAGAGTGCTGCGAGAGCTACTCGATAGATGGTCTTAATGGAGAAGGAATGTACGTGCATTCACCATCAGCCAGAGGTGACGCAGAGAGAGAGAGAAAGGTGGGGAGGGAGGGAAAAGGAAAGGGAAGAGAAAGAAGGGAGGAGGGAACTACCTGGCTACGCCAGTCACACCATGGGGGGACCTAAGGCCACTAAAACAAGGTTCCACCAGTGCTGAAAGTCTCCAAGAGAATATTCGTGGCACTCGAGGTCCATCACACAGTGGCGCAGCTCCAAATCGTCGCCCATGCGGCAATGGTCGTTGCTTAACTAGAGCTAGACATATGTGTGCATGTTGCGAATCTGGTGCATGATGGGGTGCATACACATAATGTGTTGCTTGAATGGCTTCGAATCTCAAAATCAACGATTCTCACACCGAAGAGCCTCGATTAACCACTTATACTCGGTATACATTTGCACTATGAAACCACACGCCATCATATAGAATAGGGAAATGGCCGCTATACGTATTCAACCCCTTCCTGCTCCTGAGAATTTTGGCCTTCGCAGTTTTACACGTGGCTAGTTTCAACCGGCCGGATATTGCATTTAACATGTGGAGTATGTGGCACGCGAAAATTGCAATGCTATCTTAGCATTCTTCCTCGGTAGTAGAACAATGTCCCTACATTGTATGCGCAGCCATCAGTCCTTCTGCCGCATTCGTGGAAGATGACCTCTCGATACGACTCTGGACTGAGTTCTGTCTCTGGGCTAGATCCGATATCCTACAAATGCAAAGATCATTGGATTAACCTCTTCGCTAGAATGATACCCTGGACTTCCAGCCGCCGTTTAGACCTCGACCATACAATCCGCCCAAAGGCTACTCTAATTGGGAGTCTATGTTTCGTCTTCAAAATGACACAGCCTGACAAGCGCCAGAATGCATACACCGCGAGTTTGATTCACAGGCGGTCATCTAGCGTTGTTCCTGTGGATTCGCTGGCTATCAGGTATGGCTGAGTCGCTATCAAGGAGCTTCCTCACCCGTCAATCAAGTGACCCATCTTCATAGTGCATATGGAAGCTCATGTCGAGTTTGTCCACACGGCCATTCAGGATTCCAAAATCAGCAGAGTAGAGTTGAGGAGCAAGCTTCCACATCTTTGTAACTAGCGGCGCTTCGGCTTCCGAAATACCTTGATATTGCAGAAACTATTCAGGGATAAGGTTCCCTAGGGATAAAACGCAGAAAGTTGAGTATACATATTAGGCATGATCTCCGGTCCACGATTGGCCTACCATATCAATTATTATTAACCCTTTCTTTAGCTCGCATATCGCGCAAGTCTATTCTTATGGAGGATCACTGTGTTTGGATCGCCATGCAGATCAACGTTCCGGACTCCCCAATAATATCGCCCGCACATCTCCAACGTATCCACTATGGAATATGACCTGTCAATGAGTTTGTTCGTGCTCGAGGCATGGAGGTCCTAAAGCTATCGGCAACGTGCATAGGGGGGACTTTACAGCCCAAAATAAAGATACCAATTAAGTGACGATCAAGGACAAGGATGCGATTTAATATTGGGTTACACCAATTTCGCTTAATGCATCCTATCCTGTTGGAGATATCTCGCACAGCTGCGCCGCTTTGCACAACATTGAGTGTTTATGTATTTATTGGGAAATCAGTGTCACAAGCTGCTTTTATAGGCCTCTTGGCCCGACTAGCGGAAGGTTGGACCCCAAGACACGAAGGAGGAATGTGAAGCGTAAGGCTTCTCATATGTCGATTCCTGCTCCGTGCGTAATTTGTACATTCCAAACCCGACTGTCACCGACCGGATTGGCGCTTCGAGGGAAACAATCCCTTGCGTCTGCGCCCCATTCTTCCTTGCTTGTCAGCCTGTACTGACATATCACGGGCCAGCACCCATGACGCTACAGCCCTGTCTCGTTTGACAGCTTTAAATCCATCCCCGGGACCTTACTCCGTAGTTTAACCACTTTCACCGACTGGATGAAATGATCGCTTTCTTTGGCGTAGTATCCTGTTCTCAATACATCATTTATAGATTTACCCGCTGTCGGTAAACAAGCCATGATAACAATTCACACTTGCCACTGATGCTCCTCGTCAGAACCATTCGATAACCCGGTGTTTCTCACACATGGCAGACTTGTTCTATAGCCCCCTGGCAGCTTGCAGTTCGGTTTAGCTGAGGTTGCTCTATCTGCCAAGATGGGGGATGTGTCACCCACTCCAAACCAGCTCTTTTCAGAAGCCATAGTCTTCTGGTCTATAGGGCTTATTATTTATGTCGGGAGAATGTAGGTTTGAAATGGAAGCCTGGAATTAGACCAGATTGCTAACTGCAGCAAAGTGTGGCTCGTATAATTGCCAATGGATCATACAAACGGTTGTTTGGTAAGATTTCCAGGCTCTACTCTTTTTGGATTCTGCTAACGAGTAACTCTCTAGTGGACGACTATGTGATGACAGCCACATTTGTAAGTGTTATCATCGGGAAATCACGATGGTCGCTTCTTTCAACTAACCCGACGGTTCCTCAAAAGGCAATCTATACCACAATGCTGGTACTCATTCAAATATCGGCCCGCTACGCAACGAACCTCATGGATCCCAGGGACTATGATGAAGTACTAGCAGACCCAAAGCAAGTCAGCGATCGGATCTATGGAAGCAAAATTGTCATCGGACTGGAGCAATGCATGTTGGTTTCAACCTGGGGCGTCAAGACATGCATGTTGATGCTCTATTGGCGAATCACGCAGAATCTGAAATCCAACTTCTATATCAAAATCCTTTCCATTTACGTTGCCATCGGATTTGTCGTCATAATGGTCACCTATTACGCGGTCTACTGCCGCCCATTCTCACAATACTGGGCCATGCCGGTGGAAAACATGCAATGTGCGACATATCAACACTACTCGATAACTCAGGCCGTCTTCAACATTTCCTCCGATGCCGTCATGTTCGCCATCCCGATTCCACTCCTTATCAAAGCTCAACTCAAACGACGCAGAAAAGTCGTCCTCATCGGCGTCATGAGTCTGGGGTTGTTCACCATCATTGCCGCTATCCTAAACAAATATTTCAACTTTGCCTCCCCACTCACAACAACCTACCAGATCTGGTACATCCGTGAAGCCAGCACGGCAATCTATGTCGCCAACCTCATGTGCTGGTGGCCACTACTCCGCAAGCTGTTTGGCGTCAAGGCATTCCAGTACAACAGCAACCGAGCCCAGCAACCTGGGAATCCGGACAACCAGAACAATGATAGTAGCGGCTCCTACTCCAACAACTCACAACCTCGTCCTTCGTTCGCATTCCCTCGCTCATGGAAGCCACCTTTTCGTCTAGGAAATAAAAGCACAACGCCTGGCAAGTACATCGGCGATAAGCGCTCGAGTACTGAACCCATCAATAAGTACAATAACGAGTTCGGCAACGATATGCATCGTGTCGAAGCTGTTCCCCTCGAGAACTGGACCGCAAATGGGCATCTTCGAACTGAAACTTCGACGACCAAGGGCTCAGTCAACTCGCTTGAGAAACAATATGATGTTTAATTGTACCAAAAGCAGCATGCACAATCGCCTTGTTGATGTCATAAATCCAGTGGAAATTGTTGCTTGTTGTACATTCAAAGACACAACGATTTGGTGATTGATATATGAATCAAACTTTTTTTTTTCTGGTGATAATGTACAAGCTATGCTGTGCCAGCTTCATGCTGCATGCGCCCCTGTATCTGGCACAGTGGAAAACACTGGTCTAACATAATTAGAGCTCCCTTTTGGCACTCAATACGGCACTCAATTTTCCAATACGCCATTTTCTATGGGATGTAGTATGGTAAGTGTGTATTGCCTCAGTACGAAACACAGCCCCCGCCACTTCACCGTGATTATTTGGTTGCCTGCCATCATTATCATTTATCATAATCTTTGACATACCATCCAACTACAATCTCTATCATATCCAGATTGTGATCCATCATCAATTTTCCGTGTTTTCTGAGGCTGGCGGTATGCAAGTGAGAATGGATCCTAAGACTTGGATTCCTGGACAAAGTTTTAGTGTCACCATGAGTCCGCTGCCTTCTCAACGGCTTCACGCACCCATGCCACAAGATGGATTATCCTATTCCGAGTTAGGACCAAAAACGCTAGCGGAGACAAGACCATCTAGGACGAAAAAAAGACCGCATACAAAGTCCCGTCAAGGGTGTCTCAACTGCAAAGCCAGAAGAGTAAAGGTTGCACCCATACCCCTATCGGAAATTGTATCCAGAAATAGATGATTAACTTATTCCTAGTGTCAGGAAACACAGCCTCGCCCGTGTTCTAACTGTGCGGGACGGAACATGGTGTGTGTATATCCATCGAAAGACCAGGTCCTACGCCGTCGTCGACCTGTTTCAAGTGAACATCCCCACAGACGAGAGGAATGGGGTCATGGATCCATCATTAGCACCTCTACAGCATCGCCACTAACACGATGGAAATCGCTTTCATACAATTCTCCGGATACTTTTTCCGCGGCTGACCTACGGTTCTTACACCACTTCTTGATCGCCGCATACCCGCATCTCCCGTTTGGGAGTGAAGGCATATGGAAGACTTCTCTGCCGGCGTATGCACACGAGGTAAGCTCCCCTTTTCCTTGTATGAGTTACTTATTGAAACGAGGGAGGTGTGTATGCAAACTGACTGCGTACAGTGCCCACATTTGATGCACTCAATTCTCTGCCTGGGGGCTTCTCACCTGTCCCGAATCACACCGAATGGCGATAAATATATGCCTCTGGCCATAGCACATAGAGGCAAAGCGCTTAAAGCACTTGGCGAAGCACTCGCCACAAGCGACCAGTGCACCAGGACCGAGCTAGACTTATTGCTAGCTACTACCTACGCGCTTACAATTCAGTCTAACTACATGGAGGACGGGCTGGTCGATTTCCTCGTCATGGTTCGAGGCTGTGCGGTTATCACCTTGCGGATCCTGGATATATACCAAGGGAGCGAGATGTTCGACTCCCTCACGTCGGAAGCTATCTACACTCGTATCCTGCCTCTTCTCCCGTCGACTACATGCTGCGATGCCGAAATGTTGGATATTTCCGTCCTGACGCTTGAAAGTATCCAACCACTGCTAGTGACTAGAAGTGATAGGATAACCTACCAGTCTATCCTGAACATATACAAGGGATTACAACACTCCGCTCGCAGAGGGTTCATCGCGTTGAGCGAGATATACAATAGCTGGGTGCGAATCGGGAGCCAGGAATTCATGGAGTTCCTGGATCCCCGAAGCCACGTCTCGCGAATGCTGCTTCTTCACTTCGTTGCGATAACGGTTATGATGTGGCCCGTGTTTTGTATATTGCGGCCGTTGATGCTGGAGACACCGATGGCTGACCTCGCTTGTCGTCAATGGGGGGCTGACATATACCAAAATCTGCCTTTGGAGATGCGTGAGCTGGTTGAGTGGCAGGCAGGTTATATTGCCTCGGGCGGAGACATAGCTAATGCAATTAAGACCTCGGGTAACGGCCTGGAAAATGTAGGGGTTACTGGGCAGGAAACGGAATCGTCGTTGGAGTGACATAGTTGATAGAGGGGCTACTAGGGAGATGAAGAAGGAAGGAAACCCTTTCTATTCAAACTAGCAAAGGAAAGGCCTTTTATAGAGGCCCGCAAAAGCAAACAAGCGCTCAGTCTACCACCAAAACAAGACATCTGATGAAATGATCTCAGCACAACCGAGAAAATATAAACAAGTAGACACATGCATATCTGCGCATACATGGACAAAGCAAAGATAGAGACACAGAGAAGAATTAAGCGACAGCCCCAAAAGCCTCCAAAGCTGCCATGTCTCAGGCCCATCTAAGATGGTGGGATCGGTTCGCTATATCTCCTACGAGAGCTTATCTCCGGCGTTGCAGGAAGACCCGAAGGAATCCATCTAGCAGGGTGATACCAACCCAATGCCATCATGGCAATAAACATTGGAGCTGCCTCTAGGACGTACAGCGGCCATTCGTGGGTCCAAGTATAAGTGTCCATGCCCATGGAGAATTCAATAACTCGATAGATCAGACGGACCTAAAGACGAGTAAGTTAAGTTCCAGCTCATTGTAGTACACCTGTGAAAGAAACCTACCATGATAAAGAAGCTCGCGACGTAAATCCCATTCAAGACCAACCTCACTCCGCTTTCCATACCGCCGCCTAGTGAAGACGGGGTCGACCTCATATCAAACCAAATAACGAGAAGAAGAAAGAGCGCAAAAGTAACCAGCTGCAAAACCAGCCCTCCGATAAGAACGCCGACCCCCACATCCTTTTGGATTCCCTCCCAGTCATTCGAAGACGCAATCCCACTCCCCGAGGCCTGCGTGAGAAAGCTCAGAACATCCGACATGACGAATATCCGAGGGATCCAGACGGGCGAGATCTTCCCAAAGAACAATAAGGGTTCTTTCCCCGTGGACTGTATCAACTTTCCAATGAAGATATACAGGCTGGCACAGACAAGCACGGGAGCAATGACAATTAGCGTCGCTGAAGTCGCGTATAATCCGATGTTGTCTGGTTTCTTGACGCTGGCGGCTCGGATGGCGTATGCTCCGACCTCAATTGCGGCAGCAATCATAACAGGAATGAAGTATCCTGTTCGGCTGAACTTCCTTGTGCAAGGCGCAATCACGGACAGGTATAGGTGGTAAACAAAGGAGAGAAGGTAAAGGATGGTAAAGATAATGGACGCCGCCAGGGACGGGTCATAGAAGTATATAGATTGGCCCATTTTTCGAAGAACGCTTGACAGCTATTTTTCAAAAAGAAAAAGACGGATGTACGTAAACGTGCTTGGTCAAGATGGGATTCTGATAAGATGTTGCTTGAAAATATCTTCTCACCCCGACGCATCAAGGTTTTATATCTTTTCTCTTCATCAATAGGATATTTGACTAAATCCATCGCCGAGATCGATACCTAGGTAGTAATCAGTGGCTACTGACAAACCAATCAGCTTCTCCGGCGATTCTCGTATTCGCACCTCGCATTTCGCACGCATGTTGTATCCGCACCTCGCATTTCTCACCATCCTTCCAAAACAGATGAAATTCTGGCATAGGTTAAGTTATCCTGCTGCCTATACTACCCCAATGCTCTTGTTACATGCCTGCATATATGTACAGTCATGTTCCATAAATACTTTCAGTGGTGTGTGATTTCCCCTGTTGGGTGCGGTGGCAAGACGGCTGCGCAAATCGTTAATGATTCGGGCCGCCAGTTGGATATAGCCCGTTGCCAGGCGAGCTTGATAGCGGCGCAAATGATGCCAGCTCAGCCGCAATAGAGTCTGGGCAGTGCTAATATCCGAGACGTTGACTGCCAGGGGACATAATTGAGATACGGACCACTCGGCCAGTGCCGCGCTTTCCACCAGCAGTGATGGGCGATTGGATTCGGGCATGGGTGTCCAACGTGGCTATCGAGTCTGAGAGGAGGATAGGGAGCGAGACATGATCATAGATCCAATGCAACAAGAGGGTTTTGGAGATGAGAACGAAGAAAGGGTGAATTGAGAACCATATGTCGATTAGCTGCATCATCCAACTGGAGTTAATCGGGGTCAACGGGCTGTTGACGGGGACTCCTAGATCAAAATCAAACACGGTTTGCGTGGTATCCTGCGTAAGACACGTCGCGAAGAACCTTGCCCGGTATTAGATGACCAATCGAAGTAGCCCACTGCAGTTAAGCTTCCGCATATCCAGCTCTTCTTTTGCAGTTCGACTGAGTCGTAGTCCCCACAGAGTAGAAATAAACAGTTTTCCCCTTACCCCGGATTTACAGCCCAACCATGGTTTAAGCTGATCCTCTTGACCAGAATCGGATAAGTTGACTTTGGTGAAAATTAATTTCCAGTCTTTATTTCACAAATAAAGCGCCGATAGTCTAGAGGTAGGACACTGCTTTCCCAAGCCGGTGTCAAGCAGGAGCCCGGGTTCGAACCCCGGTCGGCGCATTATTTTTTTGGCCTTTTTTTGTACCCGGGCAGAAACCTTCTGATAACATTCTGAAAAGCTATATCCAATATACAAGGCTTCAATTGCATATAGATGTAAACCGACTGGTGGTAGATTAAATAGTAAAAGCTGTTTTCATTTTGAGTCGGAAGTAAAAAAAGACTATGTACACCCAACAGCTTCGCACTTCTTTCATCATGCCTTCATTTTAACCATATGCTGCCTAATCCTTACTTCATTCAATTATCATCACATTGCATGGTCAGATTTGTCTATAAAACAGTTCCTAGTCTATCCATCTCCTGGATCCTCGTTTGTCTCATAGAGGAACGAATCAAACAAGCACGGGAACAGCAAACGGATGACCAGTGAGAACCAAGTGAACGATCTCCTTCTCTCATCCATTACAACGGCTCCCCATCCGGAGACAGCTCATCTTTATTTCAGTCTCTCGTCAGATCCCCTCTTCTCTCTCACTCAAGGCGTTGTTTCCGAAATGGAAGGTTACAATTACCCAGTTGAGCCATCTTCTGAGCACCAGGAGGGACGGGACACAGTCCACCAGCCCGTGTTGAACTCTGCAATCTGGACGAGCCATCCAGATAATATCCCACCTCGCCGTGCAATGTCTGGCGGAGAGGGTCAAAATTTACCACTCTATGATCCTAACCTGGATGCGAGAAACCAACAGCCGTTTCCAGTTCTCTTGAGTCCCAGGGTTGACCCTTCTGCGCCATACTCCCAACCTACATTTTTGCCAGAGCAGGTCGTTCAGCTTTTCACAATCCAGCAACAAAACCAACTGATCCTTTCCCAGATCCTAACAAGCGTAGGCGACCCTGCATTTTCGCAAGAGCAGGTCGCTCGGCTGCTTCTGAGAATCCAACAACAAAACGAACTGTCCCTTTTCCAAATTCAATCAAGCATGGGCAACCCTGGACAGCCACAATATCCAATGACTCTGCAATCTCCCTTACATCAGCCATCAGTGCCCCAGAGTACCGAAAGGGATTCAGTAATGAAACTGCAAGCACGAATCAAAGAACTGGAACGGGATGTCCAAAGTCCGGAAGATACACCCGGCCCTTCCTCGCGTCAATGTCAAAACAAGTCGCACTGTCCGAGGCACAAGGACCCGGTTCAAGTCACTTCAAGCCCTGCCCAGGAGTCCTATGTCTCTCATAGATCTCCTGCCAATCTCGGCAGCAGGCGAAGTCCAGGCCTAATCAATCCGATCTCCCCGACAGGCCCATTGCAAAATAAGAGACTCTCTGGCCAAGATTCCAAAACTTCATCGAGGAACGTGAAAGGGGAATCTAGTTCCGAAAGGATCCTGATACCAAAAACCTCAGTCCAATCTAGTCAACCCACCAGTTCCAGGAAGCGGTCCCCAAGTCCTCTTGACCCCGAATTGCTACCCTCGACGAAGAAGACTGCTGACCGCAAAGCAGTTAAATCGGAGAAATCCCTTGATGAAATGCTGGAGAAAGTCAACAGGTACCGGGATGAATTGCGTTTTCTACGCAAGCACAAGAAACGTTTACTCCGGCTTGTCGTGGCCCAGTTGAGGGAGTGCCGAGCTCTTCGATACATGTTGAGTAAAGCGGAAGCTGAGCTCGAGAAAGACCCGGACACAGCTGATGTCAGGTCTATATTGGGACCACGAATTCCAAGCACTCAAATTTCAGACTACTTCAAGATGGAGACTGATGTGGAGGAATCAAGCGGGGAAGAATGAAGGGGGAAGAGGACAGATCCAAGTGTGGATTAGGCGGGCTTGTATCCTGGTCGGCGCATTTGCTTCTTTTTTTTCTTTTGCTGTTCAATATGACTCCGTGTTTCTTATATTCCGGAGAAGCTATCTAGAAAATCATACCACAAGGTGTTCTTTAATTGCATTTCCAATACTTGAACTGCTGTGTAGCCAGCTTGTGGAGCTAGGTAAACAGTAAAAGCCACTTCAGAACCAGTTCGTCTTCACGTTAAATCGAAGAAAAGTATGTACGCTTTACAGCTTCGGCACCTTCGAATGCCCGTATCTATCCCATCAGAACTCAACTCCTGCATGCCAGTTTCGCAGTCGAACACTCCGACCTCTGGCAGAAGTTCCTGTTCTTTGGGCTGATTGGCGATCGTCTCTTCCGTGCCCTCGGTCCTCCGACCAGGTGGAATAAACACGTTGTAGTATCTTGGGAACACCAAACCGAGCAGAATCAAGAGCAAACAGAAATGCGCCAAAATAAACCCAGCGATCATCATTGGGTCGTAACGCAGGGTATAAAATTCAGGATACGCGAAGCTGAACACAATGGCCAGAACAGGCGCGCTGACATACCGGAGTAGAATGGGCCAGAAACGAGGAATGTTCCAGTTTCCATTACCGCCAACGACGGCATTCAGATCGCGTCTTAATTGATTACCCTGCACATGTTAGTTTCTCTTAGTGCGAGACTTGTTGGCAGCGGGAGACATACAGAGTAGAATGCTAGATACCAAAATCGACTGAGGAGAGGGTTCCACCCCCAGAAGCTGGCAGCTCTGATATCCGGGGTCGTGGCGACGAGGACAGAAATAGTCGAGCAGAAGATATACAACCCAAACCCGGCGCCAGCGCCAGCTGCCGGATTCGAGGTGCCGTGTGCGACGGCGACTCCGACGATCTGCCCGCCAAAGTATCCAAAATTGTAGACAGCGAAGGCAGGCAGTCCTGTCTGGCTCACCACGTCGTGCCAGCGATAAACCGTGGTTGCACCGACGAGCTCCGACCACACAACAAAGATCAAGGCCACATTGTTGATCCATCGGTCGATTCCATCCAACAGGTAGAATCCGAATTGGGTGCAGTAAGGCAAACACATAAGGAATGACAATATTGTGAGGCTAGTCACAATCATCGGTCGTGACATTTTCACGCCCGAATCCACGGCCAAGGTAGCCACCGCGTCGAGCATCACAAAGGCTGAACTAAACCCGAGAACCACCAGGGTAAAGAATAATAGGATAGCCCACCAGTTTGCACCAGGCATGTGGAGCACAGCCTCGGGGAGCGTGAGGAAACCGACCACGAATGCACCCAATCTCTCGCCATCCTGTGGCCAACGTCGGAGGTAGCCTACGACACCAAACACAGCAAAGGCAGCAACATTCTCGAACAGGACGTTACTCCCGCAGATAAGAATTGCGTCCATGACAGCATTGGAGTGTTTGGAGTTATAGGATGCATAGGAAGTGAAATACCCGAAACCAATGCCGGTGGAAAAGAAGACCTGTCCGACAGCGGTTTGCCAGACAGTTCCCGAGGCTAGCTGGTCGCTTCTCCATGTCGCCCATAAGAGCCGGACACCCTCGCTCGCATTTTCCAGTGAACAAGAGCGACCGACGATAATAAGGGTGGTGACAATCGGCAAACCCATCGTCCAGTAGACAACCCGACCCGTCAGGCCGACTCCACGGAAGATGGAAATCCATATAAGAAACCAGATGAAGGCGCTCCAGCCGACTGTTTCACCGATAAGTGCAATCCCGGGGTACACAGTGTAGTGGGCAACAGCACCATTGCCAGCAGTGAGATTGCCCACGACCGGATCGATATTGGCGACGACGTTGCCCATGTAGAATTCCTCGATTCTGCCCTCCCACGGTATCGGGCTCCGGAAGGAGTTGCGGAAATAGTTCATGATCCACGCCAAGTTGACTGTGAAGTATTGCACGACAACGAAACTGACCAAGACGGGACCCATACCAACACCTTTCAGCCGATGGTTGATATTGTTGAACGCGATAACCGTCCCGCCACGATATGCTTGTCCAATCGAAATCTCGAGAATAAGGGCCGGAATGGCGACTGCGAACACGGCCAACAGGTAGGGGATGAACCACTGTAATCCATAGTTATTGTAGACCACTGAGGGGTATCGCAGCAGATTTCCCTGGCCGGCGCAGCCTCCCATGGCGGCCAGCAAGAAAGCCGCTCGAGAGGGCCATTGATCACGTCCATCTTCCGATTTTTGCGGAGTAGGAGCGATCCAGGCCACAGCCTTCTTGAGATACTGAGCGAGTACCATGATGGTACCGATCAGATGAGGAAAATTTCAAGCGCTGAGACCTTTGTAAATTCATGCGAGTACTTCGTGATTTTACGAGTGATAACAAACCAAAGAAAAAGTTAACAGCGACAAAGTCGCTTAGAAACCTCCGCAGCAGATCAGGGACGCTTTCGTATGATTTCTGGCTGATGCCAAGGGCGCCCCAACCATCTCATCCTGCTGCACCCGTCACCTTGGACCCATGCCAAGAGGCTTGGGGAGGCATTTCCATCCTGGATCCTTAGATTCGCGGGTTGCGAGATGGGAGAGCCGCGCCAAGAGTCTTGGAAGCATCCCAGAGCGGAGATGGTGTGCCATGTCGCAGTCTTGTTGGCGGGAATACTACCACGGGCAAAGATTAGCCAGCTTGGCTCGGTCATGTGAGGTGACATGCATCTCATGGTCCCTAAAGAGCCGATGTAGGGTTCGGAGGAGTGCCGAACGAGCTGAAGTGTCCAAGAAACAGTCGAAATTCCCTTCTGTTGCCAAAGGGGCGGTTCTTGGCGTGGAGTTGTGCAAATGCATGGCGTTGATTGCGACATGTATTATCACGGTCCAGACTTATAGTTATAGTGGTAGCGAAGACCAGTCATGTTCTGCCCTTTATTCTTGGCCTACGGCTCAGACCTCTTGGTCTAGACATCGCCAAAGCCATTGGGAGGAGACCCTCGACATGAGGCAAAAATAACCAGGTCCTCGATTTACACTGTGCACTTTCATCATCCTTCTATATTACCTACCCATGTTGCATAAAGGCAGACCTGCCACCCTGTAGACTGACTCCTTCAATCTGTTTCATCTCATCTTCCGTCAGCCGCCATCCAAGGGCCTGCATATTCTGCTCCGCTTGGCCAGCATCGCGCACGCCAACCAGTGGTAGAACGCCCTTATTGATAGAATAATTCAGCGCAACAGCAGGAACAGGAACATGCCGCTGTTCAGCAATACTCTTCAAGACATTGATAGTAGGTTCGAGCAGATGCATGGGATAACTGCTAAAATGCCGGCTCTGCTGCGGCCAATTGAGACGGGAATATTTACCAGAAAGACGGCCCTCGGCCAGCGAGGCAAACCCCTGGAAGCAGATACTCCGTTTTTTGCACTCTCGAATTATCCCACTGACTTCAGGCAAGCGGCGTACGACTGAATACTCGCACTGACAGACAGAGAGAGGGACGTCGTGCTTGGCCAGCTCATCGGCCATCTTGATCATCTCCTTTGTGTCATAGTTAGCCACTCCAACCGCGCGCGCCATCCCGGATTGCACACACTCAGCCATGCCCTTGGCGACAGTGGATATATTACTAGGGTGGATAGGCCCGTGAACGAGGTAGATGTCGACGTAGTCTAGTTGAAGACGCATGAGTGAATCTTTAAGCTTGGACTTTGGCCCGCCAGCCTGCATGAGTGTGTTGGTCATGTCGGGTGTTGACAGCCACTTGGTTTGTATCACGAAAGAGTCGCGAGGCATGTCCTTGAACAGGTTGCCGCAGATCCGCTCGCTCTCGCCGTCGCCGTAGGACTGTGCTGTGTCCACGAAGGTCAAGCCAACAGACTTGAGCTTCTCCCATGCTGCGTGGATGCGCGGTAAGTCCCGTGTTGGGTTGTAGTTGAAGGTTGCTTTGCCGCCCCATGACCATGCGCCGATACTCAGGTAGGGAACCAGTACGTCCTTCCCATTCACACCACGCAGTGCGATTCGACTTTTGAAGTCGGGTGTTAGGTCGGTTGGAAGCATGTTGACCGGGTCGCTGAGATGGGGGTCCACCGGCTTGGCGTGTGGGGAGTGCATGCCCTGTGTGCCTGACATGCCGGCTGCTAGGCCGGCTTGCATCATATACTGAGTGCCTGGGGTGGCCATTGTGTGAGTATGTACAGTCGAGCTAGTATGTACATATAATTGCAGAGTTTGAATGAAACCTGCGCTGTCGATTTGAGCAGGACGTCTTCGATTGAAACCTGGGTTGATATACTATTTAGGAAGGAGTGGCGCTCGGTGTCATCATGACATTCAACTGTACCTGAACACCTTCGGGTCAAACTCCAACTGGCCAATACGGAATCTCCTTATTATTACAATGGTGGCGACGGCAGATGATCGAGGGGAAAATGTGGAAGTGAGTCAAGTGAACTAGACGCCCATAGCACCCTCATTCTTTTGTGGTCTTTTACTTCTTGAAGATCATAATGTTCAATGTTTGGATCCTATTATACCTGCAGAAACCATCGAGCCCGGAAAACGTAACGTACAAGAAAAAGAAGAGATTTGGGACCAAGCGTGCCAAGCAATAAAATAGGCGCTGTGCTTCAGGCTATGGAGACATATAGGATGCAGGTGGGGAATAATGATGAGACGGGGGTCCAATATAAAAAATTCATATCCAAAAGGTTTCGCTGTAAACGCCATTCGCTATGCTGAAGTATTGTGTCGCGTTGATGCATTTTGTGCTTCGCAACGGAGCTTGAAGAGAAGATCATCGACCTCGCGGAAAGCGCTCGGGGACAAAGTCGTCATTTCCATTTCACCCAAGAGGTCCTTCAGGGATTGGGCGACGCCTCTTTCGCTGATGTCGGATTTGGGCTCGGGGGGTGTTTCTTGGGTTTGGGTACCCGTGGTGGCGACACTTGTAGTTTGCTCTACTATTCCACCGTG